TGGTCCTTACAATGGAGCCTGAGCTGGGAGCACTGGAGGAGGTCACCGTCACCATTGTGCCAGTGCTCGTCGTTGAGGAAGGGTTGACTCCCGGTGAGGAAGAACTTGAAAAAGCCGGAATGCCAGTTGAAGGTGTTGCTGAACCACTTGATGGCAATGTACTATTCGCAGCCGTCGCGCTGCTGAGAAGCATCGTCGTTGAGAGCCCAGGCAGGGCAGTCGAGGCGGGAGTTGACCAACTCGAAGGGACACCGCTTGTATACTGTATTAACAGAAGCCAGGACACTCTCCAACCATAGAAGAGACTTACCTAGAGACCGGTGAGGAAGACTCCAGAATCGTTGATGAGACACCTGTCGACTCAAGACTACTTCCGGCATAGGTCGAGGGCGGAGACGCCGTCGAGAATGATACAGAGATGGTACTGGATGGAGTCGCACTGCATTTTTGTCAGATGAGCTTTTTGTATGCGTTAGACCGAGGACCATTACCTTGAGGTTGCTGGTAGCGGAGTCGACAAGGGCGGTGTGCTGCTTCACATGTGAGTTTAGATAAGAGGTTGCTCAGGCAGCTTGATGGCGTACCTCGCGTTCCAAGAGCCAACAGAGGATGGCGGGGCCGGCAAGCTGGATGAGGTCTCTGGCAGAGCTGATGTGGCGTTCCCGTTCGGAATTGTCGCCGCAGATGATGATGTTACAGTACTGAGAGCGCGATTAGTACCATGATATCTAAGAGCAGATGGAGAGGCGTTTGTACTAACCTCGAGGTGGCCAGTACCGCAGAAATGGATTCCGTAGTGGTAGTGCCTTCAAGGCTGCACCTGTGTCAAATTCGTACCGCGGACTCAAAAACGTGGAGGTGGTTGGCTTACCCTTCCGTGGATGTACTTGTTGAAGCAACTGGCGACGTTGCGCTGGAGGTACCTAGAGAAGACGAAACAGGAATCAAAGTCGTTGGATACGACAGAGAACTCGTTGCGGCAGGAGGCGAGCTGTGACTACATCAGCTAATTGAATTGACATATTGTTATAATCCCACATACCTTGAGTTTGAAAAGACTGGTGGCGGGAGCGACGATGGGGTGGGTGTAGGCAAGACACTCGAACTTCGTATGATCAGCTTCATGGCAACTATACCGTGAATGGTGTCATGGGAACGCCTACCTTGAATTGACCAGCCGTGAAGAGGACCAGCTTGTTGGCCAAGTGAGAGGTGTAGAGCTTGGATTGTTAACGACATGGACCATCATAAGCTGGCATCAGACCACAGGAGCGTCTTACCTCGAGTTTGTGGGAGCAGCTACAGACGATGTTGGCGAACTAGACGGCGAGGATGATGTAGAACTAGTCGTGTTCCTCCCGCAGACGCCTGGGGCGATTGAACCGGTCAAACACTTGCACGAGGACGAGCATTCGCTCCCGGGTGTCCCATTTAGATCCCCATCATCGCATTCTTCCCCAAGAGCTGGATCGAAAACACCGTCACCGCAGCCAGTTGGTGTGGCTCCTTTGACGAGAATGTAAGGGATACCAGTGGTACCATCGGCAAAGTCCTTGAGGCCCGACCCCGTGGCATCTTCGGCGATGGCCAGCGGCTCGAAGCCAAAGAGACCAGTCGTTGGATAGTCGGTGAAGACCTCGTGGACGCTGCAAGACCAGTCACTCAGAGCTGCGTCATCGAGACTGGCCAGTGCGCTCGAGTTGGCGACCAGGTGGGCATCGTTGTAACAAGCCAGGTTCCCCCGAACATCGACAGCGCCGAAGTACGAGAGAGAATCCACAGTAGCGGAGTCGACTGCATCGTAGTAACAAGACAAGGCGAAGTATAGGCCAGTTCCGTTGCCGGAAGCGGCAAACGTGACGCCGTCGTCAATGAGTGTCAAGGCGCCAGGTCTGCTCGAGGAGTGGAATCCAGGGTCAGTGCCGATCAGAATGATATTACCCATGACAGCAGGGCTCCACACAGCCTTGGTCGCATCCAGAAAGTCAATATCTGAGACGGAACCACAGTCTGGGTCCGGGATGATGATAGCCTTGTACTTGGCAAAATCCGCCGTGGTGTAGCTGTTCCATTCTTCCGGAGTGGCAACGTGTGCTGTCGTCACAAGGTAGTCAGCCAAAGGCCGAGAGCATGCGCGTCCAGGAGGAGATGGACTCACCTGTATAACCCAGCACGGTAGTTGCCTGAGCATATTCCTGGTAGGTCATGCTGTCGTAGAAGAGAAGGTCTTCAGCCATGGCCAGGCGGACCAACCCGGCTGAAGCCAGCCCGGCAAGCCGGTGAAACCTCATGGTCACCGACTGAGGTGTGGTAACAAACGAGAAAAGAATGACAAAGGTGGAGTTTCCTTGAAGCAGATGGAAGAAGTACAAGTAAAAGAAAGCGATGATACTTGGCGACAAGGAGAGACAAGAGTTCGGTGACGACCCAAGACCATGGAGAAAGATAAGCTGGAGAGATGCCTCGACGAGCGGACCGCCTTTATAGCAGAGAAACGAGGACATGGGCCATGATCACCACCGTCATGTCTCGGGCGTCACGAGTCTTGTCTCCGATAATACGAAATTCTACGCAGCGACTGTTGGGTCTAACGGCAGTCCGGTGGCGTTGAGAGGAACCCGCTAGGTAGTAGGCAGACTCAGGTTTTGATTGCATGTAATAACATGATGGAAGACAAGACTGATACTGTGTGAATCAACACAGGACGCCTTCTATGGGCTAGAAGAGGACTAATCTCAGGTTGACGATCCGCACTGCGAAGGACCACGGCGAGTTGCCTTCAAGCCATGCAACCACAATATCCACGGCGCAAGACATCTGGATGGAGAAATTTGCAACGTCACGTTGCCGACACAGACCACGCATGAAGCATTGAGAGCCCCTATGTGAGGTAGAAACACGAGATTCAAGGACCTGCTCCTGTACTTCATTATATGTGCCAAATGGCATGATGCAGGCCAGGATCTCAACAAGCCGGCCGGACAAGGGAATACGTGGATAGACAGACCGAGGAACGGGGACGCGGTCATGAATCCGGAGTAGAAAGACGTTGACAAGTGATTTGTGCGAGTAATTCGCTATGAGGATTGATGAGACACACGGCAGCATGCAGAACGATGCGGTAAGAAGATGCATGGTGATGGTGGCACGAGACCAACAGCCAAATTGCAGGCCAAGACAAAGGAACGATGGTCTGTCCAACAAGAGAATGTGGAAGCGGGCGTCCCAGATCTCAGCCACAGGTCCTGTGAATGCTCATGTTTGAGATGGGAGCCGAGCCATAGCGGATGATCTCACGATGGGAGACGGGTTGTACAATCAAGACAGATCGAGTCTGCGGTGGCCAGACGTGGAGATCCAACTCGAGTTGCAAGAGCGCAGTTCGTTTCGTACAACAGCGCCTGCGTGCGTCCGTGTGACTCAAGCGCAGACAACGCCACCAGGCTTCTGCAGGAACGTGACTGACGGAGTCCGACGACGAATGCTGATGTGTCAATGGACCAACACTTGGGTAATGGGTGCAATGCATGAAAGCAGGGCCATAAGGACCAGGTCCAGGTGTATTGTAGTGAGAGCATACCAGGCACTCTCAAAGCCACACTCCTTATGGTCTGGCCAGTACTGGACAGTCTGTGGCGGAACTCATGTTAGCTTAGGGCACTAGATTGATGACTTAAGCATGGCCTCACGGATGTCAACACTCAAGCTAGATTTTGTGGACGAAGTGATGGAGGATCATCAATAGGAATCTTTTCTACAATGTACGCAACATGCGAGCGGGCCAAGGCAGCGACTGGATTGGATGACTGGACTAGATGGTGCTCATGAGCGATGAGTGAGAAGAAAGGAAAAGACGAGGTGTAGAATTGAAGTGGGTTTGCTCGTCTACATCGAAGAAGTGTGAAGTGCCTTATTTGGTGAGGTTCCGAGGTTGCGAGGTTGTGGAAGAAGGAATCTTACTGATGCATGCCATGACAGCGCTTGGGTGTGGAGCCTAGAGCCGAGGTGATGCTGAAGCTGGCAGGAACTAGGCGCTGCTGATTGGTCAGTTTCGATGGAAAAGTGGAGTCTGCCGAGGAAACTACAGACGTCGTTCGCTCAACTCCCGTCAGCCTTGCAACCTCGTCGTGACCGCAACCTCATTCATTGCTGCAATTTTCCTCGTTGGACGTTCAATATCACGCACGACTTACACATGAACATGCATGCAAGCGTGTATTCTTTCCTGTACGATTCACGCTTTACTATTGGACCGGGCCACCGATACTCACGCGCCTCCGACCACCCCCGTCAGGACGTCTGCCATATGGAAGATGCTCGCCTCGCGACTTCTTCCTTTCTCAGGCGCGGCGCTCTTTCTTCTCCGTGTTCCCGATACAGGGGGACTCATGAACTGCGAATTGAAATCACCTTTGTCTCCTCCAGTTAGCTTTGCCCTGTTGTATCCCTCATGCCTATCCTCATGGTGTTGTTCGTGCTCGCGTTTAGGCCCCCTCCGCACGATGTGGCTATGCTTTCAGTCATGTTCAACATCAGGGCCCTCTGAAGTGATGTTCTCTCTCTGCCAGCGGAGTTTGAACCTCCCTAAGCAGAACTTCTGGCGCGCTGCCGATGCCACGGTCCAATTTACAAACCGGTAACTCATCTTGTGAAGTCTGAGTCGGCGTGCGGATTTGCTTCCGGGAGCGAACATCGTCCACACCATTGCATCTTCCCTCTCTCTTCTCCTGCAGCATTGCTATCATGATGTATCTCATGCAGTCTTTGACCTGGCCTAAATGCGCCGCCAGTGTCTGCCGGTCTGCCATGACCTCACCTCTTGCCTAGAGTCCACGAGATTCACGTCTGGACTCGTAAAGAGCATATAACCTTGGCCTCATGGGTCGGAAATTTGGCCACCACGCCGTTCCTCCACAGTAGTTCGTAAAGTCCCTGCCTCTTGCACTGAGTTGTTGCTTCTCTCGACCATTCTACTTGGATCGCATGTTCTCTGTCACGATATGGACTCGATAACTGTGTTCGATAGCCTCCTCGTCAAGGATCATGTCACGCATGCTTTGGTTCAGGATGAGGAACAGTACAACGAGGTTCCTATGGTGCGTCTTGGCCGTTATTTCTTTGCTGTGCTGGGATGCTGACCAATTCAGCCAGTCTCTCACGACGATATTGCTCTTGGGTGGATCGCCAAGTCAGCTCAGGGCTGCGTATGAGAGCAGGAGCTCTGCGCTCAGAGTTTGGGAACTCTCTCCTGATAGGATTGTCACTTCTGAGGACAAAGAGAGGCGGTTGGGTGACCGCAGGTGTGTGCGGACCGAACCCTGTCCTCAATGCATGCTGGACCCAGGTGCTGATAAACGACATTCGGCAGATTCCAGAGAGCCTACATGGATTATTTCAGCACGCAACATGCTCATCTCAAGGGAAATCACAGAGCCCTTGTCGAGTCTCAGTTTTGTGGCTTTACGCCGCTCGTTTGTGGGCTCTTCAGCGGCTTCGGTCAAGCCATGATCACTCTAGGCGACGCCATGGAAGCTCGCAATTCCATTATGGTTGTCCGTGAGCAACACCTAGCTCTCCTCATGTCGTGATTTATCACGAGTTATTCAACTGTAATGAAGGCTCCGGGGTATGTGGCTGATACGTAGCAGAGTCTTTTGTCTTGTCGTCTGTGGGATATTCTGCACTCATCTCCGACATTCTGACTGACAAACGGTTTGAAAGACCGAGCACGACTGCGTCCAGCCCCAGCATCATCTTGAGCCGAGCGGCGCACGATGGGAGGTTCAGCCTCAATCGGTCTGGCCCAGGATTCCGGCATGCCCACGTTATTCTTTCTAGCCCTCCTGCGAGAGAGGCTATTGCCGATTATGTTCACCAGCTAGATCTGAGCAATGTGGCCCGGCTCCTGGACAACATGTCGCGCCTGTCTGTCCTCATGCTCTGTGGTACCCACAAAAAGGGCTCTCCGGCGTTCGACCTGTACCTCAGTCGTACCGTGAGTCTGGTCAATAGCCTCCGTGTGTTGATCCACGAATGCCCTAGTCAGCAACTTGATCTGCTCATCAGAGGCACATGGTTCCTCCTCGTTCTATCCTACATCACTCAGCTCCGCCCTCGTCTGGACGAGTCTCTTATCTGGTCCTTTTCTACAAAAATAGGGAAAGCCTCCTGGGAAGATCTTTTGCGACCTTTGCATTTGAATGCAGACGCACTACAAGGCAAACATCACGACCCTCACTTCCTTCGAGCGCTGCGGAGCCTTCGTGCATTGAGTCTGTCCGGGAAGACGGACGACCCACTGTACCTTCATGCCGCTCAGAAACTCGATAGCGAATGGCAAGGCTGGACTGGACTGGGAAAGGCACAAGAGGCGTCTCTCAATATCCGTCTCTGAAATTCCTGTCTCTTGAAAGAGGCTTTTCAACAACGTGTTTACCTACTATTGATCTGGGCATTCATGACTGAGGGATAGCCGGCCATTTGTCAATATTTCTCCGTCCAGAGAATTCTCTCTCCATAGTCTCAGTCGAAATTATTCGGGATTTCTAGACCACAGTACTTCGTAGATATATCGGCTACCTCTTGTTCCGTTTGGCCCTTGAAAGCAGCTTTCATAGCTTTGACTAACTATAGGCACAGACTTCATTTTGGTATTAATAGACCCTCGTCATTCTGTTGCAAGGTGTCCGGACGTAAGCGACCGCAAACCTCGAGACGTGACATAATCACGATTCAATGTCCACTAAACCAGACCAGTGGCTGTCTCAGACACCGACTTCGGGACGAAATACAAAGACGATGACCAAAACTATCGTCCTGTGATTTGCAATATAATTGGTTGGCAGTCTGAGAAGACTTGAGTTTCCGCTCCTCCACTGTTTCCATTGGTTCAGTATCGTCATGCGTGACAACGATCGTCAACCTAATAGGCCGCGAACGGAACATTGCAGCAAGTTCCAATCCCCCGATGAGGTCTTGCCAAGTAAGTACTTAAAAGCACTTACCCCTCTTTTGGTCAACACCGCATGCTCCCTTCTTCTTTCTCTTCTTGCTCTCTCACGACTTGTTCGTTCCTCGTCGACACTTCCCAGAAAATTTCTATACCAGATCCCACCGCATAATTATTTTCGAGTGCGTCACTAAGTTATCTTCCTTCTTTCCTTTTCTCTTTCTTTTGTCATTCTGCGAAACCTCGAGCAAAGAGCCACTAACAATATTGTATCCTATATATAAGAGCACACCAACAACAGCTCGGTATTCCCAAGCCCTCCGCCAACACCATCATGAAACCTTTCGGTGGTCAAGTCATCACACGATGATGTCTCTCCAGGTAATTTCAAAGAGCTATGAGCCGGTGCCAACCTTTTCGTGCTGCCTCCTGTTGTCCTCTGCCTCTGTTCTCAGCAGGTCATGGACTACTCATAACAGTGGCGGCACGAGGAGGGCGGCTGAGATTATACGGCCTTTGTAACTTGATCTGGATAATACCAGCGGAAGGATCATGCTCTCTCTCCTCCCCATTCTAGGCCCGAGGATTCTGCAACTAACCCCAGCAAGGTACAAAAATGGCGCCCTCTGCCATCTCCAACTCCCCTGAGCTCAGCTCTGCCCAGCTGGGCGTGAAGAAGGCCAATCTGGACGGCAAGGCGGCCCTTGAGGCCATCACAGGCCAATGGGACGCCTTCACCTTCTCGCCCATCCGGGAGAGCCAGGTATCTCGGGCCATGACCAGGCGCTACTTCACCGACCTCGACACCTATGCCGAGTCTGACATCGTCATCATCGGCGCCGGCTCCTGCGGCCTCAGTGCTGCGTACATGCTGGGCAAGGCGCGGCCGGACCTGAAGATCGCCATCATCGAGGCCGGCGTGGCCCCCGGTGGCGGTGCCTGGCTGGGCGGCCAGCTCTTCTCTGCCATGGTTATGCGCAAGCCCGCCGACGCCTTCCTCGCTGACCTAGGCGTCCCGTTCGAGGACGAAGGCAACTTCGTTGTCGTCAAACACGCCGCGCTGTTCACATCCACCATCCTGTCCAAGGTGCTGCAGTTCCCCAACATCAAGCTCTTTAACGCCACGGCTGTCGAGGACCTGATCACGCGCCGCGAGAATGGCGCCATTACTGACGTCCGCATCGCGGGCGTCGTCACGAACTGGACCTTGGTGTCGATGCATCACGATGACCAGTCTTGCATGGACCCCAACACCATCAACGCCCCCGTGGTGATCTCGACCACCGGCCACGACGGACCGTTCGGTGCGTTCTCCGTCAAGCGCCTCGTGAGCATGAAGCAGCTGGAGCAGCTCGGTGGCATGCGAGGTCTGGATATGCAGACTGCCGAGGATGCCATCGTCAAGGGCACCCGTGAAATCGTCCCTGGCCTCATTGTCGGCGGGATGGAGCTGTCTGAAATCGACGGTGCCAACCGAATGGGTGAGAATCAATGCCCAGCCCTCAGCCCTCACACATTCTAAACCTTCCATGGCCACGTAGCCTTGTGACGCACGGAACATGCTGACCGACTTACTTAGGCCCGACCTTTGGAGCGATGGCTCTTAGCGGCGTCAAGGCTGCGGAGACGGCTCTCCGCGTCTTCGACACCAGGAAGGCCGAGATCGGTGGGAAGTGATATGACACACGCACACGCGCACACACACGGAGATGAGAAATAAAGTTCGAGAGAAATTTTTCGTATAGTCACTCGTTTGATGAAATATTGCAGTTCGAGAGCAGAGGCTCGCTCTCAAGGTCGAAACCCCAAGACAGCATTCAGTTTTCTTGCTCGTCTCTGAATCCAGTCTTTTCTGAAGTCACCCACAATATACACTGACGCTTAACTTCGATGTTTCTTATGCTGCGAGATGTGTAAATGTCTTTGGAAGCTTTTTAGTCACGCAATACCTGCAGATGACAAGTAGAAGTCGAGGTGCATATGTCAAATGCCGTGATAATTCCCTGCGTGTTGACACATGCCAAAGTCATACATACATCGTCCAGTCAATCAGGGCCCCTTAGCCACGTCAATCCTCTCAATACAATCACCCCCTATTCTTGCAATCTCGGCGACGATGCCATCCCGATCGACCTCGACGAGTTCTTCATTCCCTTCCTCCTGCGCTTTCTTGCCATCTTCTATTCCAACTGGTCGGAATGAGCAGGGCAGATTGACCCGAAAAGTGCGCCGTTGGATCTGGGGGTTCCAGATTCCAGCAATGATGGCATCATCCGGCGCACCGTGGAACAGAAGCAGAGGACCGGAGAACAAGGTTTCCAGCTGCTGTAGTAAGGCCCTGGCAGGATGCTGCACAATGGGCTGGGCCGCCCTCCCGGTCCGCCCATCCAAATTTTTGAACTGAGATTGCTTGATGGCCTCATCGTCGCCGCGGCTGATGTTCTTGAGTACTTTGCTGTTGAGATGAATGACGACGCCATAGTCCTTCAGAGAGGGCTGGAACAGGACTTTGGGGACAAGGTCTGTACTCTTATCCTTCACCAACTTGCATGCTGATCTTGCCAAAGTTGTCATCCTTGTAGCGACCACCTTGGACGGGAATGGACGGCCATCGTGAATGGTGTAGGCAGTTCCCGTGGTATCGTGTGATGTGGCGACAAAGAGCGTCGTGTGGCTCATGCCCGGGTCGATCTTGCGCCAGGCCTCAAGCCTGGTCTCTATGGACGAGCGTTCCACACCTGCGAGTGTACCGGACGTGTCCAGGACCAAGGGCTCCAATCGCCAATCCCATCTTGACAGGAATTGTAACGTCCGCAGGAATCCTGTCATGGCACTAGACGGAGCTTGCCACGGGTAAGGCTCTAGAAACGCCCTCAAGACTAATAATTCGATCATCTCCTCAAGGAAGTGATATGAGAGTCTGTGGGAGTCGAACCACCGCTTTACCAAACGAATTGCCGGGGATAGCGCCGGAAATCGCATGCAAAATGTTGCGATTGTTTGTGTATGGAGCGGTAGATGTGTATAGAGGCGTTTGAAGGAGGCCAGGAGTTGTGCCCCTTGGGCTCGTGTTCGCTGATCGAGAGTTTTGTCCTTGGTTCGCCTCTCCAGCAAGTTTTCTTCCAAGTCGCTGTGAATCCTCAGTCGAAACGTGGCGCCTTCTTCGTATGTGACGTCCAAGTACGCCAGATTTTCGGACTCGGCTTGGGTATCTTCCAAGCCACACCGGCAGGTCACACCTGGCTTTGACTCTGCTAGCATGTCGCCGATCTTCAAAAGAAACGCGACCTTCGTACGCTGAATAGCAGCCAAGTTGTCAGGCCATTTACCAGATGCCTCAAAGTAGATGGTGGTATCCATAGGACGAAATGCGCCTTTCGTGGCATCGAGTGACGGAGGATGAACCGACGCAAATCGTAGTTCAGGTGCTGTAGCTGCAACTTGCCGAATCTGAAGCGGCAGGTCGCTCAAGTCACGGAGATCCCGCTCGAAGACGGTGAACGCCTGCCTAGCAGCTTGGAAGGAGGGCGTATCTGAAGACTTGATGGGTATGACAGCAGAGAAGCCCTTACCAAAAAAGTGCAGGTCCTCATCTTGTGTGCGTAGATGTAGTTTGAGAATATACCTGATGACCTCCTCGCAGAGCGCCGATGGTGAAGTCTGCGTCCAAATCAGGCTCTCAAGGATGCTGCCATCTTTGAAGCGTCTCAGTTCAGCCTTTTCTCCCCAGAATTGGCGGAACTTCTTTGCAGCCTCTTTCTCATCGACAGTAGGTCCATGGTCGACCTGTCGCGCCACATTAACGCTGTTGAAGATGATGCCGACTAAGATAGCGGAGGAGGATTCATCGCTAGGTAAGGATCCAAGATCCCAGGCTGTGTCATCGGCCCCGTCGACACTTTGCAAGTGTACAAGTTGCACTCTGTCGCCAAGCGCTCTCTTCAGAACCCTGGCAAGCTTGTCGCAGTAGCCCCAGGATTCGCCACGATATTCAGTAGAATGTGCGTCAGACTCTGCACGAGATCGAGCGACGCGGAAGAGAAGATCAAAGCATTGGAGAGGGGAATCGGCCTTGGTGATGAAGGTGGGGTGGAACTGGTCCGCTTCCTGGTCTGCCAGGGACGCGTGCGTCCATTTTGCGTGGTGAAACAACAAAGATGCCGACCATGGGCTCATCTTGTACGCTATGTTCAGTTGCCGGAGAACGTCGAATATAACAGGCGCAGATTCTTTGGCGGCGTCGACGCCCTCCTTGGTGGGGCCAAGGATGAGAGGTCTCTTACCAAGGTCGGCTGCGGCCAGGTACTGGACGAGTGCCTTGAAAATTCTTGTGCTGCTGAGGGATGGAGACAGAGCCGCCATTCCTTTCCTGCCTCCACCGCGGAGCAAAAGAGCAGTGAGCAGTGACCACTCAAAATGGCCGAAACCGCCCTGGGATACAGATCCTCCAAGTCCACGTTGCTGCAACCAGACACGACCCAAGATGCAGGCATCTCTAAACCCGGGACAGGACTTCTCCGCCTGACGTATGACTTTGAGATACGAGACGTAGCAGCTCTCGGCCTTCAGAGTAGAGTTGTAGAAGGGCGTGGACATTTGTGCGGGGCTGTCTGCCTCAGAAACTGATCGAACGCAGTTGCTGGTAGGCAGGAGCTTGTGTTGCGGGAAAAGCCCCTCAGGAGCACAGGGTATGATCCGTATTTGATATGCAGGCTGCAGTCGTTTCTGGGACTCCTTGCTTGGAAGCTCCGGAGTAAGGACGAGGACCGGGAGGAGGAGATTCCCATGTAAATGTTCACACGCGACCGAGGTGCTCTTCGGCACGGCGCCTTGGATGGCAGCAGACAATACAGCCAGGTAGTAGGCCCTTTTGTAGAAGTAGCGCAGGTCCAGGTAATCTTTGTCCTGAAATATCTCCTTGGGCATCTCGACGATCATGTCAATGCTGCGACGGCCCTGCGTTTTGACCATCGTCCTGAATACATAGCTCCCAACGACATTGCACTGGATCGGCTTCGCATACGAGACTTTGTAGGGACAATCCGCAGGTGGTTTCGGGTCGGGAAAGGGAACGAGGATGCTGTGCTTCTTTTCGAGCTTGGCCGCGGCCTGAAGAATCTATACAGGGAACGCTGTCAGAGGGGACAAGAAATTTTGGGCTGGGAAGATCCCATAATATGATTTCTTTTTGGATTCGGGTGCACTCACAGGAGTAGGCCCATGAGTCTCGATGGCTGTTATGGAGGACTTGATTTGGTGAAGCAAGTGGTCGGCTCCGGAGAATGCCTTGTCATAATCCAAGCGCACCTCATCCAACAACTCTTGAGTCTGCAGGACGAAGGCGCCCGGTCGAGGGGTGCCTGCAGTCGCGGCAGCATCGAGAGCCGCAGCGCCCTTCGAGGTGGGCTGCTCATGCTCAGGGTGCGACACTTGGTGGTCCAACTTTCTCCGTTTCGCAGGATTCATATCCATCTTGAAACCAAAGCAGAGGACAAGCTCTCCGCGGAGTGGTGGCGCCTGTCAGTCGTTATTGCAGACTGCAAATATGAAAAGTATGCCTTGAGGAGAAGTGCAAGCTGGGCCAAAGACGGGAAAAATTTCCAGGGACTACAAAATGTTTGGCTTATCGTGCACGATAAGGAATACTTAGTACTGCATCCTCAGTACTTGGCGAGTATGGGGTACTGTACGCTGCGCTTGACCCCACTATGACACAGCAACGAACCTCCCATTTCATCAGCAGCTCTCACCCCAGGTATTTTGAATCTGTCCGGCATTGCTTGCTCTGAACTGTGCCGTCTTTCAACTTTGTTTACACCTAACTAAGCGCCGCTACAGATCTTAAAGTTGCTCTTGGGAGACGCGCTGCGGTATTTTGCAGAAAATTGGGTGCAGAAGCCAGTTGACGTTGAGGGGGGACCGACGTGAGGCTCGAGCGGGGAGACGATTCGATCGACAACCAGCACCACCACGACTAAGACGATGAGGTCGACCTAGAAGAAGCCTTATCAACCACTGTGACTCGCGCTATTATCATTGCGCTACCTGACTTGACGCTGCCATGTCAGCGTCCAAGGCGGCCCTCAAGGCCATCAACGATGCGATCAAGCAGCAGAAGTTCGATGACGCCATTGAACGAGCCCAGGACTTCCTCCAGAAGGATCCCAAAAATTACAACGCTCTCGTCTTCTTGGCCTTTGCATTTGACAAGAAGGACAGGCTAGACGAGGCTGAGAAGACGTACGAGGCTGCTGCCAAACAGAAACCAAGTGACGCTACAGCCTGGCAGGGTCTGGTCAAGCTCTATGAGAGGCAGGGCGGCAAGAAGCTGGCAAACTACCAGAATGCAACTATCCGACTCGCTGAGAGCTTTAGAGACTCGGAACAGACCTACAAATACCAAAAGACTGTCGACGATTTTATTGGTTTCGCTCGCACTCATGGCGACCCTCACCAATACGTGGATGCCTTGAGCCTGACACTTCCCGACAGCCCTGTCTATTCCGCAGTCGAGGGCCGTACTCGCCCTGCAGAGACATACGAGACCATCGCCAAGATCCTTGAGGTCCACGAGAAGAAGGAGATCAACACCCTTATTGGGGAGAGGAGGACAAGAATCGGCGCCAGGGTCAACGAGGTCACCGTGGAGGTGAAGCGTGAGGTGCTTGGGGGCAGTAGGCTAGGCCAGATCTACCGGGAGATTATAAACTGGTCCACCGACGATGATGTCCGCCGCCACTATGAGGAGAAGCTCCTGCAGCACTGTTATGAGCGGCTCCTTGTCTTTCCTCCCGGCCCACAGAAGTCCGAGGAGCTTAAAGTTGTGCTCAAGCTGGCTGGAGACATGGTCATCATCAAGCATCCCTTCCGGCTCGCTTGGGAGATCACCATCGACTGGAGAGATTTCAAGGAAACTAAAGAATGGGACGCTGGGGTGCTCAGAGACTACTGCAACTTCTTTCCTGACACTGATCTTTGCAGTGTCATCACGGCCTACCTCAGCAGCGAGATCTCTGCATTTCCCAAAATGGAGCCTGCTGGCGATTCAGTCACCAAGGACGAGCAAGTTGAAGACGATAGTGAGGACGATGACGATGGCGGCGCCCCGACCAATGTCATTCCCCTGACCGAAGAGGATCGCTTGCTCATGATGTCGGAAGGCGTACTGACCGCCCAGTCTCTATTGTCCTACCGCCTTGTCGCCGAGTACTATGAGTCCTTGCAAGAGCACGAAGCCAACGTTGAGATGCTCCGCAAGGCGATGGCCCTACTCAAGGAGCGACAGACCACAACCGGCATGGATTTCCAGAACACAAAGGACATCTTCCATCTGCATCTTGCCACGGCGCTAGTTTTCTGGCAGTCCCCGCGGCATCACCAAGAAGCCAAAGCACTCTTTGATGGCGTTTTGGCTAGGGACCCATTATCAACAAAGGCGTTGATCGGCGTGGGTCTCATCTATGAGGAGGAGGAAGAATACGGAGAAGCCGTCGACTTCCTAGAGCGAGCCCTAGAGAGGGATCCGGAAAATCTCCGTGTTCGGTCGGAAGCAGCCTGGGTTAAATCTCTCAAAGGCGACTATGCTGCAAGCGCAGCTGAGCTGGAGCGCTGTTTACCGCTGGTCGCTGCCAAGGGCGACGCTTTCAAGGACCTCCTGGCTCAGACCCAATATCGTCTAGGCGCCTGCATATGGAATCTGGACACGTCCAAAGCTGCTCGGAAGAGCCGAGACCCCGGCAGCGCTTACCTATACTTCTTGGACGCCCTGAAGAGCAACCTGACTTTCGCACCGGCTTACACCAGCTTGGGCACCTATTACGCCGATTACGCTCGGGACACGAAGAGGGCCAGGAGGTGTTTCCAAAAGGCGGTGGAACTTTCCTCTTCAGAGATTATCTCTGCTGAGAGGCTTGCACGCTCGTTCGCCAACGAGGCTGATTGGGACCGGGTCGAACTTGTTGCTCAGCGTATTGTGGATTCTGGCAAGGTGAAACCGCCTCCCGGCTCCAAGAGGAAGGGAATCAGCTGGCCCTTCTCAGCTCTCGGTGTTGCAGAGCTGCACAAGCAAGAATTCCACAAGGCCATAGCCTCGTTTCAAGCTGCCCTCAGAATATCACCAGACGATTACCATTCCTGGGTTGGACTCGGGGAAAGCTACTACAGTTCTGGCCGTTACATGTCGGCTACCAAGGCAATTCAAAATGCGCGGAGGCTGGAAGAAGAGCAGTCCAAGTCGATCGATCCCAGCGAGATCTGGTTTACCAAGTTCATGCTTGCCAATATCAAGCGTGAACTTGGGGAATTTGACGAGGCGATTGCTCTGTATCAGGACGTGATGCAGGGCAGGCCCGACGAGGAAGGCGTAGCCATCGCTCTCATGCAGACCATGGTCGACAGCGCCATGAATCATCTGGAGAAAGGTTTCTTTGGCAAATCAGTGACCACCGCGCAGGACGCCTTGGCATTTGCCGTCATCGCACCAGAGGGCACCAAGGAGACCTTCAACTTCTGGAAAGCGGTGGCGGATTCCTGTGCTGTATTCAGCAGTTCACAAAGTCGGGCTTCTGATCTTCCTCTTGAGGCCATCCACACCTTGCTTGGGGACGGAGAGGACAGGTCAGAATTTGAGTTGTTGAAGGACATTGATCGAGTTGACGACACGGTTGTCTTTGCACGTGGCCTCTTTCCGGATAATGAGAAGGTAGGCGTCGACCTCACACGCGCCATCCATGCGACAATTCTTGTACACAAGCGTGCAATACATGCGGCAGCGCATGATGTACATGCACAGAGTGTGGCCTTCTATAACCTGGGATGGGCCGAGCACCGGGCTCATGTGTGCTTGCCAGAGAACCTGAAGAAGAAATTCAGCAGGTACCTCAAAGCTGCCATCCGGTGCTTCAAACGCGCCATCGAACTCGAAGCCGGTAACTCAGAGTTCTGGAATGCGCTCGGCGTAGCGACCAGCCAGATCAACCCTGCCGTGTCTCAACATGCCTTTGTTCGCAGTCTCCACCTGAACGAGCGGGATGCACGGGCGTGGACCAATCTAGGCACACTGGGTCTTCTCCAGAACGATCTGACTATTGCCAATGAGGCATTCACCCGGGCACAATCGACAGATCCTGATTGCGCCCACGCTTGGCTGGGCCAAGGATTCGTCGCTCTACTTGCGCACAAGGATAGCAAGGAGGCTGTCAGGGAAGCACGTGGGCTTTTTACGCACGCTATGGAAATAGCCGAGTCTTCCTCACTGGCCTCTAGGCAGCACTACTCGCTGTCAATGTTCGACCACGTTCTCGCGACACCGTCCAGCCTCAGAGTCACACCTCTCATTCAGTCCATCTTTGCTCTGGGCCAGCTGCGGGCCCTCAAACCTCAGGAACTTGCATATGGGCACCTCTGCACGCTGTTTCAGGAGCGGACTTACGACACACAAAAGTCCGTCGTGACTTTGGAGGAGATCTGCTCCAGATTAGAGGGGGATTACGAAGTGACTGAATCCCCTCAGTCTCTCAAGAGGTTTGCGATGGCAAAGGCAGATCTCGCAAGAGCTTATTTGGCCACAGAATCATACGAGAAAGCTGTCGATTGCGGAGAGATGGCTCTGCAGCTCAGTAGTGATGAGTCAGACAACGAGCTGACGACGGAGGAGCGAAGGAAAACGAGGCTATCTGCGCACTTGACCGTGGGTCTGGCTTATTATTACAAGAAGGAAGTTGCTCAGGCGGTGGTTTACTTCGACTCGGCCTTGCAGGAGTCAGACAATAATCCCGACGCTGTATGTCTTCTTGCGCAAGTTCTCTGGGCTACCGGCTCCGAAGAGGCCCGGGAGAGGGCTCGATCCGTGCTTTTTGATGTGGTTGAGCAGCGACCCGACCATGTACAGTCGGTCCTTCTCCTAGGTGTCATTGCTATCCTGGATCAAGACGAAGAGAGCCTCGAGGCTGTGATCTCGGAGCTCGAAGGTTTGCGCACCCACGAGAAGACATCGCCTGCAGAACAGTTCCAAATCGGAGGGGTTCTCCAGTCGGTGGCAGCGCTCTCAGGAAAGGACGCACATGAGGCTCTTTTATCACAGGCGCAGACGGATATTATGCTGTGTCCACACCTCCCCCACGGCTGGACTCATCTTGGGGACGTGGCTGACGCAGATCACGAGTACCCTCGAGAGCTCGCAGTCACAGTGGCAAATCAGGCCGTTCCACCCAAGGGCGAGCTAGGCGCAGAGGATTTGGCTGATACATATGCTGTGACTGGCAAGTCCGCGGATGCTCAGATCAGCATCATGTTTGCACCTTGGTCAGACCAGGCATGGCAAGGTCTGGTGAAGGCCGTGCGTGTTTCGTAGATGTAAGTAAATAGTCACCGTCATGCGAATTCAAATACAAGATCACCGTTAGAAAGGCAAGACAATGTTGGTGAGAGTCCAAGGGTTAAAATATGTACTACGTTCCAGGGCGATGTGGGTCAAGCTTGGCTCCTGATGAGCTCGAAGATGAACGTAATTTCGATTTTCTAATCGCGCCCAGACTATCTCGAGCTTTCAGTCTCCAGCACGAGCCGCTTCCCTAAGCCTGGCGAGAAGCCCACTCGTCCACGCCTTGTGCCATGCATCGACTTTTCCGCCCAGAAACTGGCAGCTGCTGGGCTCCAACATGATGACTCCTCTAGACACGATGGTGCCTTTTTTGAGCAAAATCTTGGATCCTATATTGAGGGAACCAATGGTAATCTCTGGCAGCCGGACAAGCTCGAGACCGTAGACTTGCTGCCTCCTGCAGTCCTGAAGTAGCAGTCGATGCGTAACGTTCCTCGACGCCCCTGCATTGTCGGCCTGGGTGGTTGTCCCGCCCTCCCTCCTGGCGGCCAGCTCGTCTCCCTCTGAACCACCAACAGGGAGGCGAATCACTTCACGCCCTCGTGTCTGTTCCCCCCTCTCAATAGCTTCCAGTGCCTCGACCTGGTCCCACCGGCTCTTTGACAGGTTTTCAATGTCGACGACCTGGACGTAAACATCGGTACCGAGGCGGGTCTCCTTGACGGTTGGTGCGGCGACACCCTCGGGAAGACAGATTGTGGGGATCTTGGCTGCGTCCAGCAGGCCTGGCGTGGTCAGATCTGACGCGAGAAGACGCGTCTTGGCGGTCATGACCAGTGAGTTGAGAGGCGGTGGTGGGTTCCGCGAGGAGACGAGCGTCTGCAGCCATTCTTGAGAGGGTGGTGGGATGTGATGAGGCTGGAGCTGCGTGAGAATCTGGGATGCCAGACTCATCGTGGCAGCTGTTTTCTCAAGAGACGACCTCGACGTTACTTTTCTGGAGAAGAATTATAGTATCTCATCTTCACCATTCCGCTCGTGTCGATACGGTGGGAATCTGCTATGTGTCTGCCCGTCTTTGGTGGTCAAGCATTCGAAAGTTGCCGACGTCGTTTGCCCTCTGCCCCCTTACTTAGTTTGCACCCGATCGAATCGTCAACTGCCGACGTGTTGAAGTCCGAATCCCATTGCCTCTCCAGAATTGAAGCCTCCCTCCCTCTATTCGTTGGGGATGAAATTCGACTACTTATTACGCACAGAGAGAGATAGGGAATTGCACCAACTCAGCTTGGGATGATGATCCTGTGCGGCAGTACCTTTCTTGATTGATGGGTGGGGGGGGGGGCGGCTCGGATAATCGAATATTAATGCTAGGATGCATCCCTGGCCCTAGCTTATCGACACGCTGATTATCGAGGGTACGACATGAATGCCAACTGACAACATTCAACTATCCCTCGATCCTCATGACCTTTTGGATACTTGCTTACTCGCTTTGGGGCACTTGACCAGCATTTCTGGACAGGTTCCAGAATAACAGGAAACAATATTCTCAACTGCTAATTTTTGTGTGTGTGTTATTATAATTTTGTTTTCCTTCCGTCCTCCCCCAATAATTCTGCAACCAGCTCTCCGCCATGTCCACGATAGCCTCGCCCCGGGATCCCACGTCCTCCTTTCGCCGGACCAACTCCTCTCAAGCTATCGCGACTCCCACATCCTCCGCACGCCCCAGTCTCGACATCCCCCGCTCCGCCACCAGCTCGCCCATCCCGGGCAGCGGACCCTTCCAGCCGGCCCCCAACAAGAGAAACAACCGCGCCGCCTTGCGTGAGTACTACAATCTGAAGAAGACGTCTGCCGCATCTGCTGCGCCTCCGCTCCTCGAAGTCACCGACACAGACTCGGTCGGAGACGCGGCTGAGACGTCCTACTCGGAGGTCCCCTTGTCGGAGATCGATGCCGCCGGGTTCGACGCCGACGCCTACGTAAAGGCCAAGCTGCAGGAAAGCAGTCTGGATGAGCTGCTGCGGACATACACGAGAGTGCTAGGAGAGATACGGGCGCTGGGAGCCGAGAAGAAGGCGTTGGTTTATGATAATTATAGCAAATTGATCACCGCGACCGAGACGATACGCAAGGTAGGCAATTGCACACCGTCTTTGATCCTTTTGACTGCATGTTTCCACTTCCGGAAATGCTTGCTGACCTGGCGTTCTTCCCTCTCCCATCAAAGATGCGTGCCAACATGGACCCATTGAACCCTATGGCCTCCACATTGGACCCAGCGATAGCCCAAATCTACTCACAAGCTTCGTCAATTCGAGAATCACTGCGCAAGTCGGCCTCCAAACCCGAGGACAGCACGAAAGCATACGAGGATCGGGCGAAGAAGACGAGGACCAAGGAGCTTGTCAGCGAGGTGCTCGAAGCCCCCGAGCGGATCCGAGCACTGGCACAGGCGGGCAAGACGGAAGAAGCGGAAGAGGCATGGAGGCTACCCAGACAATTACTCCTGAGATGGAAGGAACGGGGGCTTGGGGGCGCAGATATTGATGTATGTCTGGCAGAAGGAGAAGCAGCCCTGAAAGATGAAACTGCCCCTGAAACGTAAAGAATCATGGACCAAAAATGAAGAACAAAAAGAATCTTATAATCTGATACTCTTCCCCCCCCCCCCCCCCCTCTTTTCGTTGATGCTATCTTCACGACCTGCGCTCATTATGACACTGGCTCAGCAGTGCCAAGATTATCGACGTCCCATATCTCGAAGGGATCCGCGTCGACACCGCTGACCAGGACCTTTGCCGCCTCGCCCGACTTTCGAAGTTGCGCCTCCAGAGCTGGTTGCATTATCTGGCGCAGATATGCCCGCTCTGAGTTGCTGTGGAACACAGTGATGACAACTTTATTCTCCATGACGGCACGCAGCGCATTGTGATGGCTCATCTCCCCTGTCACCAAGACATCCACGGCGCAGTTCTTGAGCACATCCCATCCAGACCCAGCACACACCGCGGCGGACTGCACGCGCCTCGCTGAAGGGTCAGGCTGCTTGGGAGCAGCCACCATGAAGTATTTGAGACCACCGAGTCCCGTGGCAAGGCGGCGGACAAGCTCGGTCACGAGCACCGGCTGGGCGAATTCCACGGTTCTGCCGTATCCGGACCCCTCGAAACCGGCAGGAGGCGGTGCTGATGTAGGCTGGGCGACGGAGCGTGCCTTGTCGCCAGAGGGACCGCAGAGCATATCTGCAAGCCAGTCGTTCAGGCCCCCAGGGACAGCATCGACCGCCGTGTGAGGGCAGTAAACGGCGATGTTTCTCTGGGCTAGCTGCAGAAGGATCCGCTGCTGGGGATCTGTCACATCTACGGACTTGAGTCCTCTGAAGATGAATGGGTCTGTGGAGAAGAAAGATCATGAAAGTCAGTTCTCGAACTCAATGTTGGCGATTTGCTTTGGTGGAGTAAAACGCACGATAGCTCACGACGACGGATGCCTTCTGCCTCACAGCTTCGTCTGCGACCGCAGGAGTGAGGTCGTTTGTGAGGAGCACCGTCTTCTCTTCCGGCGTAACATCAAGACCCAAAGATCGCTGGCCCTGCTCGTCCATGTTTCCAAGTAGAAGGCCCACGTTATCCCATGCCCGGTCGGCTAGCTCCTCTGGATATCTTGGCCCCGCCGTTAGCACATGTGACCGATCCTGGCAGGGAATGAGGGGATATGGTTCTGCTCTTACAGTGCCCTCATTGCGCGCGCCACAGTTTGTGTGAAAGGTGCATTTTGAGGCACCTGGTTGGTGCTGGATGCCATAGCTGGGATGCTGCTTTTGGAGACACACGCTGCCGTAGCGCTCAAGTGAAATTTCCGTTGATGCAATGCAGTTCGTGTAGCCGTAAGACGGGTGAGTGATTGGTGGATGGGCAAGACTGTACGAGGCACGCGAATGGTGAATGGGACAAGAGATGCCAATCTGTAAGACATTTGGCAGCATTCAGAACCAACAGAAAGACTGAGAAGAGGTTTGGTTGGTTGTCCAAGTCATCAAAAGCGCAAGCTATGTCAGCTTGGGGTAACATGCAATAGACGGGGTAATAAGTTCGCTTTGCTCGGTAGTAGCATATTTCTACTACTAACAACGTTATATTTGACTACAGGGTCGTGAAGTCACTACACACGGCCCGCTTGCACTTGATTCCTCGGCGCCCGTCTTGAAATCTCGAATACGTTACATGCCATAACTGACCACATTTTTTTGACTAGACTTCTCTGATATTTTTGCTTTAGATCAAGCCCTGCAGCCATCTGCCTAGCTACAGCACAGTACTTACCTCGCAACCGCAAGAAAAGCGATTTGGTTCCGTATCTCGGTGACAAATCGCGCCGAGCTGCTTTGCTCACAAATCAACCACCTCATCAATCTTTGCCACGCACGCCCAGACTTACCGAATTGCCTCTTACGCTTGTCATAGCAGCCCCAATAATTAAGTACTGCATCGACTATGGGCGCTCAAGCTATCTCGGAGGAGTCGCTCAAGGCCGCCATCGCTGCGCGGCTCAACGCTGTTTATGTTGAAATCACAGATATGTCTGGTCTGTCATCACAACATCCGCCCGTCAAACCTCAGGTGCTCTCCCTGCTGACATGATATTTTTTTCTTCATTTATACAGGCGGTTGCGGTCAGGCCTTCTCTGTCCTCATTGTCTCGCCTGAATTTGCCGCAAAGAACTCACTCAAGAGGCACCGTCTTGTGAACTCGGCACTCAAGGAGGAAATTGCCGCCATTCACGCATGGACTGCCAAGTGCCAAACGCCCCAGGAGTGGGAGAAGGCTACGGCTGCCGTCGAGCCCCCTTTGGATGGAACAGTGGATGGAAAGGTTGAGGGAACTGCGGCCTAGATGGTCTAGCCTCCCGGGGGGTGGGGGGCTCACATCCATTGCGGATCGTATTGTCGAGAGGGTCTTACCTTCACTCGTTATTGGTTTAAGAAGATGTACGTCGTCTACGCTGCGCGTCTCGACCCAAGTAGCCAGCGACGAAGGTCTTGGGAAAAACAATGTTGATGATCCAACTTCTGAACCGACTGGGAGCTGCGGTGATATCCCGGCTCGTTCTTCTCGGTCTGATCTTGCTCATATATTCTGCCGACACTTTTAAAGCAGATTCAGCGCGTCTGAGAAAGAGGGGAAGGGGGGGGGTGAAACCAAGTCTTGTATTTTGGTATATCAAAAGGCGGGTCTTGGTATGACTGAGCTTGGTGAGCCTTATCCCGAGCCAAGGCGGACTTGACCATCACTCCATGAGCCCCATTTGTATTCTTACATCCATTTACGGCAGGGACCGCTCATGTAAATGGCAAAATTCAAACACATTTACCAGAAATGCCACATCCCTTCCTGTTACCACCATAAGAACTGATGGCTCGAGCCATGAATGGCTACGTATGTATAAGTGGCCCACTGGCGCTGTCCAAATCATGAAGAATTATACGAATGGATGAGGCTTCCGTTGTCCGGTTTCCTGTGCAAAAAGGTCCAGGCGAGCCCGAAATTTGCTTCAGTGAGAACAGCATTTCCACAGGGCCAGAGCGCCTCAGAGGGAATCGCCTCTTTTTGAGCTTCGCGCAAGCTGGAACAGGTGTAGCAAGCTTGCAAAGACGCTGCTTTTAGAGGGTTTACTTGAATAAACAGAGAATCATTCAGAAACGACTGCAGCCTACCCTTTCAGGTGCTTGGGTAGCTTAGTTTTGTCTGGCGTAGACAAAGATCGTTATGAATCCTGCCAATACTGAATACGTTGTACAGGGCTTCAGGCGTCAGCCTTGTGAATCAACCAGCGTCAGCCCTCAGATTTGGCTTCCACAGCATGTTCACACTTGTGAGTATTATTGTTCAAAGTACTTAGTCGATATGATTTATCTTTTTTGGCTGTTTTGCTAGTTGTAATTGCTGTGTAGCCATATCGATGTTTATTTTCTTTTTTCCTCATGGAAATATACCAAAGATATTGGCGACTTCTGGTTACCCCTCGTCAGTTGGGCCAGAAACTGATCCTTGTTACCATCTTCTTTCAAGCAAGCAGGAAAAGAATAATATAGTATATGTGACATGCCTGAATGACTTGTTTTACCTAGCAGCGCTGAGAGCTGAGCTCCAGGGAGACATTCTAGAATTTTGCCACCATTCTAGGAACTGCCCTTTGTTCTTAATTCATCAAAGGCGGAGCTGACCATTGACAATTGACAAGTTGACAGGCAGGTCTCACCTTTAGGCCTGGTGTGCCTGGCGGCAAGCCATCACTACTACAGTAATGCCATGCCCTCACTCCATGGTGGGGTTATCCCGCCCTTGACCCTTACCCCTGATCCCTACACCCCTGCCGGAGCTACAGCTCACGTCAAAGCCAAAGCGCAAGTTAACATACTAAGACACGCTTTTCAGAGGAGCGCGCACCCAAAATTTAGGGGAGCTGAGAGCCAACAACGACGTGAACCCATTAGCAGCTTGGAACCTGAACCCAAACTTGTGACGACCACAACCTCGACCAAACAACGTTCGCAATCCTTTTTCTTTCTGTTCTTGTCCGTGGCGCTTCTCGTTACCTTTTGACCTTGCAGTTCTTCACATTTCCTACGAGACATCCTCGGGAAATTGCCACCCTCAAGCAGCCCTGTGTTTCGTATTCGGTGCGATTTGGAAGGGGAAGAGAAAGAGAAAAAAGGCCTTTGACATCATCGTACCCTGTGGTACTTCCGCACAACTCTCCTTGCCCCTTCCTCTTCCTGGTCTGCCTGCTATGGCCTAGCAGTCTCCGTGCTTTTTAGGTCTGGCACAATTGTGGAAGGCGATCGATTTCCCGCGCGGGCTTGACGCGATCAGGCACTCCATCTGACATGGCCACTCTGCCGTCAAACGGCGGCTTCGCCTTTGGTGCGGTCAACGGGTCCAACAACCTGGTCAATGGTGATGTCGTCTCCCGCATCATTGGCGCACTTGAGGTCGTCTACGGGCCATCGACAAACCAGGCCCGTCTGGAGGCACAGCAGTTCCTCGAGAGCGTCAAGCCTCTCAAGGAAGGTCCTTCCTACGGCTTTACTCTTGCCTCCAACAAAGCGCAGTCTCCCTTCGCCCGATACTACGGTCTCTCGCTGCTCGAATACGCGATCACACATAACTGGTCCGAATATGGAGATGAGGAGGCTGCCTGTCTGAGGGGCTGGGTCCTCGAGCTTGCCCAGCGCGTTTCTCGGGGCCCTGAAGACCTCCTGTACATCAGAAACAAGATAGCGCAGCTGTGGGTTGAGGTGGCAAAGAGGAGCTGGGGCGCCGAGTGGATGGATATGGATGCCATGCTGGTAGAACTCTGGCATCTGCCGGGCTTTACTGTGCACAAGGAACTCGTCCTGTCTGTCCTCGGCTCGCTCTCTGAAGAAATAATCGGCGGGGACGATCCCATTGTCGCTATGCGCGAGAACGTCTTGGACAAAGCCGTTGTCGACATCTTCATGCCCGCGCCTGTCATTACCGCCGAGTTTCCTAGTCGTGAACAAGGTGCGCCTGTCCGCTGCGGCGATGAAGGCTGGCTCCAACGTGCAGTCGTCCTGCTTGGTGAATGTTTGGGGTCGAACCTCCAGAGTGAAGACGTGCGGACCTGCGCGCTCAAGGCCCTCTCTATGCTTACCGTCATCCTGCCATGGGCGTTCCCAAAGGCGGTCATCGAGACCAACTGTGTTAGGTACATGTATGAGGGCCTCGTGGCGTCTCATGTGGCCGTTCAGAAAGTATGATGTCCTCCAGACTAGTTTGACGTGTTGTTAACTAATGATTGCAGGCTTCTCTCGAGGCTCTACATGCCTTGTACGCTCGTAGCGGGTTCAGCGACGAGCACTTCTTGGCGCTTATTGCACCCATGTACGACAAGGAATGCGTGGAGCGTTTCTCACAACTTTTTGCCTGGTCCACGGTAGACGCTGAAGATATCGATGACGACAAATATCTTTTCGCCAAGAAGTTTTCAGAGGTACGAGCCCAGTTGCAACCCCGCGCGCGCGCGCAAGAGAAAGAGAGAGAGAGAGAGGGAGGGAGGGAGGGAGACGGGTTCAAAGCTGACGGTTGCAGACCATATCACATCTCGGCAATTATCTAGATCGGAAGTTCCACGTGTTTCCCCCAGGAGCCGACATTCAGCCCTTCCTCCACTTTCTCCTCCAGGTCGTTCAGAGCCAGAGCCTGGTTGTCTCCATCCCAATTCTCGTCACGTGGACGCGGATGCTCAACAACCGATCCCTGGGCCCATCCATTGCGAAATCCTCACTGGTCGCCTCTCTTCTGGAAGTCTGCAGCTCCAGGCTGGTCCGATATGAAAACCTCCCAGAGGATACACAGGATCCCACACTTTTGCTGCTCATGGAAGATACGGACACAATCCCGGAACGGCATGCCTTCCTAGGCAACTACAGGAGGTACAGCTCACAGATAATCGAAAGCATCGTTGAATTGACGCTGTCCGATGCCATCAATCACATCCTGGGCCAGACGGAGAACGTCCTTCAACACCTCTACGACGGACATCCTCCCATGAATCCTGCTGCGTATACCAAGAACTCGATGCCTTATCTACGGGTAGATGCACAGTTTACCGTCATCGAATCTGCGCTGAAGGGTTACGTGAGGTCTCGACCCCCCAAGGGCGTCAGCCAAGATCAAATCGATATGCAGCGCGCTCAACTAGACGAGCACCTTGAGGCTTGGTGTAACCGCCTGATTGAGATGAAATTTGAAGATCCACTGATTCGAAAGCGTGTTCTCCAGCTACTAGTCGCTTTCTCAACTACCGCGTTGAGGAAGAATAACGATTTCATGCTCAAAGTTCTGGAGCACATCTTGATGACCTGGCCAGCGGCTCAGCCTGAGTACAGACACTTGAATGAGGCGATTAAGGACCTTCAAGCAGAGAGCATCAACGAGCTGCAGCGATTAGCGTTCAAGATGCCGGACAACCTCCTTGCCGTGTACGATTCATTGGACAACAAGATACAAGAGATGAGTGCCTCTGGCACCTTGGATGAGAGACGATTGGTCAACTACAAGAGCTTTCTTTTCATCATTATTCACCGGGCCACAAATATCGACCCGACGACCCGCCTGCAGAGGCTACAGATGTTCGTCGAGCCCGTCAAGTCCCAGTGGAGGGATGATGGCTTAAAGCGCGCCCTGGAATCTTACCAGGGCTTTTGCGAGATGATCGGTCTGGACAAAGCTCAGAGATATCTGGCAAGCCGTGGTGTGGACAAAATAGCCGACTGGGGAGCTGTAGAACTGGATGCTGAAGGTTCAACACTGCAAGCTGAACTCGAAGAGCGACAGCAGGTACGTGCCTTCGCCACCTCCCTTCTCCTCCCGGCTTCGGCAGTGAATCGCCCTTCATTATGTTCCTTGTATCTGACATCCCAATAGATGCTGCCATTGCGGGCAACTAAGACTTTCCTGAATTACTCGGTGGATAAGTTGGACAAGTCAACTGCACCATACCAAGCATCATGCGCTCTGTGGCAGGACAGTTTCCCGGTCATCCTTCCTCGGCTGCTGGAATTCCTTGCGTGAGTCAATCTTTGCCCCAAAGAGCCGCACTTTCTCGGCCTGCTAAACGTTCTCTATAGCCATGCTCATGCTTCAGCAAATCCACGCAACTGGGCCTTCCTTCCAGCAGAAATGCAGTCTATTGTCGGCCGAGTGCTCACAGATAGATTCTGGCAAGCTGGAATCTCGGAAGGCAGTAAAGATGATTTCTACTCCAGGGTCATCAATAAGAAGAATACCCTAGAAGGTCTGGCATCGTCGATACGAGGTTCTATCCGCTATGTGCGCGAGTTCTGCTACTCGATCATTTTCTGCATGAGCTGTCTCGAGCAACAGTTCTACGGAGTCGCGGACCTTCCGGATCCTCTGGCTCGCGCATTATTCACCGACTGCCACTACCTGTCATCACATCAACTCATTGCCTTGCTGAACCTGGTCAGGCTCCTCATTGATGTCTGCCCAGTTGAGCTGCGGCACCAGTTCCTGCCTTCAATACTGGAAGCTTGTTTCCGACAGACGGATGGCAAGATCAAGTCGGAATGGGACAAGCTGGACCAGGCACTAGAGATACAGGCCGCTGCAGATGCACTGACGGAAGAAATGAAGGCAGAGAGTGTCCTGCGTCAACTCTCCTACTCAGCCGTGATCATGGTGGCCGACTTTTTGGATCCTCAGCGGATAGGTAATTATTCCTCCCTTTTGTTTTTCTCTCCCTTCTTTTTCTCTTTCTTTTGTTTGTTGCTCGGCAGCTCAGGATTGACTTGTGTCCCAGATCAACCTCTCAAAGGAACAGCGCAGAGGGACGATGTGGATGCCACGCCACAGTACCCTTCCCTACGCAAATTCTGCTTGATGCACTCATCGATCATCGAGCCGCTCCTTGTTTTCATGACACATGCCATACGCATGCATGACAGTAGATGCTGCGGCGTTGTATTGAAAGTCTTCCGCTCCATCATCCCCGAGTTTCGAGGGCTTGATGGGAACATGCAGAGGCTGCCGCCCGTCGAGCCGGCCAAGCATGCACCTCCACCGGACGACTTTATGATACCCGAAGAGACGTCGAAGGCCGTCAGGGAGTTCATGTGCGGGGAGGTTCTGCAGGCTTGCATCTCGTCACTCCACGAACATCATTTCGTCGACCTGCAAAGGGAGCTGGGCAACGTACTGGCGGCCATCATAGCAAACTATGGCCAGCTTACCGCGACGCCACGGATGATCCTATCGTCCCTGCCGAATATGCGACAGGAGGATGTCGACCAATGCCTGGCCAATATCACCCGTACTGGGACGAACCAGCGGCAACAGCGCGCGTACATTCTCGATCTGCTCAAGGACCTGAAGGGGGTGAGCATTGCAGAGATGGGCAAGGTGGACAAGACCTCTGATTTCACAAATGCTAAGAAGAAAGCTTCGACACGCAGTCAGATGCAACAGGAGTTCATGACTGCTCCCTCGACAAATGGGCAAGAGGAACGCGGAAAGTCTCCAGACCTCACAGGAGTTGCTGGGTTGTTTGATGGCTAGTTGAAACCGGACAAACAGCGGCCTTGCGCACCGCACACGCCCGGAAGAAGATGGTCGATTGGTTGAAAGGGGAAGAGAGAGAGCGCGAGCGAGCGCGCGCGCGCGAGAGAGAGAGCCAGTGGCGTCTGGTTGTGGGACCCCCACCCTCCCCCCATTCGTTGTTTTTTGCTCGGCTGCCTACACGGCCATTTTCTTTACATTTGGCATGGGAATACCCCCTTGACGTAGAAAACGTTCTTCTTAGACCATAGGCAAGCTCTCAACACCGGTCATCATCTCAGCTTTTCCCGCGGTGATGATTCATGCCGGGTCTTTTCCCCCATTGTCTTTCGTCAACTTGACCTCACTACTCGCCTCCTCCTCGCCTTTTCCTCGCGTAGCAACACTCCTCGTGCCAGCCTAAGATCAAGGTCCGAGCCGCATGATCCCTAGATGGCTGCCGCGAACCCCTCCCCCCTTTTCATACTCGTGAGGAGCCAACGGGACAGACATGAATAACCTGTCAATCACACACCACCCCAATTTTGAGAAGGGGGGTTGCCAAAAGCAACTGTGTGTCGGGAATAAGACAACCAATATGTTCCTACAGTAGTGGAGTGGCCCTGATCCACAGAGAGTACGAAACTGCAGGGTTGATTGAGTAGTAATTCCGATGCAGATCAAGATCCATTCTTCCTTCCGCTTGCACCTTTCCATAACCTGCTTAAGGCCCCATAGATAGATAGCAGTACTCTTTACTATGGTATGTAGTTAGAGTACTGATACTGATACCAGTGTCTACTCACTATGCCTGTGTTGTCGCCGAGACTTGTCGTCTTGGTTTCGAAATACGAATACGTCCAGGGTCGGGTGGAACGACCCGAAAGGAGAGAAAAAGGCACTTCTTTGGGTCGCCTATCATGGTACTCTACCATGGTAGTGTATTCGGCACAGTCGTATGTAAGACCAGGTTTCTCGGCCGAACATCCCCCGGGCAGATGTTTCAAGCATTCCTTTTTCCTTCTTTCCCTTCCCTTCCCTCCTTTGTTACCTTTTCTCCCCGATGGGCGGCACAATTGGCCCCAGTCTAATAACGCCATGGCGGCTTCTGTCTCTTTCTGGATGGAGCTTCGAGTAATATAATCGGCCTAATCGGGCGACTTCATAGTTGAAAGGGGGGGTTGCATATGCTGCAGCCACGACCAACCACATCACACCGATCGTCGAGCCGTCCTATCATATTCCGGAGAAAAAGTGGCTGGTCCCCGATCATCTCTGTCCCTTTGTCTCTAGGGAACTCTCCCCAGTCACAACGGCTTCCCGAGATGCAGTGGAGAGTGTTTGCGTGTGTGTGTGCGTGGTTGCTTTTTATTGTTTCCATCACTACCTAACTAAGGCACGAAAGGTTCCTCCTTGCGGCTCTCGGCACGCTATGAGGTTGGCTCGATCTCGAGGGTCGATTGCAGCACCCATCATCGGGCACACGTGTGGCTGTAGTTGGTGTAATATGAACGAGACCGCCCAACTAACCGGGGGCTGAAGGACGCTCGGTCGCCGTCCTTCACCGCCTTAAGAGAGAGAGAAGATGAAAGGAGATAGGGCAAGCCACGCCAGCTTCATGATGTTCCTATGGCTCGTTTATGATGTCTAACGGCGACGCCACCAGGCTGGTGCACTCTATATGGCATCAGTTCATGGTGCTCGAGCCGCTCGGATCGTCACCGTGAGTGGTCTGTGGGTCAATATTCCTCACTGCAGCGCAACCTCGAAAAATCCCGACTCGGTCAAGTTGCAGTGACAGGAAGGCTTACATGCACTCGTATATGTAGAAAGTAGCAAGGGGTTTCATGTGATGCTACTGTGTGCCCACAAGCCGTGTCGTGAGGGTTTTGTTGGAGGGAGAGGAATTCATCATTCCTTCTCCTGCCTTCTGTTGTACATTTCTGTACAATCATCTGTCTCTGATGGATGAAGGTAAACCTTTCAACAGACGAGAGGGATTCCAAGTCTTGTGGTGACGCCTGGGTTTTGGTGTGCGGATTGCACTTGCCTCGTCTCTTTTCCAAGCAACTACCAACTCCTACTGTGGTATGATGGAAGGAACCCTTGGCCACCAATGCGACTAATACTGAACCGGGACCATCCTGGCCGCCAAGGGTCCACACAGGCATACTGCGGTACTGTCAATGCTACCACTTGACATAATACCGCGAGATTGCCTCGGCCGTTTCAGCAGCCCTTTCCTGACACAGCTCTGTCCCGATCCCCTCTAGAGAGCACAAACCCCAGGCGCAGATCAACCAGCTCGTCATTTGTTCGCTGTTGTCAACGACGACAAAGGAGACAATCAAGCCAGGTTTCTACGCACTGACAACTTTCCGAGCTCCAGTTTCGACCAGAATATTTTGGGATCTGTGTGGGGGTTGTTCTTTTTCTCTGTTACTTGCATCATCAACTACATGCAACTTGCAACTCTACATACATTTGGCTGAGGTGGCTCGACCTCCCACTTCTTGTCATCTCGTCCGATCTATTTGGCCACCCACATACCTCTCAATCCCAACATACTCAGAGGACGGATTCAAAGTCAACACCGAAAGGGCGACCAACTGGAAAGATTTCAAAGCAGAATCCTTGAACCTTCTTCGCTGAACCTTTACACCACGAATGCATTGATCCTATCTTTTGCAATCAAGCCAAGTTACTAGGGGATTTCTTCTTACCCCCCCCCCCCCTTTCAACAACAAGTGGCTTGAGTTTTCTCTTAAACTTACTAGCAAGACATCACCTTCTTCGTCATCAAATCCGTCCATCCAATACACACGCTACCAACCTTCGACCTCTCCCACATACATTGTTTTGTCCACTACCACCTGAGTTTCGTATCCAGCAATCTCTCATCCCCACTAGTTTGATGATCTGGTGTTGAACCGTCAAATAGTTTCTCGTCTACCCGCCCGCTGGCCCCAACGCTCTTGGGGTCTCGAACGATCGTGGGTCTCAACGGTTGACGTACATCTAATCTGCTTGGCGAGGTTGAATCGCAGCCGAAACTCTATTCTGGATCTGGTTCTTGCCTCTTCCTCCCTGTCTCCGAAGGCTGTGCGCTTGGAGCCATTGAATCTTTCAAGAGGTTTCGTCTCCTCTCTCCCCGCCATCGTCAAAACAATCTGCTAGGCCAGAGAAGATTCCACCTTGTACTATCTATCCTTCATTCCTCTTTCTTCCTCCATCTTTCTCTCTCGATCATCTGGATCTTTTAAGAGCCTGGATACGAACATATTTCTTTTTTTTTTCATCCCGCCATCATGGTGTATTGTGGGAAGCCCTCCAGGGGCTGTCAAATGTGCCGCACACGGAGAATAAAGGTGAGCCGTCTTCTCCTTCCGAGCACACCGGATCAGACGAATCGGTCACTCTCTTATAGTGGAATAAGAAGAGAGAGACATATATATGTATTTAAAATGACAAGACTGACTCCTCTCACCGTCCGAAGTGTGACGAGACCAAGCCGACATGCAACCAGTGCACCAAAGCAAGGCGGACATGTCCTGGCTACAAGGACGAGTTCGACCTCGTGTTCCGGAACGAGACCAAAGCGACCGAGCGAAGGGCGCTGAAGAAAGGCGCGCGGAAGTCTCCACTCGACAGCAAATTCAAGAGCAGTAATGTCGTTGTCGTCACCAGCGGCAACATCAGCAGTAGCAGTAGCAGCAGCTGCACCAGCTTGGTCTCACCGACGTCATCTCTCGACAGCGCGCTGTCGCCCACAGGGAGCGGATTCATGCGCTTGCCTTCTAGCGAGGGCAACATCTCACCCCTTCTGAGTGTTCCGACGGAGCAACTAGCGAGCTGTCACTTCTTTTCCAACTTCGTCCTGGTCCCGCGCCAAGGATGTACGAGAGGATTCATGGACTACCTGCTGCCGCTTATGAAGAATGAACCGAGTAATGGCCACTTACAGCATGCCTTCAATGCGTGCTCCCTTGCGCACTTGGGCAACCGTGTCAAGACCAGCCACCAAGATATCCCCAACAAAGCGCTCTCAGAGTACACAATGGCGTTGGCGGCAACCCACACGGCGTTGCAAGACCCGGTCTTGTCAAAGACGGACGCGACGCTGGCAGCTGTGTTGTTGCTTGGGTTGTACGAGAACATTACTGCCAAGGAGATGGGCGTCTTCTCCTGGGGTTCCCACATCGAAGGTGCCATCTCGCTCGTCAAATCGCGGGGCCGCGAGCAGCTACGCACCAAGACAGGCCTGCTCCTCTTCATCGCCGTGCGCACGCAGATGATCATCCACACGCTAGGCTCAGGCAAGGCCCCCATCATGGGCGTCGACTGGTGGCTCTCTGACGCGGTCAAGGACGAGTCCGCCGCCGAGTGCCAGCGCATCAACATCAAGACGAGCGAGCTCCGGGCCGAGATTCTCCGCCTGATGGGCCAGATGGCACGCACGCCTGAGAACATTGAGCTGATCCTGGCCCTGATCCGCCGGGCCCAGATGGTCGACGCCGAGTGCGTGCGCTGGACGAAGAACGTGCCCGACAGCTGGCGGTGGAAGAGCGTAGCGTGGGAGGATAGCGTGCCGAGCGGTGACTTTAGCCGCGCCGAGGTTTTCCCCGGGCGTGTCGACGTATACCGGGACTTTTATATTGCCAGCGTGTGGAACCTCATGCGTGTGTCGCGCCTCATCCTGGCGAGCATCATCGTGCGCTGTGCCGCCTGGGTGTGTAGCCCCGTCGACTACAGGACCACGCCCGAGTACGCCACCGCCGCGAGGACCTGCGTCGATACCATCACCGACATCATCGCCAGCGTGCCGTACCACCTGGGCTGGCATCTCAAACCCGAGAGGAAACACTTGTTGGAGAGACAGCTGAGCGGCTTCGCGTGTGGAGAAGAGGACTCGCTCAAGGGCTTGGCCGGATACTTTTTGTCATGGCCACTGGGCTGTATCCAGGGCCAGGACTACACGACGGACGCGCAGAGGAGCTGGATCAAGGGACGGTTGAGGTACATCGCGGACGAGCTCGGCGTCAAGTATGCGCACATCTTATGCCAGGTGAGTTATTCTTTTCCCCCTTCGTTCCTCGTCCCCCGGCAGCCGGCCTTCCTATATAGATAAGGCAGAGAGACCAAAGGGCCTTCTTCATAACGCCTTGTGAGTCAAACTTGGTCGCTGACCCGTGATCATAGCTCAACGTGCGCATCCCCTCGATGCTCATTCGTAGGGACGGGCTCATGACCCAGCCCTACCCCATTTCTTCCAACTTTGTCAAGCTCATGTCCGCGCGCCATGCGCCGCCCACCACAGGTTACACGATGAACCCTTTGCAGCAGCGCGAGGCCATGCTGAAGGAGCAGTTCGAGAACAAGAGGACAGAGCTACTCCGGATGGCCTCCAACAACGCTGGGCCGGGCGTTGAGTATGTGGCCAAGAGCTGGCTGAGTGTCTGAACGCAGCGGAGGGGGGAAACAAGGAGGGGAGGGGCAGTGTGTCCTCCCTCCTTCACGATTGAGAAAAGGGATTCTCGTACCGATATTTTCAACATGGTAACTTGGCAGGACAGGCTTGGCATTAGAGAGTGTCTTAATTTGTTTCTCTTTTTTCTTCTTTTCCCCCATTCAGGCTTGGAAACCAGGCCATTGACAACCACCGATTGGCGATGGGTATTTCCTTGCAGTCTGGGCGCCATAAGAGAAAAATCACCTCGTTCCAGGCGAACCGGGGCAAAACATTATTTCTGTATATGGCGTTGTCGATTTGTCATTGGCAGCAGACAGCCACACACAACGGAGCTACCCCTCGTAAGGGTTGCGAGCATCTGGGCCGGAGTCTTGCAGTGCGTATCTTTTCTTCTTCTATGTCCAATGATACCTTTATTCATTCATAAGCTTGATTAAGCACATCGTATCTCCGCGTTCCAAATTCATGACTCCGTTATGTGCCCTGTGCCCTGACGCTGCTGCTTCAACTATGCCCTGTATACGCTAGTAGCACTTGCTTCGAGGTTCGCCTCGCCTGGATGGACGACAGTGCCACAATTCGTTTATAGGGTCACGCTGGTAACATGTTTGCCATGGTCACCAGGGCATGGCACCGATATCGTGCCGAGGGTGCCCCTGATCGGTGCTTACCATAGACGATGCCCTATCCCTTTGCTCAAGTCACACGCACAACGCGAGTTCTGCGATTGCCGACATCCTTTGCTCCTTGTGGCAAAGCTGGAAAGTTTGCAAAGCGCAAGCATGAAAAACGTTGATGTGCATGAACTTTCAAAACGTATTGTCGTAGCAAGTACACGTAAATTGAATGCAGGAGAAAGCTGGATATCGTCAAGTAGATCCATGAAGAAAGATGACAAAAAATACCATATTTCACCGGGTATCGTCGAATGCGCGCAGAGACAATTGTCAGTCGGCCGTTAAAACATGATCATAAGCGGCCAGTCTATATGGTCGGCCAGGATACGCCAGCAAGATAAATTGTAGCAAAAAGACCAAGGAGAGGTATCCACGCGAGGGCGCAAATAAATCTGGTATGGTATAATCACTTGCTCTTCTTTCCGGCCGCCTCCTTGTTCGCATGCAGATTCCAGGCGTTGACGAGATACTTTTGGGTGGCATCCACCTCGTTCTCGTGCTTGACGTGCTTAACGCCGACCTTCAGACCGTCCTTGGTGAAGACGACATTCTTCTTGCCCATGCGCTGGGACACATTACCCTGCATCTGGTTGACGCTGAGGTAGATTTGGTAGCCGACCCAGGCGAGCCCGGCGATAACGGTGAAGAAGATGACGAGGGGAAGGAGTTGGCTATTGGGCACAATGTCTGGTCAGCCCTCTTTTCAAATTGGGATTTTGAAGCGCGCCCGCCCCTGTGTATGGAAGCTGCTGAAGCAGATTGGTAGGTAAATACCTGAGGAGGGAGGGTTGAGGCTTTGCTTTTCCCCACGCCATCTTGAGAAACCAGCCTTCTTCAGTGGCTGGACTTGTTGCTGAGTCGGGGATTGTAAACGATCGAACCGATCGTAGCAGGGCGGTGGAGAGGCACAGCAGGCGTCTGAAGACTGCGACTGATTGATCGATCGATCGACGAGCCGAGGTTCCACCAGACAAACAAAGAGGGCCTGCGAGGTAGAGAATGACTTGTGTCAAATGCAATTTGGTCGGAGGCTCGTACCTGATGAACGGCTGGTGAGGAAAGGAAAGGAAATTAATAATATGAAGAGAAAGAGAGAGAGAGAGAGAGAGAGAGAGAGAGAGAGAGAGAGAGAGGAACGAGGATCAGGAGTTTGGGAAAGAAAAGGGCAGGAAGACGTTGTTTAGAAGCTACACCCTAAATATGGAAAAAGGATGCTGTCCCCGAGTCTACAGCTGAGAAGCGCGTAAATTTTGCCAATTAAAGTGATAGTTGGGTGGCTAGCAGGCTGATCAACGCCAGGAGAAGGCCTGGGTCGAGAGGGAATCTGACCTGCGTACAGGCGAGTCTCAGGGTCCCTATGCTAGTGATTAGTGTCAGCACTATGGCTGTACATCACTTGCACCATGGTAGCAGATCACCATTACACCCTAGCACGACAGTACAGTACTTTCGGCCCTTGCAGGTGTTACGGCGGGGAACTCAGGGCCCAACCCTCGCCAACATACAAAATTTCATCATGATCGCTAAGAAAGACAGGTTGTCGACCTGCCCCTGCCAGCTGAGATACTGCAAAGCAAATGGATTCGGCCGACAGCCTACCTAGCAAGTACGTACAGTAAATATATAGTGGTGCCTGCCTGCTGCAGGTGTGTTGGATGGTAGGAGCAGTAAGGGATCGAGGGCCCGCGGAGCAGGCACTGTCAGGGAAGGCCGCCCCCAGCTATCACGTGATACAGGCCCGCAGTTAAACATCGGTGCCCGCAGGTCGGGTCGAGAAGTGTCCGCCCACGCCCCTCCTCCCATGCGAGGCTGGAGCTACAGTTGACGAAACAGGCCAGCTGCACGCTACTACTTCTAGAGGCCACACAAGGCTTGACAGGGCCGCATACAGGGCAACGCCATTAGGTCTACAGCCGGTCAGGCTTCAGGTGCTAGTCAGAAAGGCTGACTTGTCTTCTTCTTTTCTTTGATACGTCGTCGAGCTTCTAAACAGGTCCAATTGTTCCTTTTCAGTGATCGTGTTCCTCACTATCGCCCTTGCTCAACCTTCAACTGTGGTCGAGTTGTAAAATAGCTGACCAGGGCAGGACAAGGCCAGGTTGCCATAGCCCATAAAATAGGTCCCCCCGCCTGTCAAATGTCCAGCGTATCCAAAAGCTCCACACTCTGCGTACGCTCGCTCCCTCGACAACCTCGACCCAGCCCAACACACCTCGACCATCGCGACCAGCCTGCCCATTTGGTCTCTCGTCGGACGCGCACACCCTGTCGCATTGTCACTCGCCCCTTTGCGATCCTCTCTGGGCCTGCAAACATCCGAGCAACGCTTTAACAACCCCCGTTCGAGCTGACCTCGGCGGCCTACCGCCCTCTCCACGCGACATTATGTCTGCACCCAACGACTACGGTCAAGGCCAGCCTGGCTTCCAGCAACCATATGACGGCCAGGCCTACGAGAACCCTGCTGGATCCCCGCCGCCTCAGGCGGCTCAACACCCCGCAGAGGGAGCGGGAGGCAAGAAAAAGAAGAGAGCTTACGCTGCTGGCGCGTTCGATGTGGGAAGTGGCGGCAATGCCGCCGTGGGAGGCCAGCTTCCCGCTGGAGGCCAGTTCGGCGCCCCTCAACCAGTGACACCTGGATATGGTGGCTATCCAGGTCAAGAACAGCCAGCTGCAGCTGCAGGTTATCCTGCAGCCCAGCCCTTCACTCCCGTTGCTGGCCCCGGATACCCCCAGCCAGACTACGGTGCTGCTCCTGCGCCTGGTGTTGCTGGACTCACTCAAGGCATGTCGAACCTGCAGGTGGGAGGAGGCCAGCCTCTGCCGCAACAGCAGCAGCAGCAGCAGCAAGCTCCTGCGCGCGTTGGGCCCCTGAACCAGCTGTATCCGACCGACCTGCTCAACCAACCCTTCAACGTCTCCGAGCTGGATCTGCCCCCACCCCCAATCATTCTTCCTGCAAATGTGAGTCCGCGAGCAGTGCCCTCACCCCCGTGTGTGTTCAGTTGGCTCACCCGACCAAAAGTCAAGCTGTACTCCCTCCGAAGATGCGAACTGCCCTCCAAAATATGTGCGATCGACCCTCAACGCCGTCCCCACGACGCACTCCCTCCTCAAGAAGTCGAAGCTCCCCTTCGCGCTCGTCATCCAGCCGTATGGCTCGCTTCATGATATGGACGATCCTGTTCCTGTCGTCCAGGACCAGGTGATCTCACGGTGTCGGCGGTGTAGGTCGTACATCAACCCGTACGTGACTTTCCTCGACCATGGACATAGGTGGCGGTGCAACATGTGCAACCTCTCCAACGACGTTCCGCAGGCCTTCGACTGGGACGCCGCGGCTCAGAAGAGCATCGACCGGTGGCAGCGGGCTGAACTGAATTCCGCGGTGGTGGAGTTCGTGGCCCCCCAAGAGTACATGGTCCGACCGCCTCAGCCTCTCGTCTATCTCTTCCTCTTCGATGTGAGCTATGCGGCCGTCTCGACCGGCCTTCTGGCGACGAGCGCGCGCACGATCCTGGACAGTCTGAGTAGGATACCCAACGCGGACCGGCGCACTCGTCTGGGCTTCATTGCCGTGGACTCGAGCCTGCACTATTTCTCTATACCCAAGGACGCGGATGAGAATGGAGACACGAACATGCTCGTCATCAGCGACCTCGACGAGCCTTTCCTGCCGGTCCCTACAGAACTTCTGGTCCCTCTGAGCGAGTGTCGCCAGAGCATCGAGAACTTCTTGACAAAGCTTCCGGATATGTTTATCAACAACCAGAACAACGGATCATGCATGGGTTCCGCCCTCAGGGCTGGTCACAAGCTGATCTCCCCCGTCGGTGGAAAGATTGTGGTCCTGAGCGCTTCGTTGCCGAACCTGGGCTACGGCAAGCTTGACATGAGGGAGGACAAAAAGCTCTTGGGCACATCCAAGGAGAGCAGCCTGCTGCAGACGGCCAATGGCTTCTACAAGAGCTTTGCTGTCGAATGCTCAAAGAACCAGGTCTCGATCGACATGTTCCTCTTCTCCTCCCAGTATCAGGATGTCGCCTCGTTGAGCAATCTTCCTCGGTACACTGGTGGTCAGACGTGGTTCTATCCCGGGTGGAATGCTGGGCGGCAAGAAGATGCTATCAAGTTTGCTTCCGAGTTCAGCGACTACCTGTCATCGGAGATCGGTCTGGAGGCTGTTCTGAGAGTGCGCGCCACGACGGGCCTGAGAATGAACACATTCTACGGCAACTTTTTCAACCGGAGCTCCGATCTGTGCGCTTTCCCAGCCTTCCCGCGCGACCAGTGTTACGTGGTGGAAGTAGCCATTGATGAGACCTTGTCTAAGAGCATGATCTGCATGCAGACGGCTGTGCTTCACACTACCTGCAACGGCGAGCGGCGAATCCGGGTCATGACCCTGGCCCTGCCTACGACGCAGAGCCTGGCGGACGTTTACGCCTCCGCGGACCAATGCGCCATCACCACATACTTCAGCCACAAGGCTGTCGAGAAGGCGCTCAGCGGCGGCCTCGATGCGGCCAGAGACTCGCTGCAGACAAAGCTCGTCGAACTGCTCCAGACGTTCCGGAAAGAGCTGGCTGGCGGCAGTATGGGCGGTGGCCTGCAGTTCCCGGCCAATATGCGCGGTCTGCCTGCCCTGTTCCTCGGCCTGATCAAGCATGTGGGCCTGCGCAAGTCGGCCCAGATCCCCTCCGATCTCAGGTCTGCAGCGCTCTGCCTGTTATCGACGCTGCCTCTGCCGCTGCTGATGCAGTACATCTACCCAAAGCTGTATTCACTGCACGATATGCCGGACATCGCAGGCACGCCCGACCCGGAGACCAGCCAGATCGTCCTGCCACCGCCGCTGAACTTGTCCTCGGAGCGGTTTGTCTCGTACGGACTGTACCTCATTGATGACGGGCAGACACAATTCCTGTGGGTCGGCCGCGATACGGTCCCGGCCCTACTGCAGGATGTCTTTGGTGTCGCCGACAGGACACAGCTCCACGTGGGCAAGGGTACAGTGCCAGAGCTGGACAACGACTTCAACGAGCGGATCCGGGCAGTCATCGCCAAGAGCAGGGATTACAAGTCCAAGGGCGTGGGCAGTATCATCCTCCCGCATCTGTACATTGTGCGCGAGGACGGCGAGCCCAGCCTGAAGCTGTGGGCGCAGACCTTGCTGGTGGAGGACCGCGCAGATCAGGGTATGAGTTTTGCACAATGGATGGGCGTGCTGAGGGAAAAGGTATGTGTTTGTTGAGTATTGCCTGCACTGGAGGCTCGACATTGTAATGCTAACATTCTATGTTTTACAGGTTGTCCAGTAATCTGGCCCAAGGTAAATCGCATGCTTCAAATGGTGACTTTAATTGTATAGACATCAGACGTCAAAAAACACAGAGCAGTTGATCATCTTTAAAAAAAGAAAATTCGTTTGAGCGAAGTCGCCTGGCTGTGATTTTGAGAGTTACTCCTGTGACATGTATGCTGTTTTTTTTTCCTTCCTTTTTTTTTTTTCTTTTTTGTCTTTGGAGGCTTGGTACATGCCACCGAAAACCTTCGTCTCCGACGTCTTCACCGTGGAGTGGCTTGTGATATTTGGGGGCGAGAAACGCTGGGCTACGCAGTGGCCTGACCGGGGCCGGCCTTTCATCCAAAAGATGTTCCCGTAGTCGACGTAAAGGCCAGAACCCATATTCGCCTTTGGTGAGAAAACCAATGACAGTGCATTGCCTTGTTTTTTTTTTTGCATTTTTTGGCCGACGAGAGCCGCTGTTGTTGGTTGAGGCGCAGGAACACCCGAACCTATACCGTTCTCCGTAGTTGGTCTTTTTTTCCCCCCCTTCTTTCTTTTTCGTTCTTTTCCTGTTGGATTTCTGACCCCCTTCTCATCCATTATTGAACACGTGGGCTTGGCAGATAAGCTATTCAGATGATGCTGATTGATCATCAAGAGAAATCATCTTCGGACAAACTGTTGTCAGCCCAGTGCATACTCGGCAGGTTCCGAAATTCTTCCTCCCAAGGCCAGTTATCCCACGTTGTCTGCTACTTAAAAAAGGTAACAATCAGATCTGTTTCAAGTACTCTGGAGCGGGCCTGTGAGCACCGGGCCATTGGCGACCGAAGGATTTTCTTCTTTATTCTTTCAAGAACACCTTGCAATGAGTTTATCCGGGGGCCACAAGAAAAGCGGCCAAGTTGCAAAGCATAGCCTGAATATACATAATATGTTGGTGGGGTTGGAGGAGACCTGCAGTGCTGGCTTTGTCATGCGGGAGTTTATTTTTGGGCGATAATTATCTTATAGGCTTATACTTATAGTAGTAGCTAAGGGGGCATGGGCGCCTGGATCCGGAGCGTCTAGCCCAGCCTGGCATGGCTAGACAAGCCTGGATGAAACATACTGGCCGCCCAGTGAAGGACCTAAATGCTGTGTTGAGACAGCCATGCCGAGAAGGCTGGCGCCTAGAGAACGCATCTTGGTAGGACAAGGCGGCTAGTGACTCTTGGACGTATGGTAGAGGAACAGCGGGAGAACGGCCTGGTTGGTTGGCCGGACGAGGCAAGGAGGGCACATTGCAGAGATGCCGTCCGGTGCAGATTGGTGATAAGTAAGAGAGACTCCTGTATCATCATGAACCAGCCCAGTCTATACGACACAACCAGGAAATTGTGTGGAAGCGAGGGGACCACCCGGGGTGTCGGGTCTCATCTCATCCGGTAGCGACAGCGCCGAGGGGGGAAACGTGTGTATGTTTGTGTAAGTATTGTCTCCTCTCATGTATCCCCAGGGTAGCCAGGTCGAAGGGTGGTGATGACAAAGAGAAGCAGCCGAGAAAGTTGTAGAAAAGTAACCCAAAGTGGGGTGGAGGAATAAGGGTGGTGGCCTTTCAGTCAGGTCAAGGTCAGCCTTGTGGCGGCCCTTTTGCGTCCCTGAAATAGCGCTGGGCTTTGGTGACAATGAAGTGAGAGTAGGCCTGGTTCAAGACCAGATGCGAGGCCACTCATCTCACGTCCTCCTCTTGAGGCTCTGCACATCCACTTTTACATGCCTTCAGGAGCGGGTAGGTAAGTACATGGGTAGGAATAGATGCTCTACTACTACAGCATGTGGACGGACCGTGTTGGACAGGACCACATACTGGACCAGGCCCGCTGAGGTCAACACACATTTGGTGGACGTGATGATGATGAATGGGCTCTTTTGAAACCAGCCTGGCGGGAAAGGGGCCAGAAAAGAAAGACGGTAAGCGAAGAAAGAAGAAGAAGATGCTGACCTCGGCAGATGGGAACCTCTTTCCTTACTATGGTAGTAGTTATTTTATGACAGGCAAGTCTCTTATTAGGGGCCGCCTTCTGCCGCTGCCGTTCGTTCTTTCTCTCTTCACCTGTGTGCCTTTCTGCCACTTGCCCATCCTCACCACCTGCGTGTTGTGTCCGTCCTTTCTCTTCTCTTTAGGGAAAGAAGGTTTCTGTCTGGCCTCCGTCACAATTCTAAAGGTTCGTCTTTCATTTCTCTCTCTTTCTCTCTCTTCTCTCCCCTTGCCTCGACTATCCCCACTCACAGCCCACTCACCGTTCACCATCACCATTCATTCGTTCCTCCCTCGTATGTGCTTGTGTGTGCTATGGCTGCATCTCGTTTCCCCGCCGTATTCAGCTTGCATCCGTGCCATCGAACCAAAGTCGCTGGTCTTGTTGTCGGGACTCCACTCTTGCAGTTACACCTACTCTCCTAGGGTCACTGAGGTAGACCCCATAGAACACGGATACCACTTTACGGGTATCAGATGAGAGAGGGAAGAGAAGCAGGGTCCCCCAGGCCCGCAGCCCTGATACAAGGACCCGGTTCGTCCCAGGGGTTACCACGGTTCTCACCACACCACACTACAGCACCCACTGCAAGCTCATCTGACCAACCGACCTCTCACTACCTACACACTAAACACACACACCACACCACATGAACAGCACACACACTTCTCAGCCCCTTGCACTCTCCATCCATCCATCTTTGCTGCCTGCCTGCCTGCCTGCACCATCCTATTCACTAAATTCAGTCCCCTTTCTCAAGATTCTTACCAGGTACGATAGGTCCTTAGAAACACACTGCGGATAGCCCTTCTACGATCCATGCTCAGCACCTCGGAACGGTACGTATTTATTTACCTTGACTACTTTACAATCCACCACAAATCATGACCCCACCCACCAAAACACACAACCCAGACCTTTGGCAGCTCTTTTTTGAAGAACCCTGCGAGGGCCCAAGCGGTTCAATTCAGCTGGCCCCTGTCAACTACTGTTTCAGCGCTCTGGCGTCCATGAGTGATGATTTCTGGGCGTCTGTCCACTGTCTTCTCTTTCCACATGGATGAATGACTCTGGATTCTATTTTCCTATTACAAAGACACCTCGTGGCCCCCTTTCCCCCTTCGAAACCCAGTCACCATCATCTCTCTCTGTCCCAACCCGAGAGGTTTTGTGGATATTCTCGATACTAACACTCGGATCTTGTCCCCATACACACAGACCTTGACGGATAGAGAGATCAGAGTACCACCCACTTACTCGCTTCTCCTCTCTCCTGCCACCAGACAAGCACTGTGCCCCCACCCCGCCTTCTGCTCGTGGCCCAGCCATCGATCGCACCCCACCCTCCTCCTCCTCCTCCCCCTCTCGTGCCCCCCAAAACAAGAACCTTCCCACCTCAAGGTCCCGCCATCTTCTCCTCAGCTTGATTCCTTGTCGACTGCTCGCTCGAAGCAAGCATCTTCCTGTCTGTAAGTACCCTTTTACGCACCCATCTGCCGTATCGCCCTCTACCTCTCCATCCGTCCTTCCTCCGTCGAGCAGCCGCCCGAGTTCCTTAGGCATAGCTCTTATCACCTAACCACCACCTCTGCCACCTCCTCAAAGAAGAACCCTCTCGAGACGGTTCTTCTCCTCGTTGTATGCCTCTCAACTGACTGAAATCTCCCACAATAAATAGGAATCGCGTCATCCTGTACAGCGTAACGTTTCCCTTCGCATAGCCGCCCGCATCGCCCGTGTTCTCTCTCTGCCCCTCCCCGACCGCTCATCATCCGGTCCCGGGTGACCTCTTAGTTCGATCCCTCATCTGGCGACCTCCCTTTTCGCCTCTCCTCAGTTTCCTACCACAGGGCCGAGACCAAAGAGTTTCATAGTTCTGTTGGGACCAGTATTCATTCAACCCATCAAATCGATCACCTGTGCACATTTACAAACGCAGCGGCACCAGTCAGCATGTCACGATCCCAAGCTCCCAACCCTGCGGGGTCCCGCAAGATATCCTTCAACGTCAGCGAGCAGTATGATATTCAGGACGTTGTGGGTGAAGGTGCCTATGGTGTTGTCTGGTAAGTCTGAGTCGAGGAGATCGCGCCGCTACCACTCGAGGATCTACCCTCAGCTGACCCTGCTACTTCGCACAGCTCTGCGATACACAAACCCTCTGGCCAGAAGGTGGCCATCAAGAAGATCACCCCCTTTGACCATTCCATGTTCTGCCTGCGGACCCTGCGTGAGATGAAGCTCCTGCGTTACTTCAACCACGAGAATATCATTAGCATTCTCGATATTCAGAAGCCCAGGAGCTATGAGACCTTCAACGAGGTCTATCTGATCCAGGTATGTCCGCTGTCCTACAAATCCTTCTTCCTCCGCCGTCCCCATGCAGGGCTTGCACTAATTTGACTCTACTTACCGTTCAGGAACTGATGGAGACCGACATGCACCGTGTCATCCGCACCCAAGACCTTTCCGACGACCACTGCCAGTACTTCATCTACCAGACCCTGCGGGCACTCAAGGCCATGCATTCCGCAAACGTCCTCCATCGAGATCTGAAGCCTTCCAACCTACTCCTCAACGCCAACTGTGATCTGAAAGTGTGCGACTTTGGTCTGGCTCGTTCCGCTGCTTCTCAGGAGGACAACTCGGGCTTCATGACCGAATACGTTGCGACACGCTGGTACAGAGCCCCAGAAATCATGTTGACGTTCAAGGAGTACACCAAGGCTATCGACGTGTGGTCTGTGGGTTGTATCCTGGCCGAGATGCTCAGCGGCAAGCCCCTGTTCCCGGGCAAGGACTGTAGGTGTCGCCCTTAACGTTAGGCTCTTCGTTTAGACCCATGGCGCTAACACGGCAGTATAGATCACCACCAGCTCACTCTCATCTTGGATGTCCTCGGCACCCCCACCATGGAGGACTACTACGGCATCAAGTCTCGCCGAGCTCGCGAGTACATTCGGTCGCTGCCCTTCAAGAAGAAGGTGCCCTTCAAGACCCTGTTCCCCAAGACCTCCGAGCTGGCTCTGGACCTCCTCGAGAAGCTGCTGGCGTTCAATCCCGTGAAGCGTATCACGGTCGAGGAGGCTCTGAAGCACCCATACCTCGAGCCCTACCACGACCCCGATGATGAGCCCACCGCTCCCCCAATTCCCGAGGAGTTCTTCGACTTCGACAAGCACAAGGATAACCTGAGCAAGGAGCAGCTGAAGCAGCTGATCTATCAGGAGATCATGCGGTAAATACTTTGCGACTAGAGCATTTTCGGCTGGCGAACGGCGTCCAGGGAGAGTCTATGTTGTGTGTTGTGTTGCGTTGGGTTGGGTTGCGTCGCGTCGTTCAGGTACCTAAAACGGCGTGGTGAGGTATGCGCAGATGGTATGTATGGATGATGGACAAAGAAACCTTGACTCTATACTATGGTAACGAATGGGCGGACACACACGAAAGCTTGGAAACTGTATGGGTTGCATTTCGGGCAGGAAAGTAAGGCAGATTACGACGATATTCTTCTTCCTTTGTGTGTTTTGACAGGAAGAGAGACGAGAACCAGATTAAGGATCATGTTGAGAAGAGCATTAGCTTTGGGTGGATAACCATACTGGAAATTTTTTCTTCTTTTCATTCTTCATTCTTGTCTCCAGTACTCTCTATTTTGTTATATGCTTTGGAGTTGACATGCTGAGATTATAAAGCCATTGAAACGTATATGAAGAAGCCGCCTTTCCTCGCCCTCACCAACTTCATTTATGGATGAATGGAACTCGCTTTCCGTCTCTCGTGCACCGTTCGCAATGTATGGAACTCTGATGGAGGAGACGTTACCTGGCGCTGATATCGGGCATACATATGAAGTCGGTGACACTTGGGGTATCTTAGGTTGCTGCTGCTACTGCTGCTACTGCTATTGCTATCTTGCGCGCCGAGCTAGTCAACTCCCCCCCCCCCCTTCCTTCTCTATAAATTCCACATGCGTGCAGTCAGGCACGCCTTTGGGGGAATCCGTCTTGTCATTTTTCCTTCTCTCAACCCTGAGGGGAGAAAATGGTCCGGGGCGTCTCATCTCCCCAGCCTTCCTGCGGTGCTCGCCGCTGTCGTCCTCTCCCATGCTTATGCTAGGATTTCTTTGGTGTGTATCTCTTTCAAACAACGATAGATCTCCACAGTAGGGGAGAGCACGAACACGCGGGCATGCTGATGATGTCCGGACGGGCGGTCCATCTTACACTGGTCATTCAAACTTCGGAAGAGGATGACGGCGGCTAGCCTTTGATCACCTCAAAGCTTGGATGGTTGAGGTGCAATTCATATAAAAGCCTTTCCAGAAAGGGCACAAGAGCAGATCTCGATCCAGTCCTTCACCGCACTCCACCTCCGCGGCCAATTAACCACATCTCCACCCCCAGCACGTCAAACTTCTCGCCCTCGTCGCTCAGCGGCTCGTTCCCAAAAGTCAGGCACCGCGAGCTCACGCCCTTCTCGAGCGAGTCGTTCAGCCACAAGCCATAGTGCCCATCACCACCGCCGACCGACAGCCAGTGCTGCTCACAGTAGATGTAGAACTCGTTCTCGCCGCTGTATGGGAACGCCTTGAACCTGATGGATGGGCCTATTGATAGTGCTGGGCTGGCCGTCCTTGGAGGGGCAGAGACATGCGCTGCTATTGGCTGTGGAGGGGCGAGGGCCGAATTGTGAGTGGACGGTGGCGCAACGGAGGTGGGTGGATTGTAGGGAGCCGGAGGTTGTGCGGGAGGGTCGTCGGAGAGGTCGATGAGGTCTCCCGACGGTGCAGGCGCTGGCTGAGGTGGTGAACGCGGGAAGGAAGATCGGGTTGGGCTGGCGATGGTGGTCACTCTGGCTGCTGCAATGTTTGTCGTGTCCTCTGACGGCGGTGGAGGTAGGGAGGCGAGGAGGGAGGCGCGCCAGAGGAAACATTCACCATTACCAAAGTAATGGGCCTGTGGCCGCGGCGGATCAGAAAGGTAGGCACCAAACAGCTATGTGGATTAATTCAGATAGAAGATCAGCCTCTGGTCTAATCACTGCGCAATTTGGGACAAAAAGGACGAAGCGGGGCAAAGAAAGCAAATTACTCACGCCTCCGTCGTTGTCCTTCACTACCAGTACAAAGCTGGCTCTCTGGCCTTCGTAGGCACTGCACTTCTTGTACAGCGTCCCCAGACTTGCGCCGTCCTGATCCAGGCTGTACACAAGGTTCCACTCATCTTCAATGCGCTGGCGCTCCGGGATCATAATTCGGATCTCTTCCGCTACCACGGGCGTCAGCAGTCTTGCCGAATGCGTGGTGTCATCCCTGAAGCCTTTGAGCTCGAGCGGCTCGAGAGGCGGTGGCCGCAGCGGCGAGGCGGACCGGTGCATTGGTGGTGTGTAGACGCCGCTGACACCGTTGCCCTGGAGGCGCGGCCAGGAGGCGCCGTGGGTCAACGACGGGGGTTGCTCGCCTGCTGTCATGTCGCTGAAGCGTCGTACGAGTCCGCCGAAGCCTGCTGCGAGCCCGTGGAGGTAAGAAGAGGCGGCTGGCGCCGTGGTAGGAGTGGCGTTGCCAGAGGCGGAGGGCGAGGGCGAGTACTCGTCGGAGCGGTGCCCGTGTCTGGTGGGTCTGTCATGGTCGTGGTACGCCATGATTGGCTCTTGTTCCTGATGATGTGTTGTAAAGAGAAAGAGACAGAGGGGTTGTAGTCGAGGCAGTAGGAGAGAGAGGGGTTGGGTGCACAGTATACTCAAGATATTCCCAGCAGGAAGTAAAGGTGGGCTGTGTGGACCCGAAGGCGAAATTGCAGGACAATGGGACAATACAAATCCTCGCTAGCCAGGAGCAGCAATAGCAAACAATCTCATGTCACAAAGAGGCTACTCGACGTAAAAGAGAGACATGAAAAGGGCAGGTGCTGACTGTAGTTTGCTAAACATGGTCGGTGTTCTCTCAGGTTCTTATTGACCGTCACAGTTCAGTTCTAAATCTGGAGAAGCTGACAGGACCAAAGTAAGCCGGCCAAACCCCCTAGCAATGCTTCTGTCACAGGCCTGATCCTAGCCTGGCATGAGCCTGGGACCTATGACGTCCCACTGGAACAAGGGTGGGTACTCTCGTGGGCCGCCCCGGGCCGTCTGCCATATCTTCTTCGCTACACCCACTGCAGTATAGGCCCCCTACGTACTAGGTACGTTCCACCACCATTTCAGCTTTCAATTCCCTTTCTGTTCGAGGGTATTTCAACTCTCAAAAGAATAGGCATCGAGGTCAAGCAAGTGTACATTGATGCGACCTGGAAGCAGACATCACCAACAACAGCGTTGGGTGTTGGTCCAACGACGTCTCCCCTCTCCACCTCGTCAGGAGCTCCGCAGACTCAAAGTCAGTCAGGGCATTGTTTTCTGCCGGTCCAGCACACACTAAGCAACGTGTGAGACCGCTCTCGTCAACCCCTTCTCTGCCGTGGCTGTGACCAGTGCACGCGCTATTGCTCTTCGCAAGGGAGGTACGGTGACAGCATGCTTAGGCGATGCTTCTGTATCTCGATCAACGGAGAGACACTGCCTTATGACTTGCCTCCAGGACCGAATCGACACAAGGTGACACCGTCCACCAGTCAGTCAGGTTCTCACTAGAGCTTTGTTCATGTGAAGTCGCTCAAGACCTAGATATCTGAGGCGCTGGTCAGACAAGGCCCCCGATAAATGGACAGCCCATTACACAAGAAGAACCTCACGGCTGAAGGTAAGGCCTCCTTCCTCAAAACTCAACAACTTTTTGGGAACCGATTTTTCGAGGGTCACAATTGTGACATAAATTGCTTGATCCCTTCTAGGACACCCTCGGGGCTCGGCTTCTTAGAACACACGTCCGGCTCGAAATCGAAAGTCCTCTTTAGATAATCCCGAGTTGTAGGACCAATAGTAGCGATAAACCTTGTTCGACCTGGCTCTTTTGGCTTTGCCTTGCCTGTTGTCTCGTCGAGTAGGCCGAGGACTTGAAGCATAGCATCACAGCCTGTTGGAGAGAAGACCACAATCCAGACCATGGACCTCTCCCTTGTCTCCAGCAGACGCTTCTTGAAGTCATCTGCAAACGATTCCATGACCCCTGTGCCGTACACGACAACCTCGTCTACTCTGATTCTTTTCTCCTCAGGCAGTTCAGGGTTCATGAGCGTTTTTGGGATGATGTCTCTCCTTTGCTCCCCCACAAGGAACAGTAAGGCCGGGTTCTCCTCGGGGCGGTCTGAATACCAATCATCGTAGTGGTCCAGGATGAATCTGGCCAGATTGTCACCATTTCCGGTGTGCTCTCCAAACACCTGCAGTGCTGGGTCCGATGGCACGGCCTTGAGGGCCCTGGTTGTGGCCGGGCCAACACTGTACACTGGCACTTCGCACAGGTGTGGCCATTGCCGGTCGCCACCTTGTATTCATCATCAGTGAACATCATGAGGAGGGGAAGTAAATGAGGAACTTCTCACCCCGTCCATCTTGCACGATCTTGGTAAAGGCCTCGACCGCTCTCTGGGAGGTGAATACCAGGCCACCATACGCGGCCCCAAAATGTCTGCCTATCATTTTCGATTTAAGCATTGTTTCTATCTCTCCCATGCCATCCTGTTCGAACCTGTGCTCCAGAACGGGAACGAAAGCAGGCTCAAAGTGGGGCCCTTGTTGTGTCTGAGCGAAGATCTCTTCGTACCCATCTCCAGGTGTCGATTTGGTCTTGAGCAGCAGTATTGGTATGCCGTCATTGGTCTTGTCTTCAAGTGGAGAGGCCATCTTGTCTCCTCGATAGAAAAATGCATCAATAGATGAAGAAAAAAGAAAGGGGTTAAGAGAAGAGAAAGAAGAAAGAGAGAAAAGAGAGAGAGGGAGGGATAGACCGGTTTGAAGTTGAGAGAGTTTGCGAGAAGCCTCGCAATTAACCATCACAAAGTTAATTTTGACTGATGAGCAGGGACATCCGGCGAGCTCACCCCACCTACCCACCCTCCCACCTAACGCTGCAGTGGCTACACACAGGGGCCCATGCAGCTCCAACTGTGCTAGGCAGGTGCCGCTGATGTCACCGAGCAGGGCCCGCGAAACTTTACTTGCATCGCGCTAGAATTTCTAGAAGCGCGTTTCCGAACCGTGAGCCCCATCCGACTGACAAATCCTTGAGAATGAACCATACTCTGACGAGCTGGTGACACGCCTGGACTCTGCAAGAACAAAAGTACTCACAGGACGACGATACGATCATGGCTGAGGATTCGAGAGGAACCCAGAGTGACACCACTTTGGCGACAGTTGGACTGAATGGCGGCGAGCAGTCCAAGCCTCTGCCTCCTGGCATGGTCCTGGGCCCTGATGGAAAGCCGTGCGCTCTTCTTGACCACAAGCATGTATTTAATGCGTGCTTTTGCTGACCATTGTCATAGCTGCCGGTCTTGCACGTCCAAGAGCGCATTCTCGGCATGGGCAGCGCAAGCTAAAACGATGAAGGCACCCCAGACGACCGCCGCCGCGACAACGGCCTCGACAATGCCCCCCGTTACCGAGACAGACGACTGCCCAGCCGATGTCGAGACTCTCGGACGGCACTCGTGGACACTTCTCCATTCCATAGCAGCCACGTACCCTACCTCTCCGAGCCCCGCGCAGCAGGACGACGTCGTAGGCTTTGTCAAGCTCTTTTCCAGGCTCTACCCGTGCTGGGTGTGCGCCGAGGACTTCCAGAAGTACATCCGAAAAGACCCGGTGAGGGCCGGCAGCAGGGGCGAATTTGGAAAGTGGCTTTGCGATGCCCACAACGACGTGAACAAGAAACTCGGCAAGCCCGTATTTGACTGTTCCAGGTGGGAGGAAAGGTGGAGGACGGGTTGGAAAGATAGGAGGTGTGACTGAAGCCGCACAACATCTCAGGCAACTCGGAAACGACGCATGAGCAATCTCCAGTGACAAGTCGACGATCGACAGCATTTTCAAGGCGTTTGTAAGAAGGATACGGTACATGGAGAAAAGCATCATTGCTCATTTAGAGATATCTACAGCCTATGTGGAAGAATTAACCCCACTCATTGAAGCAAAAGAACTCCAGCGGCTGGCAATCCCGACCAACTTGGGTGATGAAGAGACTGGCTGCAGTTAGCCGCCTTGATTGATCGTCCACAGAGATGGGCTTGATAGACAAGGCTGTTGAAACCCGGATGTGTTGCCGAAAAAAACTGGGTCTCTTTTTCTTTCCTTTTCTTTTTCCCCCTTCTTTTCTTCCCCAGCATGCGGGAGTCTGAACCCACCAGGCTCGTGACTTAGATCATTGATTGCAAACTCTCTCTCCTATTTTCCACATCGGCCGACCTCGCGACTATCTGATCGCGCTCGGCATTATCAGCTGTGTCAAAACCTGACGCGGCGAGGGATGATTACCCCGCTGGAGGAGAGTCGTCCAAGTGTTTGGTCTTCTCCCTCCGAAGCTTGCCTGCTTCATGTGGTCTGACATGCATGCTATCACCGGTGTTGGGTCCAATATCTGGAATACTACCGCCAAAACGGCCTCACCTAGTCGCCGCTTCTAACCGATATCTCGCCATGGCCCAGTTTTCTTCCTCAGTGAGGTCACTCACGGATTCGGTATATAAGGGTGCTCAAGTGAGACCTTATCCTTTGTCCTGTTTGCGTGGATGGAGTCATTTAAAGTTACAGGAAACGGCCCATATTCGAACTCCACGCTAAACGTTAACGGTCAACTGGGTTGGTACCTGTAGTTTGCGCTCTAGGTACTGTCTGTGGTCCTTATCATTGTCGTTGTTGCGTACTACAGCTGCTCGTTTCGCTGTGTGTCTGTTACTTCAACACGAGAACTCATTCTCATAGCCACGATGGGCTCTACCGACTACAGGCTTGAGAAGCTCGAGCAGCCCGTCGATGTTTCCGAGTATCTCTTCAGGAGACTTTACGAGGTTGGCATTAGATCTGTCCACGGCTTGCCTGGAGACTACAATTTGGTGTCCCTCGACTATGTCAGAAAGGCCGGTCTCAGGTGGGTTGGCAACGTGAATGAGCTCAATGCTGGTCAGTACGGGTTCATCAGATAGATACCTTTTGTTCTCTCACAGCCTGTCATTACTGACAAATTTCAAGCATATGCCGCGGACGGCTACGCCCGCGTGAAGGGTATCTCTGCCCTGGTCACTACGTTTGGCGTTGGAGAACTCAGCGCTCTCAACGGCATCGCCGGAGCGTACGCTGAGCAAGTGCCCTTGATTCATATCGTGGGGTGTCCGTCCACTACATCCGAAAGAAATGGCCTCTTGCTCCACCATACCCTGGGCAACGGAGACTTTAACGTCTTCAAGAACATGTCGGCTCAGATATCATGCTATGTCGCAAAGCTTAACAGGCCCAACGAGATTGCGGACGAGATCGACCACGCCATCCGTGAATGCTGGATCCGCAGCAGACCCGTGTACATCATGCTGCCTTCAGACATGGCCTCCGAGAAGATCGAAGGGGCGAGGCTGAAGACACCTCTTGATATGTCAGAGTCAGCGAATGACCCGGAGAAGGAGGACTATGTAGTGGACGTGATCCTCAAGTATCTCTATGCAGCCAAGAACCCGGTCTTGCTGGTCGACGCCTGCGCCATCCGTCACCGTTGCTTGGATGAGGTTAACAGCCTGCTTAAGAAGACCAATCTCCCGACTTTTGTTGCGCCCATGGGCAAGGGCGCCGTGAATGAGCAGGCTCCCAACTATGGAGGTGTATATGCGGGTAATGCTTCGCACCCCAGTGTGGCAAAGGCCGTGGAGGGTGCAGACCTTGTGCTGTCCATCGGCGCTCTTAAGGTAAGATTAACGATCATTAGGTTTGGAACCTCACTTGCTTTTCCAGCGCAATAACTAAAACAAAAAAAAAATTGCAGAGCGACTTCAACACAGCAGGTTTCAGCTACCGCCTCTCTCAGCTCAACACGATCGATCTGCACAGCACACACTGCACCGTCCGCTATTCCGAATATCCCGGCGTCGCCATGCGCGGCGTCTTGCGAAAGATCACCGATCGCATCGTAACGTCGCAACTCTCCATCCGTCCTCTATCTCCTGTGGACAACGGTCCATCTGCCAACGACAACGACGGCTCCCAGACCATCACCCAGTCCTGGCTCTGGCCTCGTATCAGCGGCTATCTCCGAGAGAATGACATCGTCGTCACCGAGACAGGCACCGCAAATTTTGGGATCTGGGAAACTAAATTTCCCCAGGGCGTGACCGCACTAAACCAGAACCTCTGGGGCTCAATAGGGTGGTCGGTAGGCGCGTGCCAGGGTGCGGCGCTTGCGACGAGGGACACGGGTGACGAGAGGAGAACAATTCTTTTTGTGGGGGACGGGTCGTTCCAGCTCACGGCGCAGGAGGTGAGTACCATCATCCGCCATCAGCTCCGGGTCACCCTGTTTGTGATCTGCAATGAGGGATACACAATCGAGAGGTTTATCCACGGTGCGGATGAGGCGTACAACGATATTGCGACATGGAGGTTCAAGGACCTGCCGGCCGCGTTTGGTGCACACGAGGGAGAGACGAGGACCTTTGTGGCGAGGACGAAGGCGGAATTAGAGGCGTTGCTGGGTGACAAGAGCTTCCAAGAGGCGGCCGGCTTGCAGTTTGTCGAGCTATATATGCCGAAGATGGACGCGCCCGGGCCTTTGAGACTGATTACTGAAGCGGCTGTGAAGAATAATTCGAAGGCAGCCGAGTGAGGAGGAAAGCATGTGCGATGGTGTGTCACCTCCACTTTGCCCGGATGTGTTTGCTTCGTCGGAAAACGAATGTGCTCGTCTTCTGCGTCCATTCATTTTCGCCAAGAAAAGTTACACCATATGCATTAAGAACGGCTCCAAGATGTGTATATGGATAAATATCCGGGCGTGCACTGGTCTCGTTCAGTATTCTCGTTGTAGTGTTGAAGTCAGCAGACATCATTTATGCCTAAGAAATGCCTGAGAAGATTTGCAACGTGAAATTGAGGAATTCACAAAGGGCATAATAATTCCCGTGCAGACTACCATCACATTAAGCACATCTCCTCTTTTGAGGAATTTAAAGACAATTACGTATCTAAGTGCTCAAGTATGTCATGTGGCCTGAAAATTTCCAAAAACAAGGAAGAGAGAGAAGGAGAGAAGGGAAAAGCAACAAAGAGAGAGAAAACACCTCCATTGGAGCCAAAGCTCTGCTTACTATATTCTTCTTTTGTCCCCCCTCCCTCCCTTTTTTTTTTTTTTTTGAGCCCCTTCCTTCTTCTTCGACTTTCATTTACGATGGTTTCGGCGCTTTCCTTCCCTCGTGAATGGGTGTTGAGACCGGGGGTCCCACGTGACGGCCTATCGTGGATTACAGGGATTGACGGTCAAAAACTACTGTAAGGCGCATGCATGACCTTCACTCTTGCACCTTCCTTCCTCTCACACGGAGCTTTCACAACGCCACCAGAACATCAGGGTTCAGCACAAAAAAATAACAATGGCTGACTTGGGCAAACGCAAAGCCGCTCATGGCACAGAGGGCGATGGCTCATTCAGAAAGAAGAAGGTAGGACGGCCCAAAGGAAAGGTGGTGGAGCGGGATCATTGATTAACGCACCGTCCCCCCAGGCATATGCCACCCAATCAGTGAAACAACCAAAGCTAATCAATGCTACAGAAGGGAAACAGTGGCAAATGGAAGGTTCCGAAGAGTGATGGGTCGGAAAGACCAAAGGCCCACACCATTGAGCCTGGCGAGATGGGCATCTGGGTGACCTGCCCCCTGCACATGAAGGGCAAGGCTGCTAGAGAGATGGAGGTCCTTTTTGATGAGGTTCGTCTAAGTCACCATGCAAAAGGCAGAGCAAGGATTGACCTTTCACAGTACGCGGAGAAGATGTATGGAATCAAGACCGAGCAAGGGCCTGTCGATGGCGATGACGAGGACGAGGGAGACATTGAATCCATCATTCAGAAAGAGGTCGGCTCCTTGAAAGACAAGAGCAAAAGTGCTTCAGATCGAGTCTTCACTGAAGTTCGTATCAACCAGGAGTGTCTACTGTTCATGCGATGCAAGGCACCAATCGAACCAGTTGAATTCTCGCGGCGCATATGCCAGGATGCCCTCACTGTCGGCCACGGGAGCGCTCGAGCCCGATATTTGAACCGGCTGACACCTGTGACCATCATCACAAAGGCTACCGAGAGTGGGCTCGAGGAGGGCGCTAGAAAGGCTCTTGCTAGCCACTTCAAGCTCAAGCCGAAAGAAACAAGCACGGGCCCCGGTGCTGCTGAGAAGGACGGCCAAACAGGGGAGGTCGAGAACGCAGATGGAGAGACGCAGCCAGCTACGGTAGGAACCAGATTCGCAACTATCCTTCCACATCTTCTGACGGTAACCTCTCCTAGTTCGCCATCCGTCCTTCAATCCGCAACCACAACACTCTGAAGAGGGACGATGTCATCAAACAGATTGCCAACATGGTTGATCCACAACACAAGGTCAACCTCGGAGCTCCACACAAGGTCATATTATTGGATATCTATCAGGTGAGTGTCTTGAACCGACTGCCAAACTAAGCGCTTTTTGTTGACAAATGACAACGTAGACGGTCTGCGGGATCAGTGTCGTCCCCGGCGACTGGGATGTGCTGAAGAGATACAACTTGACGGAACTCTATAAACAGGCCAACGACTCTGGCATCAAGGACACGAACGGCGATGCTGGGAGAAACGGCAGCAAATCTGCAACCAAGACTGAAGAGAAAGTGGTCGCCGAGCCATGAATAGCGCAAGGGTTGCCATACCCGTCGACAAAAAAGAGGGGGAAGAGAGAATTTGCAGCAGTCAAATCCTTCGGTGCACGGACGACTGACGACTGACGCACATTGGTTTTCCATTGCTGTTCACCATGTCGGCCCTCAGCAGTTCCTGCCTGAGTATGCAAGCAAGCGTATGCTCAAGTGAAGATTTGGAATCAAGTAGCACTTTGACAGAGGCCTGGCATTCTTTCTGGGAGCGGTTTTAAAGGCGTCACACTAGGCCATTTCGCGACAAAATTGACGAGAGACACCGAGGACGGCCACTTTTAGGGGACTTCCCGCACGCTTTGGCGTCGAGATGACCAAATCACAGCCAATGGAAGCTTTTGGTGCTTCCTTTCCAGCCATGACGAATACGCGTGCGACACAGAAAGACGCATGAGAAGAAAATTTTCCCCGAAAGACAGGCAACTGAGATGTGTGGCGGACCGTGTGGCTGATAACGTACGTTGAGATGGCCTTGACAATCTTCGCATCAGCCACCAATTGCTGAGAATTATATTATGGGAAATGGAAGAAAGGCAGGCTCGCTTGCGCCGTTGCTGCGACCCAATCACAACGCTACTCGGATCTGGTCTGTACTTGGAACCACAAGGAGGCCGCAAAGCCTCTATTATCTGACTTGTCTTCCACCAGCTCCGACTGATCGACTCGCTTGTCTCTTCCGTATTGCTTACGAACTTAAGATAGAAGCAAGGCGACGAGGCGATGAATATGAGTCACGTGAGATCGACGAGCTCCACGGCTGCAATCTGCCGTGCTCCTCCGCCTTGTCTGGTGCTACCGAATATTCCGCTTGGCCCTTCGGAGCACCATCGCGTGCCATGTGGACTCGATGATCAAGGATCAGTGTATTCAGACGACGTGGACTGAGATTCTGAACACACCGCTCTCTCCCTCTCTAAAACCCAAGTCGACACTCGTACATCTATCACCTCGCTCGCAGAGGCTGGACTAGGTCCTTTAGCCGGGAGAGGTCCATTGCCCTACTCAATACGAGGTCGCTTCCCAGCATCCAGGTGCAACCAAGGCGGCCGATTAGGTGTAAGCGGGTAAATTCAGATTTCCATCAGAATCCACTCGTGTTCTCCCTTTGGTGCATCAACTTCTGTGTTGCAGGAAGCCGAGGACACATTGTCCACGCAGCAATTCTTGCCCAAAAGCATCGGACTTGGCATAGTAAGGGAATTCGGCGACACACTCTCCAAAGATGCATACGACGACGACAGCCTAGCAGAAGACGGTCGCCGACTGTTGGCTGAGCTCAACGCACGCATCATAACTCGTCAGAATCCACGCTTCGCCTTGACCCCCGATTCCATCTTCCGAGAAATCGAACTTACAGACAACGGTGACAAAGTACCACTTTTGTGTGGTAGTCTTCCCTGACCCAAACACGCTTGAGTGTTGCTTTTGACATTTCAAGGGGACCCAAGTCTTCATCATCTCGTGAAATAACTCAGCCCTTCAAAGGCGGGCCTACACGAGCGGCCTTTCTCCGGTCGAAATCTTCCTTTCGCTTGAGGAAACGCGTCATATGTCAGCGGACTAAGAATATCGATGTGATGCCTCAGCTTGCTGCCCCCCCCCCCTCTCTCTCTCCATAATAATCATGTCAAAGGCTCTATTCCCGGGAATCTCATATATTGAGCCTGAGTCTGGCTGCCAGCTCCAATATCTTCAGAAAACTCTTCGGTCTCAAGTTCAGGAACTAGTAGAACTGTCCTACAAAGGCTCCGTCCGCCATCCTGGTCCGCGATACACAGCCATCCCACCCGGAACAACATAGGTCGGGACAGTCTCACCGTACCTTAGACGTCACACCAAGCAGGCCTTCTGACTCTGCTTGCAATGTAAGTCTGCTTCTAAAGTCTCTTATCATTATGCCCTCTGTTTCGGCAGTCCTATTCTCACATTCTCCATAGACTCGGCTATCCAGTGACCGTAAGCCACTCTCATCCAAACTAGAACAGATCGCGGCCCCTTTCTCGTTTTCATCTACCAACTAGATGTGACCCGAAACACCTGTCTATTGTATATATCTCTAGCTTACTATGCGAGATGCATCAATAGAGAGAAAGACAGTTTTGTCAATTCGGGGGCGTGATCGACCACAGTGACAGTGTTGTCGCGGCCATCAAGAGAACAAAGTGGAGCAGCAACGCATACATAAACACGTCTGCCATGCCTGGGCTACAAATCTGGGAAGCTGGCGGAGGCTCAACGCGAACATCACCGACCCTCCTCCCTGTCTCTCCTCGCTCGCCTTGTCCTTTGACTTTCTGTGTCTCACCTGTAACGAGCGCCCAGTCGAGTGATTCGAAGGTTGGTCCGTTAGGAGCGCCGTTAGCCGGCGAATGCCGCCAGCTATTCGCCAGCGGCGACCTCGCGCGTCCTCCAGGTCTCACACAACACTGCTACACAAGCTCGGTTCCTCAAGCACCGCCGGTCCGACATACCAGCCTTTCCTCTGAAGCCGCTGTGGGTGACAGTAGCGGAATCGAGCCCGCGATAGGGCGAGCCAGCTTACATACGCCGGTATCCAAGACTACGGGTGCCGGGTCGGTCTTGGACATGGCTTCCGTGCAGGCGTTATTAAACGCAGTCTGGCCTCATTTCAGGTTGGATGCATTGCGCATTGCACGTCTACCTGAGTCCCCACATCAACACGGAACACGTGAACCCATAAGATCCCATTTAACAGGCGATGCTGCTTCGAGAATGCACGATATGTTGGTGCTGGTTCTGGCTCCGCCTTCCATGGTGAGGCTGCTCCGGTCAGAGCGATGGACCGTCAAGTCAGAGGCCGTCATCATCAAATGGATCAGAAGTGTGCTTCTCTCTGGCGGCTCGGCGCAGATGAGGAAAGAACACTTGGAGCAAAGTGGTGATGAATGTTTGGCTTCGGGCAAGGCGCTGGGTCTCCTCAAAGGTCAAAATACCAACAGCGAATTCTTGCAGGATGTCGACTTGTTGAATTTCCTTCCTACTGATATCGACCATACGCAATCACTAAAAGATTTGGGGTCGGCTATATTCGCGCGTCTTCAGGGCCTGTCACTCTCAACCTTACCCGAACGTTTGACCATCCCAGAACGAAGACACATTGACTTCCAGACCGGGAGACTATTGCGTCGGATCTCACTCCTGCAAGCACCTTCAGGGAGGTTCGGTCCGGCGGTTCCAGTACTCGGTTCGACACCTGGGACTCCAGGTCGAGCAAAGATGGGCGCAGAAGCCTCCAGAGGGGTGGGCAACTGGGCCCCGGCGTTCCACGTCATGCTTGAGGGGGTACTGCGAGATGCTGAAGATATGGCCGTGACGGTCCCTTATTACGCAATACGACGGCATTTCCAACGACTCGGCCATTGCTTAGACGCAGTCAAAACACCAAGACTGGTCGTTCTCGACGCTGCTCACGACTGGAACATCGAGGCCGAGAGGGTCACCATCTCTGGGAACGTCACGAGAACAAAGCAGGAACTACTAGCATTGCAACGCCCGCTTGAGAGCTGGGATGACCCGGATCACGGCAGCAAAGATAGAGGGCCCCCGGATCGAGATCATGCTGCAGGCATACGAGTGACGGGGCTGCGCGACTGGAGCAACTGCATCTTTGGCGACCCGCTGATGGCCATGGTCTTCACCGAGAGGCCCTCCAAGGACTTTCTACGCGGCTTCAGCGGCCGGCCAAGAAGGCAGTCAGAATACGAGTCCGATTGCGACGAGGACTTTGCCGTTCGCCTCCTGTATGGGAACCTAGTTGAATGTCAAGAGGAGGCTCATGTTCGTCTGCTGTTGTACCAGTGCTTTCATGCTACGGTAGCTGTGGTGAGAGAATTCTACCGGCCACGAAGTGATAGCACGAGCAGGGAATTTGCGGCGAGGAAGAAATTGAACACGGTGCTGGCTCGGCTAGAGAGCATAAAGGAATATTCCAAGAGAAGCCATGGGAGACCGACTAGTGAGATGTCGCCAGCAAAGAGGCCCAAGACGGATGGCCTAGTTGGAGGGCTGCTTCATGAAACATGATCAACAAGAAAACTGTATGAACGGCAGGTCATGCCGATGTATTTGCTCTTTTAGTACCAGTTTGAGATCAAGCATGTCATCTAAATCAATAGACTAGTTGAAATTCGCACAAACTCCCTTTATTCATGATCTGTGCAGCAGGAGCCTTGCCAATTCTTTATGTTTTCGCTTGTTTCCTCCAGTGCTCATCTGACCGTAAGCTGTACATGATAAATGGTGCTGAACGGTGCTGAACTGGGCGAGCGGATGTTGTGAGCAAAGCTCAGGCTAGCAGTACAATCGCAAGGAAGCTATGAAGTTGGGTAGGCAATGTAAAGTGTTAGATACCGAAGCAAGGAGAGACGACCTTTGGGCCGAGTGTCACATATCACGGATGCGTAATTGAAGCAGTCAGAGACTCATACGTTGTTATCTTCATATGGGTCTGGATCAGGGGATATCTTATTCATTTTCATCGTCGTCTTCATCCCGCGGTAGACGAATTCCCATATCCGCCAGCATCGTACCAACCGGGCCGACCAGGCCTGCTTGGCCTTTGAAGCTTTCGAGCAGATTCTTAGCGAGGTTATAGTCGATGTCCACTTCCTCGTCTCCACTTTCGTCATCATCGATATCTTGGGCATCAGCAATCTCCTCCGTGGTTGTCGTTGCAGCCTTCTCTTTGCCCTTGCCCTTGTCCTTGAGAGCCTTGAGTTTCTTGGGCGTCGGATCCAAGTCTAAAGCTCCGTGATCGTTCAGTTCTGCCGCCATCTGTTCCGACAACTTCCTGATCTCCTCGTCTTCACTGTCCTCTTCTAGGTCGTTTGTTGATGTTGAGGCTGGCATTTTCCCCTTTGCCTTGCTCGGTGCCGGCGAACTCCCTGCCGGCAGACCCATCATCTCACGCATCATGCGGGCGAATTCTTCCTCGTCGAAGCTCACGTCACGATCTTCGCTACCGCTCTCCTCGTCTGAGTCCGTGGCATCTTCATCGTCGTCTTCATCCATCTCATCAAGCTCTGCACCGTCGATTCCCGCCTTGTCGTCGTTCAAGAATGCCTCGAAGCGTGAGACGACCTTCCTAAGATCAGCTTGTGCATTAGTATCCGTAAAGCCTTCGCCTCTCGAGGTGCTAGCCTTTCCATCCAGCTCTTTTTCGAAGTCCTCAAAGTTGATATCCATCCAGGAATCGTCATCGTCACGGCCAGCGTCTTGCCATGAGTTGAGGTCAGCATCCGCGGGAAGAACCGAGTCTCCGTCTTCGATCAGATCCTCAAGGATGAGAAAAAGCTCTCTGACCGTCCGCTTGTTGCTCTTGGCTGCACCAAAGGCGAGCATCTCGAATCCGCAGGTGACCTTCATGCCGAGCTCGAGCCGAGCGTGTTTCTTCTGATCCTCCTCATCGGCCCCTGACACAATCGCCCTCTCAGATGCGGCCAAAAGATCTTGCCAGACTGGAGGTGCCGAGAAATGTTGAGACTTTAGTTGCGCATACAGGACTTTTGTGAACTTGACGCTCGAGTCTACAAGATCATTGGGCGGAAAGGTGAGCCGTTCGGGAGATGCTACCAGGAGGGGCTTCAGTGAATTAGGGTCTCTGAGATAGAACGCCTCGATAGCGGGTGCAATTGACTTGGGCAGCTCATGAATCACATATGCCAGCCGTCTTGGTATGGTGACGACAGCATGGTGTACCGATTCCTGAATCTGGCCGGGGTATTTCTCTAATCGATAGAATGCTTCTGCTTCGATGAACGTTGAGTGAACAAGAGAGTCTGGCGCGGACTGAAGTGTGCTGAAGGCCTGGGACAGGTCCATCTTCTTCGATGGCACGCCAGAGTCCGACTGTTGGAGAGGTATAATCCATAGTTGGCCGCCATGTATCCAGGCTCTATTGGCATCATTTTCCGGGTTCAACCACTTTGGCAGCACATTGGCAGCCTCGACCAATAGGAATTCTCCGTCGCTGTCAGAGACTCGCACCCATAGATTCGAAAATTGTTTTGTGAGCTCCCGAAGCATGTAGACGATCAGCCATTCGTCTTCTATGGAATCCCCATAGTCACTGATACCATGGAGATAATGCAGGCCTGATTTTCCCTCTTCATTAGTATATCAGAAGAGATCATATGGGGAACGTGGCTGGAAGCATACCCCCTTCATTTTTCATCTCGAGCCCAAAGCCATCACGCTGCCAGATATAGCCCCTGGTGAGATCTTTTGACAGTTCAATTGCCGCTCTTCTAACAGTCTCGAGGCCCGACAGGATGTTCTTGGCTTGTGCATCTGCCTCTAGCACAAAGAGCATGTACTCCACACAATTGTCGGGCAGCACCCGTTCAAAGGCCTGAGAGCGTTGACCTATGACGTCCGGGTCCTCAACGACATCGTTTCCGGCCATACTGTGCTCATCAGATTGTTGTGGTTTCGATATTGTGAGATGTCTTGGAAGCTTGGAACATCAGACCTATTCCACTTGCCAGATATTATCTGAGCTGACTTGAGAATGATTTGAAAAATAAGAGCAGAAATGAGTGCGTAAGTGGAAGAACCTTAGACTCTAGAGAAGTTTGTGTGCGTAAGTGGAAGGACCTTAGACTCTAGAGAAGTTTGTGTTGTTGAAGTAGTCCAGAGAGTGTGCAGTGTGGTTGGTGGGGCTAGGCCTGCAAGGGTAGCAAGGGAGATGCTGGAAGGCTGGGCAGACCCTTTGTGCGTAGTATTTACATAGTACAGGGTTACATACTTAAGGTTTCGTCCACCGCTCAACTTAGCGTGTTTACTGCGGCGCGCTGCGCGTCAAGCCTTACTTACGTACTGCCTCTGGTTTACCCCCACAAAGACCGCCTCGACCAAGACATTCCGTCCAGCACATTGAGGCTGGGTCGGCTTCTTGACGCTTCTCTCTGACAGGCTAGCAACCAGTCAAGATGCCCAGTCGCACTGTCAACAATCTTGCTGCCGGCGCTGCCAGGAAGCGCCGCCGCGGAGACGATGACGACCAGGAGGATGCCGAGGAGGATATTATCGAAACGCGCGAGGCACGTTCTAATCTGCAGAGCGACGCCGTATGTGAAGCTCGATTTCTTATTCTGGAGCCTCTTCTACTGTTCTACAAATTATTCTGCGGCGTATGCAGCAGCAGACTGTTACTGACACTCTCGTTTCACAGCGTCGCAAACGCGCCCGAATCTCTGAAGGCAAGCAGCCCGCACGAACAATAGCTGCCCGCGAGCCTTCTGAAGCATCGATGGACCGTGGCGAAGATGGCAATGATGGGCTGCGAGACACGGCCCGTGACGACGAACCAGCCGCTACCCAGTACGACATCATACGAGACGATGGATTCAAAGACCTCATGCACGCCGACGACGACGACAGGCGTGCCACCCAGAGACTCCAGCAGAAAGACTTGGAGACCCAGGAAAGGCGCCAAGGGCTTTTCAACAACAGAGCCTCTGAAAATGGCATCCTCTTGGGCATTCATTGTGTCAATTTCATGTGCCACAGCAGCCTAAACGTCGAGCTCGGTCCGCTTCTCAACTTCATCGTCGGTGAGAACGGCAGCGGCAAGAGCGCCATTCTCACGGCAATCACCCTCTGCCTTGGCGGAAAGGCAAGCGCCACCAATCGAGGAGGCAGTCTGAAAGCCTTCATCAAGGAAGGGCAGCACGAGGCCAGGCTCATAGTCAAAATCAAGAACGAGGGCCAGGGTGCCTACCAGCACGACATATACGGGGACTTTATTCAGGTCGAGCGCCGCTTCAACAAGAGAGGAACCAGCGGCTTTAGGGTCCTCTCTGCTGGCGGCAGGGTCATCAGCAAGAGGAAGCAGGACGTCGACGACATCGTCGAGTACTACTGCCTCCAAGTCGACAATCCGCTCAATGTGCTGTCACAGGACAACGCACGACAATTTCTCAACCAGTCAACGCCGAAACAAAAGTTCAAGTTTTTTATGCAGGGAGTACAGCTGCAACAGCTGGATGATGACTACCGCGTCGTCATAGGGTACATGAGCTCCAATGAAACCAAAGAGGCCGATCTTCAGACGAGACTGGACATCTGCAAGCGGGACCATGAACGAGCCAAGAAGGACTACTCTCTTTACATGGAGTCCGAGAATTTGCGTCGTCAACATCGGCTCTTATGTCGGAAGCTGGCCTGGTGCCAGGTGGAGGAGGTCGAGCGCGAGGTTGCCGAAAATGAAGGCAAGCTTGTTGAATGCGACGGGAACATTGCAGATGCGCAACGGGCTGTCGACCAGAAGACCCAGCAGCTGGCCCAAGTCGAGCGACAGATCACGCAGGCCGAAGAAGACTTCACGACGACCGACGAAGCAAATAATGCTTTGCAGGCCAAAGTAGAACAGGCGCAAGGAGAACACGAGGAGGCTAAACAGGCTCTCGTGAAGCTTAACAGCGACGAACGTGATGCCTTTGGCCGCGTCAGCAATGCTCGCAAGAACGTCAAAGAGTACGAGCGGATGATTCAAGAGGAAGAGCAGCGGCTGCAGGACCTGAATGGAGATGCTGTCATGCGGAGGAACGAGGAACTGAAGGCAGCTCAGACAAGGCAGGCCCAGCTCAGGAAGGACTCTGAAGACTCACAGCTGCGCATCCCGGACCTCAACAGAGAGATCGAGAAGGTCAGCGGAGAATTGCAGACACTTGACCAACTGATGACCGAGAAGAAGAATGAAGCTGTGGCTTTGCAGAAGAGGATCCGGGAGCTTGAACAAGGCCAGAACTCGCTCTACGACGCATACGAGCCACAAATGACGCAGCTCCTGAGGATGATTGACGCGGACGCCGGGTTTGAGCAGAAGCCCGTGGGGCCCGTAGGTGCCCACATTCAAGTCCTAAAACCCATATGGTCGCCCATGTTGGAGCGGATGTTTGGAGAAGTCTTGAACGGATTCGTTGTGACGAGCAAGCGTGACCAGCAGCGACTGAGGGACATGATGAGCCGCCTGAGAATCACCAAAAGCCCGATCCTCATTGGCAATTCAAGACCGATCGATACGTCCAGGCACGAGCCAGACGAGAAATTCGATACGGTTATGCGAATACTCAAGATCGACAATTCACTGATCCGCAATCAACTTATCATCAACAATCGTATCGAGAAGGTCATTTTGGTCGAAGACCAAGGCGACGCGACCCGCATCATGGTGCACTCCACACCTCCACCCAACGTGGCCGCTTGTTTCCATCTCTTCCCAGGGCGACGTGACTGGACTGTGCGGATCTCTGTCAATGCCAACGGTATCACATCCGCGCCGTCGCGCCCTCCAGATGCCAATCAGAAGCCTCGCCTGAGGAGTGACTCCCTGCAGGAGACTTCTCTTCACAAGGAGACACTGCGCCAGCTCCAGGGAGAAGTAGGGGATCTTCAGCAGAAGAGAGCGATGCAGCAACGGGCCTTTGAACGTTGCCAAAAGAGCATCGTAGACATCAAGAAGACTGTTGACAGCAACAAGCAAAAGGCAAGGGAAGTGCAGGTCGAGATCGACGACATCCAAGCCGAGCTTGACTCTTTTGAGGGCGTTGATGGGAGGCTTGAAGGTCTTCGTGCTGACTTGAGCAAAGCCCAAGAGGACTTCGACCACTATGGCAGCTCATACGGCACTACGCAGCTGAGGAAGCAAGAGCAAAACCGGACCTGCGAAGGTCTGCGGGACAAGGTCAAGGCTGCGAAGGCGGCTGTGAGGGAGTTTGAGCCTCAGCTTAAGAAGGCCGAAGACAAAGTCAAGAGGTACAAAGATGTGCGTCAGCTTACGGTGCAAGAAAAGAACGAAGCACATGACCAGCACGCGGTTGCCATCGACGAGAAACAGCGCCATGAGCACAAACGTGAGGAACTTCAAAAGACTGTGGCCGAGTTTACCGCCCAGGCGGAACAGATTTGTCCTCGGATCCACATCGCTGAAGATGAGACATACGACATTCTTGAGAAACAAATGGACTCCCTACGGGCCACGCTGCAAGAGCGCGAAAAGAGAAGGGGCATGACCGACGAGGAGGTCCGACGGCGATTGGACAGCAGCTTCAAAGCTCTTGAGGAAGTGCAAACGGGATACGCACAAGTGCGGTTCGAAAACCAGGCTTTGAAGACAACTCTGGAGGACCGGCTCTCCAAGTGGAGAAAGTTCCGGCGGTATATTTCCTCGCAATCTCGAGCGAACTTTATGTACCTGCTCAGCGAGCGAGACTTCAGAGGCAGGCTGATTCTGCGACACGATCTTCAGACACTGGAGGTTCAGGTCGAGCCGGACAAGACTCGCAAGAATGCGGCGGCCCGCAGCACAAAGACTCTGTCGGGCGGTGAGAAGTCATTCTCGTCCATCTGTCTGCTACTCGCAATCTGGGAGGCCATGGGCTCTCCACTACGCTGCCTTGATGAGTTTGATGTCTTCATGGACAATGTCAACCGGGCCATCAGCACCAATATGCTGGTTAGTACAAGTCTCCTGATGCCCTTCTCTCTTCAAGATAAAGACACTCACGCTTCACAGATCTCGGCAGCACGCAACTCAGTTGGCCGTCAGTTCATCCTCATTACCCCCAATGCAATTGAGGGACGTGCGAACTTAGATCAGGATGTCAAAATAACGAGGTGAGTTGTGCGAACGAGGATGGATCATCTACCCACACTGAAAGGCTAACCTTTTCCTCCAGAATGCGGGATCCCCGTCAGCCAACAGTGGACACATACATGCGTTCGACTTGAGGATGAGAGTCTATCTGCGTGTATGACGGTGCACTCGTTGCTCCGTGAACCGCTTCTCGTCTCCTTTCACTCACAGGCATAAACAAACAAAGCGATTTTGCGGATGGAGAAGGTATTGGGATGGAGTTTTGGTGGCTTGATTTTGATGTTTTTGCTTTGCTTTGCCTGTCGAGATACCTTATGTAAAGAAGCTTCATGACACGAATCAGACTATGTTCTTGCCCTCGTCATCGTGGTCGGACAAGAGGAGACCTTATGCACGAAGATCTTGGCACTGGCACTCTCTGCATGCATTATCCCGAGGGCGCAATGCTCATATGACTCGACGACTCGTGCCTGTGCAAATGTAATTTTTATATTATTTTGATATTCTTGGATCTTTCATATTGGCATGCCCTTGCTTCTGAGCACGTTCAAGCCCGCGCCTGCTGTGAAGCCGACCCACTGGCCCAATGAACGCAGTGACCCGCCGACGTCCTGCACCTCCTCTAGTCTCCTGCGTAGGAACTTTCTCGTGTCGGCGAAATCTTGTGACTTGTCAGTCGTCATGAATAACTCGGTCGATGCATAAATGGCGGACAGAGACGCGCGCTTGGTGTACCACGATGGGTCGACGGAGACGTCGCCCGCCAGGAACCATATCTCGTCCGACAGCTTGGCGAGTTCCCTGAGAGACTCGGGGACATAACTCGGTTGGGCCATGATCGCGAGAGCCTGTGATCGTCATAACTACCTGTCAGCAAAAATCCTGGGCCTCAACTTGTCTCTCCTGTCCTCCTTGCCTCGACTTTTGTCTGTGGGCCTTCGATTTGTCGTCTCGTGCGTGCTCTGCTTGCTTACCTCCTGCCACCTCCCAATCACCTCCCTGTTGCCCATCAGCCTCGCCCATGTCAGCGCCTCCACCTTCCTCCCCACGCCGATGCGCTGACCATCCTGCTGCTCTGCGCCTCCGAACAGCTCCTGCGCCTTCTCGGCCAGTGCCTCCCGCTGCGAGACCAGGTGCCACTGGACCAGGCTGAAGACGCCGTGAGGCAGCAGGTTTGTGCTGATGTCCAGATACCCGGCGTCTCTTGCGCCCAGAGACAGCGCTGCTTGTGAGAACCCATGGGCGGGGACGTGCGCGCATGCGGCAGTCAGGATGGCACGCTCGGTCGGGGAGAAGGACGACTCGGGCGTCGGGTGGTCGTGAGAGTGGTACGAGCGGCGGCTGACGGAGGAAGACGAGGATGCTGCTGGTTGGAAGCAGGGCTGCATACCAGGCAGGCGGGTTCGTGGTCTGTACTGGCATGGTCCTGAGTTGCTGCGGGAGGCCGTGGTGATTCTCCGACAAGCAACGAGAGCTGCTGGCTGCTGCGGCTGCCCGCGCAATGCTGCACGGCACGACGGGGCTCTAGGAGGCATGGCGGGCTTGTGGTGTTTGCTTGCTGCTCCACTCGTTTCAGCCCTTTGAGAATCGTTCGCACGTTTTTTTGGTAATGTGTGATCTGCACAGTAGCAGAACAGCAGATCGTCAGGTGAGTCGCGTCGCGTTATGCTTGGTTGCTTCGCATCACGCTACGGGTAGCGCAGGGTGACGAAGGGCAGGAAGGGGAGAAAAAAAACCCTGTGGCTCCCGTTCCGAGCTGTCAATCAATGATGCGAGACGATAAGGTTCTGGGTCCCTCTCCAATTCAGTGATGAGCGCTCGGGAATAACGGTGTGATTCCCGTTGCAGGTGACAGGGACTGTCCCTGTGAGAGCTCAGGCCCACAACAACAACTTCCTCCCGCTCTACACATCGTCCTGGGCGGGCGATTTTCAGAAGTTTACAGCAAATATGTGTAGGGATTGTTGTGCTCCTTTACCAGACCGTTCACTTCCCTATCGGTTTGAGACCCTCTTCATGCATGTTCACCTTTTGGAAGACAGTTGCCTAGAGCCACTCATAAACTATATTGACCAGGTAGGCAATTGTTCAGAGTAGTGCAGAAAGTGAATTCGCAGACAGGGTCCGAGGTCCTCCCTCTTGGTATTGGTAGGTCAACATTCTGTACGCAATAGACTTATCGTTTGGTGGTACGCCCAAATCTGAATCGTCAGCTGTCACCGCCGAGAACTGAGAAAGGGTGGGTACGATTGCGAGCGTGTTTCCACCAAAGAATGTGCCCCCTCCCCCTTCGGCCCCCCCTTTTTCCGAAGAGCTGTGCAGTGCCTTAGGTGTCAAGCACTACGGCGGTGCGGGGGGAGCGAAACGTGAAAGCAATGGTCGAGTTTGCTAGACAAGACGCCAATCTCTCGAAATGGTAATCGCCGTGTGGTTGTCCCGATTTGATTGTCACTTCTGCTCTGGTGGTGTGGTCAGGACGCCTAGCCGGGTGAGCGCCTCCGGCTCGATGATCGTAACATCATTGTGCAGTGACCAGCTGAGTACATGTGATGCATCTTTCAGCCACCTTTTCTGGGATGCCTCTCAAGTCTTGCATCCGCTGCCGGGTTGTGTGACTGCATCCTGTCTTCCGCAGGTTTCTGCTACATCCTGAACTGTTGCTGAACACGCCTCCAATTGTGGTAGACACTGCATTAGTTTGCGGAGTTAAAGGAAAATAAATCTTGAGCTTGGTCAATGCGAAGACTCTGTCGAATGACAACTTATCTGTCGGTCCTTCTGTGGCCATCGGCTCCTTATGCATAGTCTCTCGCTCTTCAGCCCCAGACCAGCAGCCTTTCAACACTTGCTCAGAAGATCCTGGTTTTGATCGCAAGGCAGCTAGCCTTGCGAGCCAGAAGGGTATTGTGGTAGACTTTGTATACCAGGCTCGGAGTTTCTTTTAGCTGTACCCTGCATAGCTTTTTGGATGTCCGATCCCACAAGAGGGCAAGGGAATGCAACCACCGTACCGTCGTAAGGTGCATAAATGGAGCCTGCTTCCTGGACCGGTTCCGCTTATCCTCCAAGCTTGGGCTGGCCCATCGGCGACCCATTGCGCACTGAACCCTGCTACATCAGGCGGACTGGTGGCTTGCGTCTCGTATCAGAGTGCCGTCTTCCCAGGAAGGCCCACTGGCGCTTTGCAAGGCCGAACAGACAGGCTACAGACGTTGTGTTGCCGTGCCTAGCCCGAGCAGGGTCCCAGATTGCCCGGCGCGTTTCCTTGCCCGGGATTTCGCTTCTCTTTTGCGTCTCGATGGTTCCAATGAGGGTCAAGGTTGACTGCAGTACATGTTGGTACTAAGGGGCCCTTCCCAGCCTCTGAGTGGCGACGCTGGTCAACATCCTCCGGCTGATTGCAATGCGCCGCAGCGAGCTGCAGTCCACGGCGGTCCAGCCATATCAGGCCCGAGGTCTCAGTTATGATATGTGATATGGGTTGCGTAAGCTGCAGAAGGTATCCTGAACCTTGAAGCAAAGCTCCTCTCACTGAAATGTTAGTCTAGGGTGGGAGAATGTCCCCCACCCCCTACATGTCAGTCCACTGTCCTTTGCACAACCAGATCAGTCCGAAAACACCCCAGCGAAGAAGCAGCACAACGGTATCTTTTGAGTTCTGTGGGTAATTCAAAGTGGTGAACTTTGCGAGATAGGACAGAACAATACCGGCTTGAGGTTCGCATCAGAACGTCTGGCCACGGCCTGATGGTGCAATCCGCCGGTTCTTACCCTCGTCTTTCTTCTAAAGAGCGCGAAGCTGGAACTGAATCTAGAACATTCCTTGCGTTTCGAATCCTGATCATTTTAGAGGAGCAACAGGTATCTTCGTTATTGTGTTGCAAACCATAGTAGATGTGAGGAGCTTGAAGGCATCTCCACAGAGAACGCCCTAAGCAAGAGATCAAGCGTGACACTGCAGAGAGATGCCATGCTGAGTCGGGGCTCTCATGAAGGTATTGTCTCGCCTTGAACATCATCGGACCCCCATCTAGCCTTTCAAAATTTGGTGGTAGGTGTGGCTTTGTGCCGCTTCGTCTCCTAGAATCCAGTCCTTTGTGACCAAGTCAATCGCATCTGTGGGTGGGGGTGCGCAACGCTGGGACCTTTGTGCGGTACATCTTACTGCTGGTATCTGCCTGGTAGTACTCTAGATAGCTCGACCCCTTGCCTAGACATACGGTGGATATGGTGGTGTTCAGAACAGACTATGTCATAGTCTCCTGCGAGATACAGCACAAGGGCGTGGATGTGACTTGTTGCTCCACACAAGCTGTAGCCGAAGGGAGAGGAGGGAAGAGGGGGGGGGGGGGAAGCAAATGGGAGGAACTATGTGCAGGAGGGTGGAAGGCGGCAAGCTTGATCCCTCCACAAAGTGTTATAACGACCACTCAGAGAGCATGATGAGGTGTGATCCTGATCCTAATCTTGCTCACTTCAGACCACCGGTGAAGGGAATCCTGGTCGCCATAGAAATTGTAGACACGCTAGGGTGCCCGCGCTGGGCTATCTCTCCAATCAGCGCAAAAAGAAGCAGGAAAGAAGGAAAGAAAGAAAAATTTGCTCTACCTACTTAGGCAGGGACGTCGATGCGGCCAGACACTGTCCGACGAGATGATTCGGAGGGTTACAGCAAGCCCGTGAGCGTTAGCCGAAAACGAGGAGCGTTTCTGTGCGATCCGAATCACTGTTCCCTCTGCGGAGATTCGGGTGGCCTCTCCATAGAAAAGCAGTGTGGGAGCCGCGGGAAACATATGCATAGGATAACTCATGCCGTGCAGCAACGAGTAAAGGACGGCATCCCGCACGGGAATTGTTGCCGTCGCCGAGCATCGAGTCTCTGTCGTTGGAGGAGTGGTTCGTAATGTGATGCCCTGTAGGCGGATGCAGATCGGGGTAGGATCCGCGTATGTCCCGGGTGGAGTCGAGAACGTCCGGACCCCAGATTGCAGGCTACATGCAACAGGGAGGGCACCAATGTACAAATTTGGTACTGTGGTACTATGCAGTACTTTTGAGCTATATGGGTGGAGCCCCCACTTTCTCCTTCCCTGGCAGACTGACGAGGAGGAGCTGGGGGGCTACGCCAAGGGATAAACCGAGCTCGGCTCTAATTGCAGACCCTCCTCCTCACACATTACTCACTTATGTAATTAATCGTTGAGTTTGTCTCGGTCGATCGCGACGTCTATTTATGAAGTAATAATCGAGATCCCAAAGTCTGCCATCGTCGTCCCTAATGTGCATGTTTCTCTTTTTTCCACAATTATGATGAGAGACGCCCTCTGTGCAAATACGAAGCCATATATGCCTCGGCGTCCCCCCCTCCAACAAAAAGAAATACAGTGAGCAAGGACTACTTAAGACTTTGTCTGCACTATCATGAGGTCCGCAGCACCTTCCAGAGCAGCCATCATGCAACACTAGGTAGAAATCACCCATCATTTCCAGCCTTTTCACAGCTTGCCAAATGATTACACCTCGGCGTCATGTGGCCATCGAGCCTGCTTGGATTTTCCTTGCGAATGAATTGCCACCTTTACTATATGTATATGTAGTCAAGGTGGCAATTCAAGGTCTCCTATGTCCTGAAACTTACTCATTTATTTCCTTGGCCCATTGCTGTCAGTATCAAGCCCGAAACAACTCGTCGCTTCCTTGCTAGGTCCAAGTGTTCGATTTGAGTCTCCGCCTTTTCGGTTCTTAACCAACCACTTGCAGGAGACTCATGTCCGACTACAATCCTTCTTTTCTTTTCTTGAGTCCGGTCTGCGACATGTACATACGGTAATGTTGTTGGGGGGTGGTGTGCTTCTCTGCCGACAGTATGTGACTGTCAGATTCCGAGCCATGCGGATTCAGAAGCAAGGGAAAGCCAACCGAAAGTGACAATTCAGAACATCCCACGCTTGCCTTCTGAGGACCTACGTGTCATATTTATGGTGTCATAGTACCCGTCCATCTCGAGTCCCTTTATAATGACGCTCAGCCAGCCAGCCAGCCAGCATGTGTGCACAGTGTACCAGAGCGGTCAGGGGGAAAAAGGCCCGGTGGCTGTAACGTATTGCTTTTCCCCCGACCGACCAGCCTTCCCACTACGGCTGTGCTTCGCAATTACTTACCAGCATACGGCACAATGACGCCGTCTAGGCGCGTCTTGACTCGACAGCATGGTGTGACACTCGGGACATGCGGCTTGGGCACGGCCTTCATAAGGCGGCCGGCGACGGGTCCACGTATCAGTACTGTTGGACATGGTAACTGATGCTTCTTCCATTGGCCAAGTTTCAGACACCGAGATGATCTGCTGTCGCAATGTCGGTCTTTTTGTTGGCCAAGCACTTTCGGATGTCGAGCAAAATCCGATTCCTTGGTTAGCATGACGAGGAGTGATTTTCTGTGCACAATCCTGCTGACGTTCCGCTCGCCTGAGCCGTCCTCGATGGGTGGTCAGCTGTGCCGCTCGTTGTCGGTCGGTCGAGGGCCCTGACCAAGTCCCAGGCTCGAGCATCTGGGAACCAGGAATGTGGGACGGCTGGAGCCCGGGCAAAGACTTTGCGCTTCCCGCAGAGAAAGCAATAGGGAACGATGAGCCACGAGTTCAAGGATCCCGTGGGAGCGTCTAGACAGTTTGCTGTGTCATGTCACAGCTCAAGTCTCCAATAGTCACTTGCTTGCTTCGCAAACCGCAGCCCAGTCGTATAGTATGTACCACAAGGAGCCAGGGTTCTAGAGAAACTGTCTTTGGCTTTGAATCCTCCAGAATGCTCTGTTGAGAGGTTTGCACAATAAACGCTATGATCTGAAGCGTCTCTGGTACCATTTTCACTGACCACACGTAGCTCTACAGGACGCACTGCACAGATAAACTCACAAATTACTCCGGTCACCGCTTAGGCGGGAAAAACAAAAACCCTCCACGCTCAGCTTAGAGACAAGAATCCGGATCTTCTCGGCAGCAAGCTCTGCATGGCACCTCATCATGCAGGAGTACTTTTTCTAGGACATAGATGGTGGTATGTCGCCCAAGGTCCTGCTCTGCTGTACCTTGCCCAGGAAAAGGAAGACGGCCACCCCTCTGTGCACTATTATTGCATGAAATAGCCTCGAGCCTCGACAGGGATTGAAGGCTTCCAGACCTGTTTGTAGTACTGATACAATCAGTGACTTAAGGAAAGTACTGTGTGATAGCGGCGTCTCGATACAGTATTCGATACAGTACCGATATGCTACGTTTCCTACGAGATTGTCTCAAGTATTGCTAACAAAGCATTTCTAGGGCGTCAGCATGTTGGGAAGCTAGGTAGTAGGCACGAATTCGAAAAACGGCTGTGTCTATCCGCAGGCAAGTTCCACAACCACCCAAATGAGATGCTCAAGAGCGAGCCCTTGAGGTCGTCCTGTAGAATTTTCACAGACGAACTGGGTCATAGTCATGGCAAATAATCATCTCATAGGCCAAAAAAAAAAAAAAAAAGCATGCTGTCGGAACGTCCAGCCAACTGTTGTGCCGCGGATGGGATGCTTGGAGAGAAAACCTCGGGCAGGTGGTCTCGAGAAATACACCAGCTGCGGAAGGAGGCTGGCAGGCTGGGGACCTTGGACGCCCCTGCTCCAACGTCAAGGCCCATCTAGCCCCGCCTCCTCAAGCCCTCGGGCCAGGTGGGTCCAACCAATCAGCTGCGGTGACGCAAGGGCCAAGGCGACCCACTGTTGACTGCTTCAACAGCAGCTTTCTTTCCCTCCTCTCCGTTGAGAAAATTCCGCCCTGTGTTGCCGTCCCCATCGATCCGTCCCCCCCTTCCCCCCAAACCAAAGCTGTACTGTACTTTGTTACCTCACACTCCCTGACCTAAAACCCCCTCCATCTCGCTCGCGTGCACTTGCTCAGACGCGCACGCAACGCGACACGCCACTGGAAGCTCCGGACGCGACTGCTTGGTTCCCTGTACTGCGCGGATCACATCTGGCACCTCCACACCAGTAGAGACAGCCTCGGCAAGGCATCTGGATCACCTGGGGCCTGCCTCCTGGGAGATTGAACCTCAACCTTCTTAGAGCCTGAAGAACTCTCGACGTCGCAGCGACGGATCTCTCTTCCTCTTGGCTGCATTGCACGCTGAGACGACCACAACACTGTTCAAACGATTCGACAGGGCACGCCAGCGACCTGGTCTCCCTAAGAAAGGTAGCCCTACTCCATCCCTTTCGACCCTCACCCAGGTTTGTCACTTGGAAGCTCCGTCCACCGTTTTGCCCTGCTGTGTGCTGTGGAGACCCTGTCACCAAGCAGCTCAAGCCCTCCATCTAGCCTCACCTCAATCACATCTCCTCTGCTGTCTCCTCCCCCCTTTTGGCTGCCCTGCCCTCCTTGCCCTGCACCGTGCTGCCCTGGCCCTACCCTGCCGGCATCCACTCTTCTCTGCACGCCATCTTCGCCAATGGAGACCCGGGAAAGGGCCAGGTACAAGCGGCTCTAGAGTCTGGACGGAGTCACTGCTTACTACCAGGTGGGCCGTCGAAGCCACTCAGCCAGCCAGCCACGGCGTGTGTGTTTGCCATACCTGCCTCTGTTTCCATTGTCGTACTCGGTACGGAGGTTTGCATACCAGACACGTTCCTTCTACCTGCCCTCTCTACCCACCATCACCACCACAACCTTGTCCCTGGGACCTGGTGTTGTCTTTGACGTTCCCTGCTCTGCATCCTGTGTCTGCTCTGTTGCAGCAGGATTTTCAAAATCTGCAAGAGGTTGCAAGGTACCACCAGCAAGCGCCGGCCCCAGCAACACAAACCTTTACCTACCCTCTCACTCACTTACTACACGAGCCAGTCCACAGCATCTTGTTGCACCACCCTGCCGTCCTCCCACCGCCGTTGTCGTGTGTCACAAGGAAAGCACCCATTGCCACGCACGCACACCCCCCTTGGCTCGCGTGTGTATCCTCTAGTCTGGGGTGACTACGCTCATTTTTTTTTTCTTTTCCATTTTTTTTTTCGTTGGAGCCTCTTGCTTACGACCTGTGTCAGGACTCCCCATCCATCCACCTGGGAACTTGTCGGCCAGCAGACCAACAGAAAGGAAAACCAATACTAGCCGGACAACACGATCCGACCTGATCTCGCTACTCAAGCAGCAATAGTCCTGGCCTTGTCAACACAAACTCGGATAACCCCCACAGCACCGACCAGATTTGTCTGACGCTTTTAATTATGGGTAGGTGGTTTTCCTCCACGTCCACTGCTTCTCCAACGATCGACCAGGCCGTGCCAAAGCCGTCAGAGGAGACAGCTTCATGGCTTCCCCCCCCCCCCCCCCTTTCCCTAAGCCTCTCACCACCTGCACAGTGAATGCCCCGCATGGTCCTGCCTTTCTTTGGAGTGTGCCCACGGCCATGACAAGCAGAGATTAGCACTCATCGGGGGCGATACATCAGTCTTGTCCGCCGTCTGCCTGCATGCTCGCACGCTCGCACGCCCTGCATGGCTCTTGTAACGTACGGAGTACGTACAAGCACGGCTTGCGTCCAGCGCTTGTAGCTGCGGGTTGGGCTCGGCCGGGGCACCTCACACACATGCCACACATTCCCTGCCCCCTTCTCCCCACTGGTCCATACCTCCTTCTGCACCTCATCTTTGCCCTGCTCATGCAATCTGCACTCCCGCCGACCCTCTCCTCATGCAGCCTCTCCCAATTCCAATTCCTTGTGCTTGCGTTGGCGTCGACCTCCCTCGCATTTACTACCCTACACTTCTGGACCTCGTAGCCTTTCCCTGTTTCTATCGACTGCAGAGAGCGGCAGCGCGGGTACTGCTACCTTCTCTAGTCCTCTCTGATCCCGCGCACGTCTCACCTCGTTCCTGTCCTTGAGATGCACCACCTCGTGCAGCTCTTTGTGCGGCAGCCTCGATGAGGCCACCCACACCCCCCTTTGTGCATACTCGCTTGTGCGGTCAATTCCTGCACTAGCCGGGTGTACCTTCCCACGAGAGCTCTGCCACAAAACCTACAAATCTGGACCCCCTTCCCCCTGACTTACAACCACACTTTGCGCTCTCCTCGTCTTCTTCTCAACCTGCCTTTCATCCTCCTGGGCTTGGGTTCCTCTTTTTCCCTTCTTGGTTACCAGACTCTCCTTTCAATATTCTTCTTACTTACACTACCTCCTTCAGCTGATACTGGCGATACCTACCGTCCTGTGAGTACCTCTACTTCCTACCTGTCCCACCTTCGCACCCTTGTCAAGATGCTCGTCCCTTGAGAGCTTGTTTGCTGGGTCATCCTGAGGCCTAGGTATGTGCTCAGGCCCGCCTTGGGCCCGCAGCTCGACGACCTTGGCTCAGACGGAGCTCCACCGGGCCAGCAGGGTCCCCAACGCTGCTCGTAATGGATGAATGAAACCATGTCATCAATTACAAAGCCGGCGGGGCCGATGGTATGAAGCTCTTGGAGCTTCTATTCGCTCAGCCGCTGCTGAGCTCGGCCTGTTTCTACACTGCACTGTGCAGATTCATTCGCTGCGGCACACACCCGCCCTCTTCACTGAGTTCCTGGTTGTTGTAGACAGCTACTGACAAGAGACTTGAGCAGCGCGAGAGGTCTCGATCTCGTCGTCGATCACGGAGCCCTGGTCGTTCTAACAATCGCGGCCACCGTTCACTGTCGCCCCGAAGCGGCTCTCGCAGCCCCAGACAACGCCGTTCTCGCAGTCCGATGACTGGTCAGGGCGCTCCTGCGGGAGGTTCGGGTCAGGGATACAGGCAGCCACACCAGGGCGGCTACGAAGATCGTTCGCAGGCACGAGAACAAATGATGAGCAGCATTAGGGACAACTCTCAACAAGACCGCCGCGTCTACGTCGGCAACCTGTCGTACGACGTCAAGTGGCACCACCTAAAAGATTTCATGCGTCAGGGTGGGTTCTCCTGGGAAGGTGCGAGCTGAGCGGGGACCAGGTTGCTAACGGGCTGGCTGTGGATGTAGCCGGAGAGGTTCTCTTTGCCGATGTCTTGCTACTTCCGAATGGAATGTCGAAGGTGGGCGTCTACACGTAGCTTCTGGCTGGTTTCATTTTTTTGTCTTCCCTGCGGTCTCCCCTCTTAATGGCAACTTTTGATGGAACTGTTGGATTGACGGGTTGGGACGTTGTCCATCGGTATTTGTAGGGATGCGGGTAAGTCACAGGCTCAAGGACCCCCTTCTTGCCGACGGCGTCGCTAATATGTTGCCTGCAGAATTGTGGAGTATGCTACCAGGGATCAAGCTCAGCATGCGGTCGCGACGCTGAGCAACCAGAACCTGATGGGTCGCCTTGTCTACGTCCGGGAGGTAAGGACGATACCACTTGCATCGGTATAGAATTTGTGCTGAGGTAGTGACCCAGGATCGAGAGGCCGAACCACGATTTAACGCTCCGGGCGGAGGCCGTGGAGGCTACGGCGCCGGCGGCGCTGGCGGCGCTGGCGGCGGCATGGGCTACAACGCCAACGGCGCTTATGGTGGTGGTGCCATGGGCGGTGGTGGTAACGAGCGACAGCTGTATATCTCTAATGTAAGGCTTCAGCTTCTTGAGACATCGAGACACGGTGTGACTGACGGCTCTTTTCCAGCTTCCGTACACTGTCGGATGGCAAGACGTCAAGGACCTGTTCAGGCAGGCAGGTAAGGCAACAGACACTGAGCCAGAGTTGCGTGCGCCGAAATGATCGATGCTGACGAGATACTCGACAAAGCCCGTACCGGCGGCGTTATCCGTGCCGATGTTCACGCTTCGCTTGATGGTCGACCGAAGGGCTCTGGCATTGTCGTATTTGAGACTCCCGATGATGCTCGCAACGCTATCCAGCAGTTCAACGGCTACGACTGGAACGGTCGCATTCTTGAGGTCCGCATCGACCGCTTCGCCAACAACATGGGAGGCGGGTTCGGCGGCCGAGGCGGCTACGGTGGCCGAGGCGGCTTCGGAGGTGGCTTCGGAGGCCGTGGTGGATTTGGCGGCCGCGGTGGCTTCGGTGGTGGCGGCGGCGGTTATGGTGGAAGAGGTGGCTACGGTGGAGGCGCTGGTGGTGCTCCTGCATTCGGAGGCCACCAAGCCACTACCTCGGCCCCGCCTAATGCTTTCACCGACTTCGCTACCGCCGACGGTGAGAGGAGCGAGACCATCTACGTCCGCAACGTAAGTCACATCAGCTTCCGGTGTTTTGTCCCCGGGATTTGCTAATTGGCCCCACAGCTGCCCTGGTCGACCAGCAACGAGGATCTCGTCGAGCTCTTCAGCACCATTGGAGATGTCAAACAGGCAGAGATCCAGTACGAACCGAGCGGCCGCTCCCGAGGCACTGGTGTCGTCCGTTTCGATTCTGCCGAGACAGCTGACACCGCCATCTCCAAGTTCCAGGGTTACCAGTATGGTGGGCGCCAGCTGGGCCTCAGCTATGTCCGATACTTACAGCCCGGCGGTGCTGACGCCATGGAGACTGATCACAGTGGCTTGACGCAGAACGACATCATGTGATCGTTCCGCCGCTGCCACGATTCCAGCTTCCGCTGGGACACAATAGCAGGTGCTTCATGGGTCATCCCTGACGAGAGCGCCGCTCCTGTCAGCGGATGTCTCCTTTCGGTGACACCCCTTCCCTACAACCCCAACGTTGTTTAATCGTTTTATCCTCTTTCTTTTTGCTTTCTTTTTTGATTCCATCTCATCTTCTCGATTATTCGAACGGAAAAGCAATATGGGTTTTCGATCATCTGCGACACCTCGTGCACGTCAGTGGACAGAGCCGAGGTGACCGACTTGAAAATTGGGAACACAGCAGAAGGACAAGTGAGAACTGGCTGTTCGGCCACACACGACCTCTACACGTCAGGCTCGTGTTCGAAGTGGAGGGGGCGGGCGTGCACTACCTTAGATTGTCGAATAGCATATGATTATTCTCGACGCGGAGGTGCGGAAGGGTCGGCGTAGGGATGTGGTTTTGCGGTGAAGTGGTTGAAGTGGTGATATGATTGCGTAGGATTGTGCACGGAGCGAACGCGGTGGTCCTCGCGGTTTCAACAACATCGTCGGCAACGGGGTCTGGAGCCGATTGTTGCCTCGCCACGATATGTCCGCCGGCGCTGGCGTACCAGGTACTCTGCTTTAGGGACTGATAATATTGATTTGACAACGTGCAGCTGCGAGGATTGAGGTGACAGACAGCCTCAGGATCTGTGAGCAAGAATGGTGTACCTCTTGACGGCGTCGATACGGGCTGTTGGTTCGCCAGGAACACCTCAAAAGTTATTGCTTGCAAGATACCCAATGCGATGAATATGACACCTGTTTCGAGCGGGCGTTCAGGCAGTATTTGCAACGATCCCCATACCCTAGCTACTATGAATGTCAGGGGACACTTACTCTGTTTTGAATCCGAGAAGTGTGTGACCAAACATGTCCCTACCGCTCTTGTCATTGCTGGTCGGTCTCATCGTATCAACTCATATCTTGTCCTCGGAGTCAACCTAAGACGGGCGCTGACTACATTCCTTCCGTCACAGATGTGCGTATTTTCAACTTCATAATCTAATGCCCTGAAACAGACCGACGCATTGGTAGTTTGCTTCCCTCGTCATGTCTGGCCACTACCCAGCCGTGCCTTGCGCCAGCGTAACGTTGCGCCAGCCCGGCACAAGCAGCATACGAGCTCTGTGGAACATGTCTCGTCTATGGAGTATTCGGCTGCCACTTGTCGGCGTGTTCAAAGTGACGGCGCCCCCCCCCCCCCCCCGAAAAAAAACAACAAAATCTTCCGTGATTCCTGATGCAAGCTGCTGTGGTAGATGAATACTGTTTCCCTCATCTACTCACATGTTGCCACAGACTGGACCGCCTCCATTAGTGTCTTTTGGATATAAGATGCGAACGACGCGAACCTTACATTGCTGCAACGCGCTATCTGAGGAGACCATATAGATTCGAAAGTACCGAAACGGAGGCGACGATATCTTACAAGTCTCTCGTAAGACCCAAACTCCTGAAAACTGGTGTTTCATGAGCTAATTACACCAGTGACATCCTACACAATCCAGAGGTCATAAAGGAGAGACAGGCTCACCTAAATACAAAGCCAAGAGAGAAGAGAGGGGGAGGGAAGAGACGACAGGGCACCCGGAAGCAGGCAGGCGGGGAGTGAAGAAGATGTGCGAGATTCACTATCTCAAGTGCACGACATGTGGGAAGCGGTGGGAGGCGCACAGGAAGCTGGCGAGCTGCGAGTGCTTTGACCCTCAGGTGCGGTGCCCGGACAACCTAGTCATGTACGTCGGTGTGGCCAGACGTCCGGAGAAGGGAGAGTGTGAGGACTGCAGGAATTTGAGGGAAGTATTAGAGAGTCTGGAAGAGGATATGTGACAGTACCTACAGAATCTCAAGAGATAAAGTTCGTACAGGAATCATTTCGTCGAGGAAGACCTGGATCGACGGATAGTAAACAAAGTGATACTGTCGGAGCATCGTCTTATTTTGGTAAGCTGATTACTATCTCCATCCATACATCGGTTTCTGTCCCGCTTGGATGGACCTCTTTCTCCATGGGCCAGCTCCACGGCCGACTGGCCTCCGTCGTCGGCTGGCCCAAGCCCTGGGTGACTCGCACGGAAGCACGTCAGATGACGACTCTGGTCTCGACAACCCAATGAACTATGCTGAGCAGAGGACACATATCCACGATGAGCCTAGCCCTCACTAGCCAGGAGGTAGTCGTGGGATCCTCGACCAACTCTGCGCCCACAACTCTCCTGCCCTTAAGCTGTAGCGCCCTTCTTCTTCTTCGCCTTGGTCTTCCTCTTGCTCCTGTCCCTCGGCTTGAGCGCCATCATGCCTGCCTTGCAGATCTCAGCGTACCGCGCGTAAAAGGCGTCCAGCGCGTTCGAGTCGACTACCGTCGCCAGCTTCACACGCCTGCCAGCCTTCCTGGCCTCACCAGCCTTGCCGTTCGTGGCGCGGACGAGGACAGGGTACGTGGATGGTGGGGTAGCATCCGAGTTGCCCTCAGCTGCGAGCGTGGCGGAGATATCTGCGAGGGGGTCCTCTTTGCGCGGAAGGGGGCCATTCTCGTTGTGGGAGACTGGAAAGCGTTGGGTCAGCATGGTTGTCGCGAGGTAAAATGTGAAAGAACAGTGTCCGCTCTGTTTTGTCTCTTCATTCTCGTTTATTCATTTCCATCCATCACTCTTCCAGCCTGAGCGTGGCAGTCCTTCTCGTGTACACTTGCACGTGGCCAACGCAAACACATGAACCTAGGAGGGAGACAGCGGCCATGAGAATTGAGGATGAATGTACGATGAAGCCGTACGTCGTTTTTGGGTCAGATAGACCGAGCCGTGATCCTTGCCCTTCCGGGAAGTAAAGAGCTCCCCCAGTTTGTTGAAAAACTATACAACATATTGTCAGCTGAAGTTGCCTGAAGGCTGCCAATGCAGGAGGAGAAAGAGAAAGAGAAAGACAGAGGGAGAGCAAGAGACAAACCTCATCGTGAGAGAGATGTCCCTCTGGCATGATGGGCAAGCGAGTTGAGGTTGTGTGCCTGTGACCATGCGTTGGTATGATAGTAGTGTGAAAGAGTTACAGAGAAATGCGAAGTGAGAAGTATGCCCAAGCGCGGGGTTGAGGACGAAGGGCGGCCAGACATGAGCTTGTGAAGCATCAAGTGAAGTGAGGTCGGATTGAGGTGCAAGCCTGTCTACAGATGGATGGCCCCACAGTTTGGCCGCCTCAAGTGCGCTAAAGATGGTTGCTTTTGCATTTTTTAGACCCCCAGTGCTGATCTGGCAGGCCTTAACAGGCATGACAGGCTAGATACTTTAAGTACTTCTAGTGGTAGGGCGCCATGCGCGATGCCAGTCCCGCAATTTCTAGCGGGATGCTAGAAGCCCCACAAAAAAGTTCAGTTATCGACTCTTTGAGTTTCTCATCTACAAATCGCAAACTCACTGACCGTCTCTTGTTTCCCGTTCAAGCGTACTCTGGACTTGCAACTACCGTCGACGCCAGGGCAATCGATCCTGTACAACATTCAGAATGGCGCCAAAGGGCCGGGAGCCTCTCCGGCCCAGTCTTCCGGCCAGTCTTCTGAAGCAGTTAGGAGGCGATACCGATCAGCCGCCTTCGAGAAGAGGCCAGCCGCAGACATCTCGAAAGGAGCGGCGAAAGCAGGAGAGGGCGCAGAGGCGACAGCGAAGTGCGCCGGCGCAGAAGAGGACCCCTTCCGGACGTCCTTTCACTCGCACATCTGACTCACAGAAGACGGAGGATACTACAAAAAACCCGCCAAGGATAGCAACGAAACCCAAGAAGCCGTCTACTGTCGACTCTGCATCTGACGGTAATGACTTTGATGGCTTCTCAGGCGACGACGACGATGATAACTACGGGGAAGATTATGAGTCAGGAGAAGATCTAGAGGAGCCAAACATGTCTATTACTCCCAAGGTATCCAAAGCAACCAAGGACAAGTTGGCTCGAGAGGATGCGGAAATTGCGGCGCTCGAGCGCAAACTAGGCATCAAGAACCGAAAGTCTCTTCCCAAATCATTTGATGAAGACGGCCTTGGTGATCTCCTGGGCGACCTAGACGGAGACAGTGAAGTCGATGAAGATCTGAGCGCCAAGAGGAAGCGGAAGGCTGAGGCTGACGAGTGGCTGGCTCAAAAGAGACGGAAAGCCTTGCGTCAGACCACGGAACTCAGTGAAGATAACAGCGGTGATGACGGCCTGGGATACCTGGATGATCTCGAAGAAGCAGCCGATCTGGATAGCGAGACGGACCACGACGATGATGATGACGAGGGCAGTGACGATCTCAACAGTTCAGGCTCGGATGCCGAGGAAGCAGAGAAGCCAGCCCGGAAACGAGAGAATCCATATGTGGCCCCAACAACATCGACAGCGCCGGCGCAGAAGTACGTGCCACCAGGTCGACGCCAGGAAAGCGGTTCGGACGCAGAGTTGCTGTCACGTATTCGAAGGCAGACTCAAGGTCTCATCAATCGTCTTACAGAATCTAATCTTCTCGCGATCCTCGGCGATGTCGAGAAACTATATCGCGAGTACCCTCGGCAGCATGTCACATCTATTCTGGTCGATTTGGTGCTGGTCCAGATATGTGAGCCTACAAGTTTACCTGATACCCTCCTGATTCTCAACGCCGGCTTCTCCACGGCTGTGTACCAGGTCGTCGGGCCGGACTTTGGTGCTCAGCTGCTACAGCAGACGGTGGAGCGATTTCAGCACCACTTTGCCCAAGTTCCTGAAGGGGACGCCTCGAGTGTCCCCAAGCATACTTCGAACTTGATCACCTTCCTGTCGGAGATATATAACTTCCAGCTTATCCGCTGCAACTTGATTTTTGACTATATCAAACTCCTCCTCAGCAACCTCTCCGAACATAATGCGGAGCTGCTGCTGAGGATAGTCCGCATGGCAGGGCAGTCTCTTCGGCGTGACGACCCATTAGCACTCAAGGACATTGTGGCCCTCATAGGGCCCGCAGTCAAGAAACACGGAGAGGGAAATATGTCTGTCCGCACTAAGTTCATGATCGAAAGCATCAACGATCTGAAGAACAATAAGGTCAAGGCCGGGGCCAGCGCTACAGCCGTGGTACAAGATCACACGACGCGCATGAAGAAGCTCCTGGGGTCCCTGCACACAAAAAAACTAAAAGCAACCGAGCCTCTACGCATCGGGCTGAAGGACATCGAAGAATCGGACAAGCGAGGCAAGTGGTGGCTAGTCGGAGCCAGCTGGGCTGGGCGGGACAAGGTTTCCGCAGGCCAGGGCGAGGACGGTGTCGGTGACGGTGCGGACGATGTGGACAGCGATGCTCTCAGCAGTGACGACGAGGTGATGCCTGATCTGGCCGCTGTCGGCAAACAACACGGCATGAATACGGACGTCCGTCTCTCCATCTTCATCGCCATAATGTCGGCATGCGACTACGAGGATGCCTACAACCGGCTGATGAAGCTGCGACTCAACAAGGACAGGCAGAAAGAAATCGCCTACGTCGTGATGCAATGCACCAGCCTCGAGCCACAGTACAATCCATATTACGCCCTGGTGGCGCGCAAGGTCTGTGGGGACAGCAGGATCAAGTTTGCGTTCCAGGACAGCCTCTGGAAATTCTTCCGGCGGCTGGGGGAATCCCTATTCGGAGAGGACACGGACGCGGACGATGAGGACGCAGAGGGAATCGACGCACAGCGCATCTTCGGTGTTGCCAAGATGTTCGGGTTTCTGATCGCCCAAGGAGCGCTGGGGCTCAGCGTACTGAAGTGTCTCAACCTGGCCTATGTGCGGCCCAAGACGCGAGATCTCTTGGAGGTTATGCTAATCATGCTGTTCCTCGAGCTTCCGAAGGCCGAGAACGACGTGGAGAGCGTTGTCGGGCCGGTGGCTGCCATGCCAGAGCTATCCAAGGGGCTGCAGTATTTTTTGAAGAAGAGGTTGGTGAAGTCGGATTTGTTTGCTAGTAAAAAGGACGGCAGGAAGGTCAAGAAGGCATGCCAGACTGCGATTGAGGTACTCCGTGCCAACCCAGGCGTGTCAGGGGCGATGGACCTGGAGGAGTAGGAGGATTCAATTGGATACAGTAGATACCCTTTTGGTGTGCATGTTACAAACATTAGATATTTCATAGGTGGTCGGTATGATGACGAGTCTAGTTTTCCCCTTTTGCCCTCACTTATTTTCCTTTATCCTTTCTTCTTTCTCCCCTTGCAACATGGTGGCTGTGGCAAGGACGACCATGATGATGACGATCCAGTTTAATCCAAACCCCCGGACATGGTAGTTTCTTCTGGACCCGAGGGCCCGGGAAAGAACGGATCAGGTGCACGGTTCGCAGCGGCTTGGGTCCAGCCCAGCTAAGCACAGCTTAGAGTGCAGTGGCACTTACTGCCTGCCACAAGCTCCCGCCCAAAAAAAAGCTCATCCGCTAAAGACCTGGACCACCGTACTCCCGGGCCTCGATTGTTAGAGAAAGGGTGCATGACGACGTGGAATTGAAGCTCACTCTTTTTTATTTTCTTGGTCGGTCTTTGGACGTTCGCCTCTTTCCTATTACTAAAACTAGTCCGGATACACCAGGCACGAGACCTGTAATCGCGCGCTTTTGCTTCCTCGCGTCGCCACCTCTGATTCATTTTCCGCGCCTTTTGCCGTAGGCTAACCCGCAGGCTCTTTTCTACTTCTGCGCCTATTCCTCCACTCTTCTTATTCTCCTCCCATCATACTCTGATCCCCGCCGCGCCAACACTCCGCAGACAGGTCAAGATGCTCGCCAGCCGTTTAATACCGCGCACCGCGGTCCGCTCTGCGTTTACGAAGCCCACCCTTCCCGTTGTCGTACCGAGATGGAGGCGGTCGTATGCCACCGAGGCTGAGGAGAAGGACTTGGTCATCATCGGTGGTGGTGTCGCCGGTTATGTTGCTGCCATCAAGGCCGGCCAGGAGGGATTGAAGGTGCGTGCTCTACCTATAGCCAGGCAATAGCTTTGCTTCTTCTTCTTCTACTTCTTCTTCACCTTGTTCCTCTCCCCTTGTGTCTTGGCGGCGTTGCGTTTTGTCTGGTCCGACGTATACTGAAAACCGGTTCCCTCTCTCTCTAGGTCGCCTGTATCGAGAAGCGTGGTACCCTCGGCGGTACATGTCTGAACGTCGGCTGCATCCCCTCCAAGTCCCTCCTCAACAACTCACATCTCTACCACACCATCCTCCACGACACCAAGAACCGCGGTATCGAGGTCAACGATGTCAAGCTCAACCTGGCCCAGCTCATGAAGGCCAAGGACACGTCCGTCTCGGGCTTGACCAAGGGTGTCGAGTTCCTCTTCAAGAAGAACGGCGTCGAGTACATCAAGGGCACCGGCTCCTTCGCTAGCGAGCACGAGATCAAGGTCCAGCTGAACGACGGCGGCGAGACCAGCGTCGTGGGCAAGAACATCCTGATCGCCACCGGCTCCGAGGCTACCCCTTTCCCCGGCCTGGAGATCGATGAGAAGAAGGTTGTGTCGAGCACCGGCGCTATCGCTCTGGAGCAGGTCCCCGAAAAGCTGGTCGTCATCGGCGGCGGTATCATCGGCCTGGAGATGGCCTCTGTCTGGTCCCGCCTGGGCTCCAAGGTCACTGTCGTAGAGTTCCTGGGCCAGATTGGCGGCCCGGGCATGGACGCCGAGATCGCCAAGCAAGCCCAGAAGATCCTGAAGAAGCAGGGCATCGACTTCAAGCTGAACACCAAGGTCGTCAGCGGTGACAGCTCTGGCGAGAAGGTCAAGCTGGATGTTGATGCTGCCAAGGGCGGCAAAGCCGAGTCTGTAAGTCCACACACCTCCACTTCCTCCTAGATTCGCGACACTGGCTCCGTGTCCCCCCTGTGAGGATCTCTCCGTCTTGCTGACCATTGCGACCATCACCACCTTTATAGATGGATGCCGATGTCGTCCTTGTTGCCATCGGCCGCCGTCCATACACTGCCGGCCTGGGCTTGGAGAACATCGGTATGGAGCTGGACGAGCGCGGACGCGTCATCATCGACCAAGAGTACCGGACCAAGTTCCCTCACATCCGGTGTGTTGGTGACGTCACCTTCGGGCCCATGCTGGCGCACAAGGCCGAGGAGGAGGCTGTCGCGGCCATCGAGTACATCAAGAAGGGCTACGGCCACGTCAACTACGGCTGCATCCCGTCCGTCATGTACACCTACCCCGAGGTCGCTTGGGTTGGGCAGAGCGAGCAGGACCTCAAGAGCGCCGGCACCCCGTACCGTGTTGGAACCTTCCCCTTCAGTGCCAACTCTCGCGCCAAGACGAACCTCGACACCGACGGCATGGTCAAGATGCTGGCGGACCCCGAGACTGACAGGCTGCTGGGCGTGCACATCATCGGTCCCAACGCCGGCGAGATGATTGCTGAGGGCACACTGGCCCTGGAGTATGGAGCGTCGTCAGAGGATATTGCACGGACGTGCCATGCCCACCCCACGCTGGCTGAGGCGTTCAAGGAGGCAGCCATGGCTACCTACTCGAAGGCCATCCACTTCTAAAGGGGTGGGGGAGAGGACGACATGGTTGTAAACTAGATGCCCTGCTGGTGTTCGCATGTACATGGAGACTCCTTTCACATCATTGCCAGAGCGGTCAGGGTCAGGAGGAGAGGTGTTGAGAGTAAAGAGTAATAGAATTGGTAGCGAATGAATTGGCAGACAAACAAAACAGAAAGAAGAAGAAAAGAGAAGCCGGAAAAGAGAGTTTCTAAATCCTTGCCAACATTTCTTTTTCTTTCTTTCCCTGACCTCTCCCTCCTCGTTTCCCTCTTTCAATAAAATCTCGTCTATTTTTGTTTTGGTATTCACCTTGACGACAGCAGATTTACGACGTACTCTTGCTGCCTCGGTATCGAATCACATCATCTGAAAGTTGCACCGACTGCAGCTAAATCCCAGCTCACCGTGGCCTGTCTGACCCCAAGGGGCCCGGTCAAATACAGGAAGATTATGATGGCCGGTGGCCGGTGAGAAGCTCACACTCGCACCTGGCGACGCCGTTGTGCCCAAGGCCAGACCCAACGCACTAAGGAACATGTTGAGATCGATGATGTTGTAATTTGGGCCGCTGAGACCCCCCAGGCCACCGAGTCCAAGTCCACCACCACCGCCGATATGCCCGGCGGGAATGACGAAGACGTTGTGTGGTCCCATGTACGGCTTTGTGGCGGCAGGGCAGGTGTGGCACACGTAAGCCATGTTGATGTTGTTGTTGCTGTTATTTGTGTGGGTACACATGTTAACATTCCTAGGGCATGGGACAGGGGCTGAGCCATCGCAGCCGTGGCGATGGTGACAAGACGGCGTTGGGGAGGTCGAGGAGGCTAAGGGCGGTGGGAGACTGCATCCCCAGAGAGCACCACCATCATTCCCACAAGCGCCTCCGCCCCCGCCAGAAGGACAGCTGAGAGCGTCGCCTGCGAGCCGGGTCAGATGGTTCTGCAGTATGAGACGGGTGAAGAGGGCACTGAGGGCGTCGAGGCTGAGGGCATCAGTAGGGCTGCCGGCGGGGAAGAGGAGGTTGTTGATGTTGGCGGTGGTCCTGTTATTGTTATTATTGTTGCCGTTGCTGCTGTCGTCGTTGTTGTTGTTGGGACGTCGTCCATAGCCCATTCCCCATGCTGTGAACAGCTCAAGGTTAATAGTCTCGAACGATGGCTCAATGGAGGACGAAAAAGAAGGATTCTACCTACTCTGCTCGGCCCAGCCTCCGGGTTGTTGGACGTACATGAGGGGCCAGCCCCCACCACAACCGCCGCCGCTTGCCCAGTATCGACGACGCATGATGTGGATGAGAGTCGAGATAGTCGAATTGGAGGGCGAACGGGGAATCTTGCAAAGGAGAGCTGCTTCTTCTCCTTCTTATTCTTCTCGAACCGGTGGAGGAGGGCATGCGATCTGTCCTTGCAATCTTTGGCGAGCTGGGTACTTTGAAATATATACACTTTTATCTAAATGGCATATACTGTAATAGTAGTCAGAATGGGAGAGGAATTGCATGCTTCCCTCGTGTAACTATAGGCCCTTCCGTGTTCCAGAGGGAGCATGTTTGCCCTTGGCGTCACCTCAAGTCTCCCGTCGGTCCTTTTTCAAGTCAGTCCTCTTTCTCTCTCTGCATGACTAACAGGGCCTCCCCCTTCCTGTCGCTCATCCCCTTTTCTTTTACTCTCCCTGACTCTGCAAAGCCTCGCGGCTGGTGTAGCCTTCCTTCTTGACCGTACAAACAAACAGAAGAGGGTATAGAGAAGAGAGGACGCCCAGTGCTTAGTAGTCTTGAGGTGAAAGAGTGGTGGCAATTTCAAGTGCAGCACAAAAGAACACTGGGCTCGGCTGGCTACTCCAGTTACATACAGATCGAGTATTGTCCGCCTAGTAGGCAAAGGTGACTGATTAGCTATGGTATCTGAAGAATATGAAGAACCGAATCCGGGAGGGCGGGTTGTTGATGTGGTGAATCAGTTGTTGCCTTCAGTAGAGGAACACTACTACAGTACTACAGTATGTACCAATAATTACAATACAGGCATTATAGTGTGCGACAGTACATACTGTAGCATGGTGTATCAGGTACTATGTATACAGTGATGACCCTTCTCGGTCAAAAACCAAGCACTGAGTATTGGGCATTGGACACTGAGCAGGGCTACACCACTGCACTTGTGGGCCCCCACTGCACTGCGCTTGCGGGACGAGGGCTCCACACAAGAGGGCTGTGCCTCACTGGCACTCATCCGACTTGCCCCACCTCTAGGCCCCTCTTCCCACCCCCCCCACACCTTAACAGCTTGAAGCTCCCCTCTCTCTCAACTAGCTTGCGAATCATTGCCAAGGGTTTTGAGGTGTTGTGTGTCTCTTGTGTGTTGATTCTAGCATATCGGCAGACGACACTTCCGCAGAAAACGTACGACGAGCTCATCATCCCTTGTCGCTCACCACATCAAGGCACCCAGCAGCAATCTTCAAATCAGCGGTGTGGGACTGAGGCTGCAGGCTCCTCCCAGGGGATTGATCCTGTCGCTGGCTTTCCTCACCCATCATCGATTGTTTCATGTTGTCTCTCGCTCTCTCGCTCTCTCGCTCTCTCCCTATCTGTGTTCGACGTGGCAAATAGGTCTTTAAATCGTCCTTCATCTCGACCGACTTTGGCTGCGGATCCGTACACCATTCGCATAAATTAAATGACAATCTAGTAAGGCGCATACATTGTCAATCGTCGATATAGGACGGCACCTTGCACCACTTCCTGTGATCCCAGCGGCTCTCGAATTCCTTCGCTGCGATGCCCACCATGGAGGAGACCAAGGCTCGAGCGGAAGCTCGCACCTACCCCATGATGACGGCGCGGGAGATTGAAGGCCTCATTGCGGATGGCAGGTCCATCATCATCAAGGACCAGTACGTCCTCAAGGTGGACGCCTGGATGAAGTACCACCCTGGTGGTGATAAGGCCATCCAGCACATGGTCGGCAGAGATGCCACAGATGAGGTCAACGCGTTCGTACCACCCATATCTCTCTCTCTCTCTTTTTCTCTCTCTGAAACCCTGAAGAGTACATGCACACTGACTTGGGGATCGGATGATACTACTAGTCTTCACTCGCCTGAGGCTCGGGCCATGATGGATAAATATAGGATTGGAAAGATCAACTACCGGTGGCAGAACATGCTTCCTCCCATACAAGGCGGTCTATTTAGAAACTGGGCCGCAGCCGACTGTGACGCAGAGGTTGTTGTTGATGATGATGATGATGCTGTCGAGTGTCCGGGCAAGGACTCATCAGGCTCGAGCCAGGCCAGCTCACGATCACCCTCGCCTGTCTTTGATACTCCCGAGCATGGTCGTCATTCCCTGCGCAGTCGCAGGGTCGGTACCGTGTCGTCGCCATCTATGCGGCCCTCCTCGTCAACATCGGTCACCTCGGCCGAAGAGGACGAAACACTTGACGGCATGAGCCTCCTGGACCGCAGGACGATGCAGGAGATCAAGCAGGATATGGACATCTATCCCGCCCTCGATGCCAGCACGCAAGATCACATCGTCGACAAGTACCGGCAGCTGAACGAGAGGATCAAGGCCGAGGGTCTGTACCAGTGCAACTACTCTGCATATGCCGTCGAGTGTTGCCGGTACACACTGATGTTCAGCCTGTTCCTGCTGTTCCTGAGCTGGAAGTGGTACGCCACCAGTGCCTTCTGGCTCGGCTGCTTCTGGCACCAGCTAGTCTTCACAGCCCACGATGCAGGCCACATGGGCATCACCCACGGCTTCCACACTGACACGGTCATCGGCATCATCATCGCCGACTTCCTGGGCGGCCTGTCCATTGGCTGGTGGAAGAGGAACCACAATGTCCACCACATCGTGACCAACTCGCCCGAGCACGATCCGGACATTGAGCACATGCCCTTCTTCGCCATCTCGCATCGATTTCTGACGGGCCTGCGGTCCACCTACTACGAACGGATCATGACGTACGATGTCTTCGCTAAGGTTATGCTGCGCGTGCAGCACTACACATATTACTTCATCCTGCTGTTTGGCCGATTTAACCTGTACCGCCTGTCGTGGGTTTACCTCCTCGGTGGCCAGGCACCCAGCAGGGGGCCGGCGTGGTGGCACCGCTGGCTCGAGCTGGCAGGACAGGTCTTCTTCTGGACCTGGTTTGGCTACGGGGTGGTCTACAGGTCCATCGACAGCAACTGGGGTCGCTTCGTCTTCGTCATGATCAGCCACATGGTCACGATGCCGCTTCATGTACAGATCACGCTGTCGCACTTCGCCATGAGTACGGCGGAGCTGGGTCCTGATGAGTCGTTCCCACAGAAGATGCTCCGCACCACCATGGATGTGGACTGCCCGCAGTGGCTCGACTTCTTCCACGGCGGCCTGCAGTTCCAAGCCATCCACCACCTGTACCCGCGCATCCCGCGGCACAACCTGCGCGCGACGCAAAGGCTCGTCCAGGAGTTTTGCGAGGACGTTGGGATCCCCTATGCGCTCTACGGCTTCGTTGGCGGCAACAAGAAGGTCATTAGTCGGCTGGCAGATGTCGCAAGGCAGGCAGCCATCCTCTCCAAGTGCCAGCAGGTCCTCGCCCAGAGCGACGACCCGTTGCATCATCACTGATAAAAGGGAGTTCCATTGTCCCTCCCCACCAACTCCACCTCTCCTCCTGTTCCCCCTTGCCCTTCTCAGGGGTAGAGCTTGTGCTGCACTGAACTGTGTGGTGTTGTGCTGTAATTCGGCCGATGGTTTGGTAGCGTAGCTTGTTAAGAGCGACATCTGCATGTCTTGATAGATGTAAACTTTTGAGATGTGATGGCGGGGCTCCAAAGCGTGTTGGCCAGATGAGAAGCGATTGGTGAGAAAAAGAATCATAGAAGTAGTATAGAGACCAAGAAGAAGAAGAAAAGCATGATGGCGCCATCCTTAATTCTATCCGAGACAGTAGGATTCTGCGGGGCTTTCTCCTTTTACTGTGGTACATCGTGCGTTCGAGGTATTCATCCGTCGCGGTGTCTTTTTCTTGCTTTTTTGGGTAATCTACAACTTGCAAGGCCCGGACGTTCAGCTCCATGTTTGGGGGGTTCGGATCGTTTGAAGGGGTTTGGTTGGCTGAGGGAGGGAGGAAAGATTACTTCTGCAGAGACCATGCACGCACGGGTCGTCCATCACCAATCATTCTCGAAACTTTTTTCCCCTGGTCTGTTCTTTAAATGCCTGCCTGCTTCACGCTGCAGGCATGTGACCTGGTTTTGGGGGAGGGTGGATGGGGGGCGGGCACCTCTATTGTAGGTCATGCAGGATGAGATAGGCGAGCGTCCCAGAATCCCGGAATTGGCAGCTCGCTTACGCAGCAGCCCACAATTTTTTCCTTTTCCTCATACCCGTGCGCGCTCCCGTACTGGACATAGATGCGAGCATCTGTCCATGCGGCTCGGTTGCTGCTCCGTCCGATGGTGCCTTTTCTTCTTAATCTTTTTTCCTTCTTCTCCCCCCTCCTCCTTGTTATTTGGAGTGCTCGCCCTATTTTATTTGTCTTCTCTTTTTCTTGTTTCTTGATTTCTCGGTACAACACAACCCATCTACACAGACCAGGTACTGGTATAATCCTTTCTTTTCTTTTTTTCTTTTTGGGCCCTTTTCCTTCTTCTTTCCTCGCTTAAATGTTATATGAAGGGAAAAACAACAGCATAGCTGTCTTCCTCCCCCCCCCCAAAAACAAAAGTCCCTTGTAGGCGGCGGCTACGAAGAGACTTTCCGAAACAAGGACAGTAGGCCTACTCGTTTAGCACGACGTCGTCGACTCTGTCAAAGAGATTGATTCTGCTCCTGCCGCCCCGCAGACCCCATGCCGATCCCGCCCCATAAACTTGCGACTTGAAAGGAATGGTGACGACGATCAGGGTATTCGCTCTGATGTCCCTGGGGTTTGTGGTGATGGTGGTGGTGGTGGTGGTGGTGGTGGTGCTGCTGCTGCTGCTGCTACTGCATCTTTTGTGTCTCCACAAGGTAGATAGATAGGCATCATGTGCTACTGCTACCCGTCCTCTTTCTCACCGACAGATCTCGGATGTCAATGGCGGAGCATGGGGGTTATTTTCCCTGCCCAGCCGCGCGGGTTGTTTCTTTTTTTTCTCCTCTCTCGCCTTGTTCCGTATGTGCCCTGTCCCCCTCATTGATGTCTGTGGCGCCGAGAAGAAGCATAGATCTGCCAAGGGAACGAGGTGTTTGGTGTAAACTAATTGTCCGCTGGTAAGAGAAGAGCAAGGAGGGCGTTGTTACTGCGAATTGGTGTCGGAAAGGGGAGTGAGCGTTTGTTGACTCGAACGACCATTCCGATCTCATGGACAGCGATTGCGTAGGGCCTCGCGCAGGGAATTCGATGTGCCCAAGGGCCAGGGAACATGTACGTATGCACAGGGCGGCATCGCCCAAGATCGACCTTCCGTGACCAGAGAAGGAGATGACCGATACGTCAGGAGGGGGCCAGGAGGGGCAGTGTCAATGGGTACAGCGGGGTACGAGAGAGGAAAGGACGTCTCGGAAGAGCTGCCGAGTGACGTGCACCGGGACGCCGTCTGTCTCCTGACCAAGCAGAGCAGGAGCCTTTATGCCTCCTCCCCCACGGTCTCTCCTTGTCCCGCCTCGCTCCAGTAGAAGCCGAAGAAGAAGAAGGAGGAAGGTGGAAAAATGATATCCAAGCTGCGTTTTCTTTTTCTTTTTCTTCCCTTCCCGCATTTTGCCGCCATTTTCTGTTTCTTCTGCAAGCTGGCCCTGCAGAGCGGTAAGCAGGGATTTGAATCACAAACCGAGGACGAGGAAAAGAAAACAAGGGGTGGGGGAGGGGGGAAGCTATTTCTCCCACGATTATGCTGTTCGGCTGTTCGTTCATCCTCGACGCTTTGCGGTGAGACACAGGCGACCGCTCCGACAGGCCCCAACGAGCCTGCCAGCAGGTTGATTTCCCTGCCCCGTGCACAAAAGACTCCGTCGCAGCTTAATATACATCATATGATATCTACCGCCGCAGATTTGCGCACATGGCCGACAGGGTTCAGTCGGGTTGATCGGGCGAAACATGCAGAAAATGACAGGCCGGGGTCCTCACTTCGCAGTTCCAACGACCCACAGACTACACACCCCTGGGGCGGCCGGTTGGTCATAAGTAGTTGTCCCTGACAGCCAGTACCGGGACCGGGCCTCTGCTAGTTAACGCCGACTGTCACGTCCTGCTCCCGTCCCTAGCGGGCAAAAGGAAGCAGAAGAAGAAGAAAAGAACAATGTGCGCGGAAAAGGACAAAAAAGCAAAGCTGCGTTGTCATAGCCAGGGAAGCCTGACCAAACGAAAGACAGGGTCTGAGGTGTTCGCTTCCGAGTGGTGCACTGCATACGTGCTTGTGGGCCGAAATCTTGAAGTTGCTTATGGGGCTCGACCCTCACTCACCCTGGGTCCGACTTTGGCTCTGCTGGGGCCGAGAGAAGCAATGACCCCAGAAAGAAGGCCAGCTGTTTGCCGATATTTGCCTCGACATGGGCAAGCCTGGGGCTCCGTAGGCCCTGCTGCGGTCATTGTGTATTTCAAGGCCCAGGCGCGCAATCCTGACGAGACCCAATGTCGTTTCCATCACACCTTCTTTCCGTATTCGCATTTCATATCCTCACCTCCTCCAAACCCAATATTGACCCCCGTGTACCACTGCGGGTGGATTTGAGAAAAGTCCTCGGGCTCTAGCTCTCCCCTCCCTTCGATCCGGCTTGCCTTTCTTCCTGAGAAGGCATCTGGCTCATCGTTATATACTCCACTCTACGACCTAGATCTCTCCGAGAAAGCCTTCGTCATTTCCCTTTTACACAACCGTCCAAGACCACCAGTCGAGTCAGGGATCGCAAGGACCAACATCTCATCAGATCAGCCCAGCATGGGGAAAGGAAGGATGGACGAAGCCGCAGCGGAGCGTATAAAGAAGGCCAGAGGTGAAAAGGTAAGCCAGCAGACGGGACCAACCGCCTCTAGGAGTCAAGATACTGACAAAGCCTTGCGTGCGCCCGTGCAGGACGACTTTGCAAGAAGAGCCGCGCTGGCTGCCAAAACGAACAAGGAGACTTCAGGGCAAACCCAAGGAGGAGGCCAGGGCGGAAGCAGTGGAGGAAAACAAGGAGGGGAAGGGACTGCGAAGAAGTGAGCAGCCAAAGAGTCAGGTGCCTCTAGAATAGTGTCTCTGAGCTTGGGATTTGCAACGACACTCGAGGGAGGGAGGAAACATGGGAGACAGGGCCGCGTGGCACGGGCTCTCAAATTGGCGTTTTAAAGTTTCTCTGCGGGTTTGAGATGTTGATTTCGCGGACATCGGCTGGGCGCTAAACTGGGCAGCGAGTGGAGTCTGGAGTTCAACAGGAACGAATGGTAACCTGTGCAAAGAACTTGCGTTTCCACAAGACACAAGCGAATTCTTTTGAGTCATCTGGTTCGACGTCCTTCGCAGTGTCTGCTGAGATGAGATATGTGTTTCCCACGTTTGTTACAGGCAGGCCGCCCCAGTCAAGCGGAGCTGGTCAGGAGGACATGTTGCTCATAGTACAACCGCGGTTGGGTGTAAAGAATAGATGAGCACCGGTCGCCAGTCCTCTAATAACACAAAGGATGCGCTATCAATAGCATGCCGGACAGTGCTCTCCTTGCTAGTGAGCCAGCCCATGGACCAGCTTGACCTTGGTGACCAGGAAAGGGTGTAGCGCTGGTTTCAAACTTGCGCAGGTACGCTCGCCAGCCGCTGGCTCTCCTCGAACTCCAGAGTCCAGACCGAGTTCTATCCGACGCCCTGGACGATAACGAGTGATAGCAGGTGCCACGATCATCCACCCTGGGCTCCTGCGACGAACGGTGAAGTAGACAAGGATACTAGAAGCCGCAGCTGAGCCCTTTGAAAATCACTAAACGTATAGAGTCTGGCCGACTGCTCTTCTCACCGTCTCCTCCCCACCCACTCTCCAAACCGTCTGGCAGCTGCCGCGAATTGCGACAGGAGGTTTCTTCACGCCAGAGCGCTCTGATCATCAGCAATCCATGACCCTATAATCTCGTCATCACTGCCAGTGTCATTGCTCTCCAAGAAGGCGGCCGAGAGCTTCGCATGCCAGGCACCCAACCCCGACGACAGTGGTCCGGCCACGGCCACGAATTTCTGTTTGTAACGGAAGCCTTCGTCTGAGTTGGATTGCGAGTATGGTTCATTCCATTGGATGGACGGTGAAGGATCAGATCAGGAAATAGACAAGATGTTGGAATCAAGTCATACTGTCAAGGCGAAATGATATTCTGTAGGCAGTTTAAATTAACAAATAAAAATAAAAAAGTTTAGCGCCAGGCGTTGTGAAGCGTGACGGCATTTTCACCAGTGCAAGGCAAGGCGGCCCATGGAGATTGGAGCTCTTGAAGATGATACAAACACGCAAATATTCCAGGCGTCGAAAATGTGAGGAAGGGTGAAGGGGAGGGTTAGTTGGTAGGAAAGAAGGAGAAGGTGATGAAGAGGAAGACAAGAAGGAACATATTACATACTACTACCACGGTATGTACTATACAGTACATGAAGGCCAGTAAGTACTTCCGGTATGTAAGTACTACCATAGCACTGGTAAGTACTACTGCCAGTACAGCTTACCAATGGTAGTAGGTGACCCAGGCATGGCGTTAGCGCCTTAGCAGCATGTTTTAGGTACTCGACGACCCGCAAGAAAGGCGATCATTCACCCCTACAATGGGGCGTCGAGGCAAGTAGTGGGTACTTGGCCCATTGTCAACGCACCCACCCGCACCCGCACCCGCGCCCAAGCTTGCGGCTGGCACTGGCGCTTTGGACGTCATTTTTCTCTCGTCGTGTTGTTGGCACGGGTCTGATCTGACGGTCCACCGCGGCAAACAGGCAAACAGACAAGCAGAGGCAACCTACTCCAGCCTCCTCCATCCGGATTCCCCATCCTCCATCTCACACAGACCACCAACACAATTTTGAAATCTGAACAACGTCTTGGACCTGTGCTACGTGCACTTTCGAACCTCTCTCTCCAGCTGTCATCACAAATAGTTCCCAGCATCCTGCTTTTCTTCAGCTCCTCCCGCCCCGCACCCAACCCCCCCCCCCCCCCAAAGGCACAGACGTCCGTCTCATCGCTCTTCTAAACTCTCCAGAAGCTTCAAAACGGATACGCTCCAGGTACAGCTGCCGGGCGATCATGAGCCTTGGCTCACCACGTTGCGCCTGAGCCACCATGGACGCCAACGTCCAGCGTGCTCTCAACGACAAGCTCTACGAGAAGCGTAAAATCGGGGCGCTCGAGTCTGCTTTCCCCCCTCCCCCGGCCCTTGTGTTCTCACTTGGTCAGCTGCTGATGCGGTCCCAGGCTTGAACGTGTGATCCGAGAGCTTGCAGCTGTCAAGGACTATGACAGGATCGCTGCTATCCTCGACCAGCTCTGCAACGAGTACGCCTATGCTGTCCATCAGCCCCACGCTCGCAATGGAGGGCTCATCGGCCTGGCTGCTGCCGCCATAGCCCTTGGTTCGGTAGGTCCAACCTCTGTCCTGCTTTGTGTCTCCGTCAGGACCTCGTCCTGCGTGGTCCGAAAGCTAATCTCCCGCCAGGAGCTTCCGCGATATCTCGAGGTTATCGTCCCCCCCGTGCTGGCTTGCTTCACCGACCAGGATGCACGAGTTAGGTATTATGCATGCGAGGCAATGTACAACATTGCCAAGGTCGCCAAGGGGGAGATTCTCAAATATTTCAATCATATATTCGACGCCCTCTGCAAGGTATGTTTATCCCCGACGCAGTACTTCGTTATGCTCCGTATCCGCCTAGACATTCGCGCTCATGCTCGGACCCTTGCTAGTTGGGCGCAGACTCCGAGCTATCTGTGAAGAATGGAGCCGAGCTTCTTGATCGTCTCATCAAAGACATCGTGTCCGAGTCGGCAGCAACCTACATCAGCGTCCTGGAGATGTCCAACGCCGACGTCGTGGGTGATGAGAAGATCACCAATGACAAGGATGTTATCGATGAGCCCGCAAGCTTACCCACCGCCTTCTCGCTGGAGCAGTTCATTCCCCTGCTCAAGGACCGCGCTTATACCATCAACCCCTTCACCCGCACATTCCTCGTTGGCTGGATCACTTTGCTTGACTCGATTCCCGATCTGGAACTGGTTACGTTCCTGCCAGAGTTCTTGGGTAATCTACTCAAATTTCTAAGCGATCCGAATCGCGATGTGCACCAGGCCACCCAGGCTTGCCTTGACAAATTTCTGAATGAGATCAAGCGCATATCTCGGGTCAAGAAGGGCATCGTGGAGAGCAAGAAGTCCAAAGGGGAGGGCAAGCGTAAGCGGGAGGAGTCTCTGGACAGTGGCAGCGGTCATGTGGCCCTCGACGAAGGGGACGAGCTTGACTCTACCTTGGCCGACGACGAGGATGACGACACAAGCAGTGAAGACGACTGGATCCCTGGACAGGATGTTCAGATCAATTACAAGGCAATCCTCGAGATCCTGACTGCCTCTCTCGATCAGTCCAATCCGATAGGGCCATCGAAAATAAACGACCGCGTGGGGTTCGCTTCCGGCACAGATGAGGATGGCCTGCTGGAATCGCTCAAGTGGATTGTTGAGTTCTTGGACATATGTCCCGAGGAAGTCCTGCCCTTTACCCCAAAGATCCTGGCCCATCTACTTCCTGCGATGGCTAGCGGAGTCGAGTCGATCCGCATGGCAGCTGCAAGAGTGAACAACGCGCTGATGGACTATGTTGTTTCGCTGTCTGACGAGCCGGAGCTCTCCTTGTCCCAGCGGGGGTCCAGGGTCCCACTGGCCGGAGAGCGTCAGGAAGGCGGCCCCAGTGGTCGGGCGTCTCTGGCCAGTGCTCGGGAGCTCGATACACCGAGCCCCACACCAAATGTGCAAGGCCCGTCGACTGCAGAGGTTACGCCTCGAGGGCCAACACCTGCGCCGTCGAACAATCCCCAGGCGGACCTGGACTATGCAGCAGCTGTCAATTCCCTGACCCTGCTGTTTCTGAATGACCATGAGGCAACTCGGGTGGCCGCGCTGACCTGGCTCATCATGCTGCACAGAAAGGCACCCCGGAAAGTCCTTGCCTTCAATGATGGGACGTTCCCTGCCCTGTTGAAGACGCTTTCGGATCCTGCAGAAGCAGTCGTCACCAAGGACCTACAGCTACTTTCCCAAATCTCCAGGAACAGTGAGGATAGCTATTTCACCAACTTTATGGTAAGCCTGCTACAGCTCTTTTCGACAGACCGCAGGTTACTAGAGACGAGGGGAAATCTCATCATACGTCAACTGTGTGTCAGCCTGAGCGCCGAACGCATCTATCGCACCCTGGCAGATTGTATTGAGAAGGAGGAAGACGTCGAGTTCGCCAGCATCATGGTGCAAAATCTCAACAACAATCTCATCACTGCCCCTGAGTTGTCTGAGCTGCGCAAGAGGCTACGGAATCTCGAGTCCAAGGTATCCTCATAACCCCAAGGCCGTTCTGCTCTGCCTTATGCTAACCTGTTTGCTCCCACAGGACGGTCAGGCCTTCTTTGTGGCACTCTTCCGATCGTGGTGCTACAATGCCGTCGCGACGTTCTCGTTATGTCTCCTCGCTCAGGCCTACGAGCAGGCTTACAACTTGCTCCTAATCTTGTAAGTTCAACATAGTTCTTTCGTGTGGGATAGACACGGCTATTGACTGTGGCAATGGTCCAGCGCTGAGTTGGAGATGACGGTAAACATCCTCATCCAGATCGACAAGCTGGTCCAGCTTCTGGAGTCGCCGGTATTCACATGTACGTCAGCGTCTCTAATGCTGCTCTGCAAACCCTCGGAGTTGGGGTAAGAAGTGCTAAATCGATTTGCAGACCTCCGACTTCAACTGCTGGAACCAGAGAAGTACCCTCATCTGTACAAATGCCTCTACGGATTGTTGATGCTGCTACCGCAATCGTCCGCCTTTGCCGCCCTCAAGAACCGACTGAACAGCGTTAGCTCCATAGGATATTTACACATCGCACCCAGATCGTATGTCCAACCGAACACGAATCCATCACACTCTCGGCAAGGGTCAGTGGTGGATGTGGTTCAATTTCTTCAAACCCCCCCTCCTCGCTCCAAATCAACTGCCAGTATCAATACTCACGCTATCCCTCCCAGTTCGGCCACAACCCCAAGTGCTTCATCGTTCGATAGACCTAATCGGCTCAAAGGCCGTGAGGAAGGTATCATACGGTGGGCAGAGCTGCTCGAAAAGTTCCGCAGCGTTCAGGAACGTGCCAGGAGAGCGCAGAGACTAGGTGGGGATCTGGATGACAGACCGACTCTGGGAATAGGCGATCTGCGCATCACGGACAGCCTTGAGATGCCTGCCGCGAAGGCGCCAACGGGACGAGCACCACCCGTGCCTCTCAAAGACACACCTGCGCCTCTGCCTCCAGCCGCCAAGCCTAGGTCAGGCCTCGGTAGGCAGTTTGGCAGGCTCGGCGCGACGGTAGGAAGGAAGAGGGGGCAGCCACAGTGATGATAGAACTTGTGTCCCTTGGTCTTTTTTCTCTCGTCTCTTTTTCTTCTTTTATTGTGGGAAAGATCATAGCGTACCATAATACCCAGTCGCGAGGAAATGTTGGTCCAGGGGCAGGAATTCATCAGATGCTAGACAGACTATACATATCATGCCTTGCCTTGCCTTTCGCAAAGTGTCATCTTCCCTTTCGAGGTGTCTCGCGTTCGACAAGGTTCTCAAAGACGGCGTCACGGCGGTCGGTGATGCTACGCAGCTCTCTACGCAGCATGTCGAGCTGTTGGCGTGCCTGCTCCGTATCCGGGGGAAGACCCTCGAACTCGTTGACCTGCTGGTCCAGGCTTCTCTTTACCTGAAGGAGCTCTAGATACCTCTCCTCCTCCTGGCGTAGCTGTTGGATTGTCGGGTTTGGCACGCCGACCGCCCTTGCCAGAGACGAGACCTTGTCCCTCATCTCGAGCAACTGCTTTGCCATGGCCTTGGTCTTACGCTGCATGTCGAGATTCTGCCTGGGAAGATCGACTGGGGGCCGATACCCATCACCGTTCACCTCCCCGAGCAGCCTGTCGAGCCTTGCAAGCTCAAGATCGGTGTAGCGCTGCAGAACCCCAACCCGCGCCGTGGCCTGCTCGAGACTGAAGTTCCGGACCTGCAGGTCCAGCATCGCCTGTCCGAGCTGTGCAGGCTCTGGGAGAGCGATGCCCAGGTGCACGGCGGAGGTTGCCATCGCAACGAGCGAAGTCCTGCCCTCCCTGGTAAGACTCTCCTCCAGGGCGCCCAGGATCTGCTCTCTAAACGCAGAGACATTGATCGAGCTATCGCCGCCATCCTCCATGCCCTCGTCGAGAGCCCTGATCCCCTGCAAAGCGTCGGTCTCAGCGCGGGCGAGGAGGTCGCGGTTCTCATCCGCCGCCTCGTTCAGGCTAGCGAGGGCTAAGAGTGCCTTGAGAGTGTCGGGGTTTCTTTCGAAGGACGGTGGCTGGCGGCCATTATATTTGGAGGCTAACCAGCTGTCGACATAGCTCCAGTCCTTGGCCGTTGAGGCGGCCAGGCGGGCAACGGAGGGTGAGAAGATGGCGGCATCAGGCGGGAGGTGAGCCATCATCTCAAGATCGCATTCCAAGAAAACGGGGGAAGAGGGGCTTGTCGCGAGATTGTATGTGTTTCTTATGGTCCCTCCCTAGAGACAAAGTCCACCCGCCTCGACGCGGTTCTGGCACGTCGTCACGGGAAAAGGTCAGCGCAAGGGGGTTCACGTGCTAACGTGCTGGAGAAAGAGAAAGGTAGAGCAGGGTGGGTTGATTGGTGGAGGACAGGGCCGGCAGCGGTACAGTGTTCTAATACTATAGTACACACGGGCACCGACTAGGATACAGGGGTGAAGTACAGCCCAAAGCCCATGAGATCGCGGGTGACCAGAACTTTAGGTGGGTTTCTGCTATGACGGCGTGTACCTCGATATCGCGGAGGGTCAAGGTGGGACAATAAAGCATGGCTCGGGCCTAATCAATAGATTTCTTTCTATGTACTACCATAGTATGTACTATACTCTTAGCAGTACATGGCCCTGTACTTTATCGACGAATTCCGACAGCGCCATACCATTCCATCGCCGAGGTCTTTCAAAGAGGCCAACTATCCATTTCCTTCTTGCCAAACACGGCCAACCGCACCACCTTGCCTCCCTCAGCTCGAGGCCAATTTTCTGTCTCTTCCAGCACAAACGTCTGGTCATTCCACTCGACTGTGGCCTTTTTACCTTCATTCCTCTTCAGTTAGACACCAGCATCTTTAAGTTCCAAGTCACTCCTTGTGCTATAACCCTCCCGGCGTCTCTCGACACCCTGGGCTGCGGTCCAATTCGCTTCAAGAACCGCAACTCCAAAACTCATCTGCCCTTCCCTCCCACTTGTCGCATCACAGACAACAATGCTTTGCCGACTCTCGAGGCTGGCGCTAGCCGCCAGCATCCTCTCCCTCTCCTCCACCGCGGCCGCCCTCTCCGCCTCCGACATCCCCTCCGACACCCCCATCCAGGCCCTCCTCAACCAGGCCCAGCACTACCTCTCCCAGGGTGCCGTCCCCGACGCCCTGGTCTACTATGATGCCGCCATCGCCCGTGACCCTGACGACTACCTGACCTATTTCAAACGCGCCACCACCTATCTCTCACTCGGGCGCCTCTCTCAGGCCGCCAGCGACTTCCAACGCTGCCTCGAGCTGCGGCCCGGCTTTGAGGGTGCCCACCTGCAACTGGGCAAGCTGAAGGCGCGAAACGCCGACTGGGCTGGCGCCAAGGAGCAGTACCTCCAGGCCAATGCAGGCGGCACCTCATCGTCCGAACTGGAGGAACTGCTCGAGGCCCAGGGCGCCGCGAAGCTGGCCGAGGCGGCCGCGGAGGGAAACAATTGGGACGAGTGCATCGACCAGGCGAGTGTGGCCATCAAGGTTGCGAGCCGCGCCGTCTCGCTGCGAGAGCTGCGATCGAGGTGTCGCTTCGCCAAGGGCGAGATCGCGGGAGGAATCGGCGACCTACACCATGTCCTCAATCTACGGCCCGGCGACACCAGCCCGCACATCAAGATCTCCGCCACCAATTTCTACGCGATGGACGACCTCGAGCAGGGCATGGCGCAGGTCAGGAAATGCCTGCACTCCGACCCAGACTCCAAGGTCTGCAGGAACCTACTAAAGGAAGAGAAAGCCGTCAACAAGACGCTGGCCAAGGTCGAAAAAGCCCTCGAGAGGGAGCAGCCTGTGACCGCTACGAGGTTGCTGACGCCATCGGGCGAGGATCTGGGTCTCATCAAGGAGGTCACAGAGCAGATCGCTCGCCTGCGGCAGGATGGATTTATTCCTGAGCACGCGCCCTCACATCTCATCACGAGGCTGGTGGGGTTGGCATGTCAAGGCTACTACGAGGTGAGTGAAAACAAATGTAGAAATAGTGTGTCAACTTGGGAATTATGCGAGACATAAGGGACAGGAAGAGAGAGAGAGAGAGACTGACAGCTTGTGTGCAGGCGAATAACAAGAAGGCAAAGGAGTACTGTACTGAATCCCTTGCGATGGACGAGAGTTCTTTCTACGGGCTCCTCCATCGCGCCAGAGAGCAACAGGAGTCCGAGGAATACGAGGCCGCGGTTCGCACACTCGAGAAGGCAGGCGAGGTCCGGCCCGACAAGAAGCAGGCCGTCGTGGATAAACTCCTCCGCGAGGCCCAGACCGAGCTGCGCCGGTCCAAGAACAAGGACTACTACAAAGTCCTGGGTGTGGCCCGCGACGCCGACGAGAGGCAAATCAAGTCCGCCTACCGCAAGCTGACGGTCCAATACCACCCGGACAAGGCCCACAAGAACCACGTCACCAAGGAGGAGGCCGAGAAAAAGATGGCCCAGATTAACGAGGCCTACGAGGTCCTGAGCGACCCAGAGCTGCGCGCGAGGTTCGACCGCGGCGATGACCCCAACTCTCAGGAGCGCCAGCACCCGTACGCGCAAGGTGGCAACCCCTTCGGCGGCGGGATGCCCTTCATGTTCCAGCAGGGCGGCCAGCAGTTCCAGTTCAAGTTTGGTGGTGGCGGGTCGCCGTTCGGCTAAATGTTTTTTGTCTTCTCTTCTTTTCAGGTTGATTCATTCGTGTTGGCGCATTGCAAGGCGTTTTCTTCTTGTTGCCTTTTATGAGTGGTGTCTGGTGGAATCGGACGGAGTTTCAGGTGCTGCAAAGACGCGAGAAATGGACATGCGCATGCAAAGAGAGGTAGGCGTTTTGTGATAGCCAGAGAGACAAGAGGAAAGAGGTAGTTGGTAAGCATTAATGGATTACCTACCCAAACTCCAAAATAACACTTCAAATCTTACCACACAAGTCATCTTGTCTGTCACGTGTTCCCTAAGGCAAATCTCAACATGGCTTCCTCCTCAGAAGTTCATGCAGTCACTCGCAGTGGTGATCAAGTCCATATTTGGGAGGAAACCCGGGAGGGAATACCTTGCGCTTCTTTTCTCTATTTTCCGTATATCCCGTCCGACCGTACACTCCGTAATTCAATGGGTTTTTTTATCTTTATTTTTATGTACATCGGCCGAGTGGCCTTGCTCTATGTGAGCAGATTAAAGATCTGCGCCTCGCGAGGTGTTCCCCCGCGACAGCCTCTTCAGCTATTTCCACACGCTGCTCTCTCTGGGGAGGGAAGAGAGAGAAAACTGGTAGCTCCTCCAAGCGGCGTAATCATATGGGCGGGCTCCTCGCAAATTCAAGCGATGACAAAGCATCAGATTGTGACCTGCAGCTGATGGCGGGTGCTGGGAGGAGGAGGACTACACAAAGGCGGCACCGAGCCGCCTGGGGGTGGGGAAGGGAATTTGGTGTACCCCAGGCATTTTTTTTGGTGCAAGAGCTCCGATCGTGACTGGCGTTATCCCTCAGGCCGTGTCATTCTGGCGGATAAAGTACGCCCTGGAAAGTAAGAGCAGTCAGCAACGGTTATGCTCGGTGTTCAAGGCGTTCGGACCACGGGGGAGGGTCGTAGTGAGGGAAAAAGACAACTACGCACTTGGAAAACTCATATGCCGACCAGCAGATGGCTGTGCTGGGCATTGTGGTGACCACTCTGGGCCGGATTCCTTTAAAGAATCCCTTGAAACCCTCTCTTCGATACAACAACCTGCAGCCAGCCACGAAGCCGTTCACTGTCCTGAGCTCCGCATCCGATGCGGTACCCCTTGTCTGCAACATGGTCTTGATCACATCCATGGGTGTGGTCAGGCCAGCCGCAAAACCACCAGCCACAGCGCCAGCGACGCAGTGGGTGAAAGGATCGTACTTTTTGGAAGGGTTCATGGTTGTCGATATCGACTCGTAGGCAAGAAACTGGAGCGCGGTGAAGGGGACGGTCATGGAAAGCGTGGTCGGGTAGGAGACGTAGAATGCGCCCAGACCCTCAGTCTTGTAGACGTATTTTGCGCAGTCGGTCATGGATCGGTACATCTTGGTGGAGTTCTGAATCTGCATTCTCTGCTTGATGACTGTCGGGGTGTGCGTCAGCGGGGTCAACCATGGCCAGATGCCACAAGGGCGCAGGTGGTTGCGCGGTATGATGGGGTCACACACCATCAAAGGGATTCATGAGCGCATCGCTGGCGATGGTTGCGCAGGCTCCGCTGGTCGCTGTTTCCTCATTAGCTACTCTGTCCACGCTACACGCTGGACGGCGTCATGATGGGGGCAGTTCTCTCTCTCTCTCTCTCTCTCTCTCTCACCAGCAGCTAGGGGATGATGCACGCCGGCCTTATTCCCACCCATGAGGTGCTTGACGGCCTCGTAGGTAGCGAAATAGACAGCGTGCGCGGGGCCTGCGCCGACAACGACGCTAGACATGCCCCGCCATAGGCTCATAACGCCCTCGCCGGTCGCCATTCGGTATGTTCCCTGAATCACACCATTGTAGACAGCGGAGGGAGATGGGTTCAGGACCTGCATTCGTGTCTGTGTGGAGGCTGGGCGTCAGAGACCGAGGTATAGCAAGAAAAGGCAAACGGGTGAGGGGACGCCCTCGCGGGAGAGGACGCACCTTGATAGCATCGATGGGATACATGACGGTATGTTCCTGTGCCTCAAAATGTCAGCATCTCGGGTTACGTCGAGCGCGGCGGGAGGTCCGAGCCGGGCAGGAGGACGTGAGCACTGACGGCTATGCCTGCGAAGGCGCCGGCTGCCATGTTCTGCAGCAGAGAGAAGTTGGGCGGGAGGGCTTCATAGCTACATTGAAGGGCAAGAGAGTCAGTTACAGATCTTCGCAGTTGTGCTGCTGGAGAGAATCGCAGCCACGCTGGCTTCTCTACCTCTCTTCCACACTTGGGGGAAAACGAGGCCGTTGACTCACTCGTAGTCCTCTGCGGGCTCAGCATTGGGCTGGGCCATCTGGGCCACAGCGGCAGATGCGTCGCCGAGAGACTTCTGGAAATCCAGGTTGGCGATAGTGACGGGGTCGGGGGGCCTTTCGTAGGCGCAGGCTGGCGATATGCGAGGGTAGTAGGGACGGGGTGGGTGAGGCCCGCAGCACAGGTCGCGTCTGGTGAAGGCAACAGTGGTAATTGAAGCTCTGTCGTCCAGTCGAGGTTGGTCGATTGATGGTGACGCAATGGATTCCAAACGTCGACGAGAGAAAATAGGTGGCCGCGGGAAGGTCGCTGTACACCTCAGAAAGTAACAGCCGTGTGGAGTGGGGAGGGGGTTGTGCGAGTGTCCGCATGCAAAGGTAGCTGATGAGTGAAGGAAGAGGCCTGCTACTGTAGAAAAGATCTCAGAAGAGGCAATTGAGAAGTTGGCAGTGAGGGTTGTGAACTAAAAAGGGCTCTTGAGGCGTTTGTGACTGCGTGGGTGCACAGCAGGTGCAGGCGTGTTGGATGTCGCGGGACCGTGGACTGGAATAAAAATCCGAGAAGAGACCAGCGGCGAGGGTCTGGGTCCGTCCTACGGCGGTGCGGCCCCCCCCCCCCCCCATCAGAGCTTCCCCCCGTTTTGGGGAGCTTTTGTTGGAGATGGCTTGGCCCGTCCTGGCCTGCTTGGCCTTGGATCTTGCCCTCACCTGCAGACTCACTATGCCTAAGTACCCACCCATGCCCTGCAGGTAGCCTGCGCTAAGAAAGAAAAAGAGAGAGGAGAAAGTATCCAGGCCATTACTGTATATGACTTTGCTCTGTCACCTAGCATGCCCCAAAGAGGAGAGAAAAAAATCAAATCACTGCTCACTGTATCTACCAAACATAGGTAGCAGCAAAGCACTATCGCACGTACGATGCAGAACTGTAGGATGAACGCCTTCCAGGTCCACTGGGCTGGGAACCTCGGCCCGTCAACAAGTCGCCCTTGTAGAGGCCCACTGTACATGGCTTCTCGAACATTAAACGGTGCTTCCAACGGGCAAACACTAGTGAGGTAGTCGTGCTCAACGTATCGAATATATTTGAGTGCAATGTACTATGTTTGTACCTTCACCTCAACCACCCAGTTCACCCAGTGCGTCACTTTAGCTGTCTTGTTGAACAAAAGGCGGCCAGATACAGGGACAAGTATAAAAAAATAAAATAAAAGATGAAAAATAGAAAGGGGAGACGGGAAATTCGCTCTCGGCGCCGAGCTTAAAATTCTAAGAGGATGGGGCTCAAGGTGCAAACATTCCAAAAGCCCAAGCTGCCTATCGCAGGCTATCGAGAACTACATCCGGGGTTCCGGGACCCGTTTTATGGGGTGCATGGTGCATGGTGCATGTGCCAGCACTACAGAGTGTGACCGTGGCCCTCTTTTTCTAATTTTCTTGGTCTTCTTCTTTTTCTTCTTAGCCCCCCCCCCCTCCTCCTCCTTTGATCGGATCAGATAAAAATTTACTGTCCCGCAGGTGACCCGTCAGCAAACCGCCCCCGGTGGTACTGCAGCACCTCTATTCGGCTCAGCCGTCGGTCTTTGCCTCACTGCAGTGCTTCTTGCGCTCCCCCTTTCTCACCCTGCCCTCCAACCACTGAATACCCCGAGTTGAAAGCCGCCTTTTGTAAAATCGAGGTCAGCGAGAACGGGGAATGTGCAAGTCCGAACTTTGTAGGCATCCTTTCTAGCCCCCAAGCATATCGCGATTCGGAAATACGAATGAACCATTACAGAGACGGCTGGGGCGCGGACGTGGCCTGTCTCTCCTCCGTCGGGATGCTGGAGCCGTGTCCGAGCGCCGTCTCGGAGAACCCTCGGCAGACAGCGCCCCTCCGAGCGGCCATGTCGAAAATGCCATCGCACTTTAGATAGCCCTCCTGCACACGCCTTGAAACGACAGCCGATGTCTCCGAGTTGCATCCTGCCAGATCCTGCCAGCTTATTATCACTGATGCTTCTCCAGTATCGTCAGGTAGTGTTGTGAACTCGGTTCTATTGGCAGCACATTTGCCTGATTGAAAGGAGAGATTTAAAATAAAAAAAATCAATTAAAACCTCCTTTGCTATGAGGCCTGCCCAAACTCCAAACCCATCCTGACAATGTGATCCTCTCGATGCGCCATCAACGGGCTTGATGCTGGTGCGTCTTGTTGTGCAAAATATCATCAACGCAGTGGCCTTACCCTCATAACCCCGAATATCTATGAATATCCACCAAAACGGAAGAGGGAGAAATAGGCGTCCCGTTGGCTCCTTCAGCGATGCTTCATCTCTCGTTGGAACTGATACATCAGCCCCAGCACGCCTACCTCTTCTTCGCCCTCATTCACTCCACTGTTGTCTCGACCAAGCGCGTGCGCTGGTGCTGCTGTCTGCCATTCTGACTGGTCCAGCCCATGTCCGCTCTCGTACACGTCGTCGTCTTCATTTTGTGTTGTCTCGAAGTTCTCGTTCCCATCTTCTAAAGCCTCCTCAAGGATCCCTTCTCCGTGTCCACCGCTCGCCTTCCTGCCGTGCCGCATTCGTTGCACACTCTTTCCGAGTGCTTGCACCTGCGGCTGGTGGTGCGGATCGAGCAGGATAGACGCCATGGGTGAGAGGGACGGCGGCACTGGACCAAAATTGGGCGTTCTCCCTACCTGTGACGAGCCACCAGGGGCACGACTCCTGGGCCTGCCCATTTGGCTGTGGCCCATGCGCGATGTTGTCATGTCAGCCCCCAACGTTGGTGATTGCAGGCCCGGAAACGCAGGGGGTGGCTGGAACTGATGTCGTGCATTTGGTGGTAGGTGGCCTGGGATGCCCGTCTTGGGGTTGATCACGTAGTTGTCGAGGAACCCGTAGAAGGACGCCGCCATTTTGCCATGTTTTGTTGAATAATAATCACCTCTCACGTCGCCGCCTGTACTGGGCTGTTTGGGTACCTTTTTAAAATCGAAAACCGCAAAGGAGCACACATATCCCAAGCCATCCACATGGATGGTGAATTCCCTGAAGAAGTCGACAATCTGGTCGCTCGATCGCGGCAGGCTGACGATAAGAATCAACGGCGCAATCAGGATGCTCACAATCTCCTCCATGAAGATGATGACCTTGTTCTTGTAAAGCCCCGAGAACTCCGTCTTCACCTCGTAGCTATGAAGCCGTCCCTTCCAGTGTTCTGGTTCGTAGTGCGTGTACTCGATGACTTGGCGCAGGACATATTCAGGGTTGAAAACAGTGTTGTCCTCTGGTATCATGCCTCTGGCAAATGCCCAGACACCTGCAAACGCGGTGAGGTAGAAGAGCGCGGTGCGATCATGAGTGATCTCAAACCCCAAAAAGAGGTCGGGATCGACCATTGTGGCGATGGCCAGGACCGTGGCTAGGGCGCCGGCAACGAATGCAACTGTCCTTGCCAGGCGTTCCGTCACAACGCTGGGAAACTGGTCGAGGTACCGTTTAGCGAACGGGTAGGACATATTCACGCGCTCGTAGAAGATGTGTGGGAGCTCGTTGAATTCTCTGAATTTCCACTCGGCAAGGGGCGTGTAGGCACGAGTCCCGAGGGAGGATGGATTCTTGTGATATTCCTACAGCATAAATCAGCAACCAGGCGATGATGACCGCGGACAGGATGGAAGCCTCGGGTAACACGTACGTGAAAGTAAGTCAAGAAATGCATAATGAACAGGTAGCCCGCCATGAATGGTGCAATCATTAGTGTCATGATTCCGGCGAAGAGGAATCTCGCTTTCAGTTTCTGACTGAGCTGGCCTCGGCGATCCGCCTTGAGGAACTCTTGGTTAACCTGGCCGCGCTCATCAAAGACAAAGTCCATAATGCTGAAGTTCAAGGTCCACTCGAGAAGGCGGGAGAGGAATTGACGACCACTCAGAAAAGGTAAGGGGATGGAGAGATCCAAGATGTCTTTGTTGATCAAGGCGATGAGGAAGTTTTCCCTCCGCATCAGGCGGTTGGCTATATCATGGGCATCGAGCCTCTCCTTAGACTGGCTACCGAGCCACTTGCGCTGTCCCGGTTTCTGGCGGTCCGCCGTCTTGGGATTGCTGTCCCTCAACTCCATGATACGTGCAACCACATCCTGCCAAGACACGGTCTGCATATCGTGTTCCGGTATGTCGAGAAGGTGCACGAAGAAGTCTCTCATGATGGACAAGCGTCGCAGGTCAAGGGGAATCTGAAATGCCTTCCAGACCCAGTAGAATGCCGTGACCCACAATGCGAAGTTCCATGTCCCCGACATTTCCCCAGTGCACCTGGGCACCAGGATCTGTTTCATGGTCTTGCTGGCGGGAATCTGGGCGTAGTTGACACACTGGGTCAGGAAGGTGAGGAAGACAGCGATGAATCCTATCTCGACGAGATGAAGGATACGGTCGAGCAATATGCACCAGAAGCCATTTCCACGGTAATAGTCATAGACATCCTGCATGAAGCTGTCGAGGTTGTCGACATTAGCCCACCTCCACTCGGCCTTCTGCCTAGCTGTCCCCATCAACGTGTTGACCAGCGCTCTTGGCTCACCGCGACCACGCGCAAGACTCCCATCGAGTGTATCATCATTATGTAGTCTTTGCTGGTTCCTGGTCGCCTCCCATTGGGCACGGTTTCTCCTAGTTGACGGACCAGGCACGACCGTCGGATTTTGGGGTGCTGGTCTTCTACGGCTCTTATCAGGTTTTTTCAGAGGTTCTGCGTCATGATGTTCAACCAGCAACGAGGCCGGTACGTCGTTGTCTCCATCATCATCATCGTGTGGCGGCCACGCTGGAGCCCTCTGGCCTCGTCCAGAGCTGGGCTTGCGCTTGCGGGCGTCGGCGGCCAGTGTATTCCTGCTGCTCTCGATGGCTAGAGTCTCGGGATCGATCTCGTCGTCTTGAAAGTGATGGTTCAGGTTCTCTTCGTCCAGCATGAGGCCAGCACGATCTTCGACGTCGATTTCGTCGTCATTTCGAGCGCGGAGCTCCTCGTAGAAGGACCTCTGCTGGTTTGCAGGCACGAGCCTGGAGAAGAGGTGGATGTTGGACGCCATAGTCGGGTATCGCACCGACACGGTAGTTCATTTATGTCTGTTGGTTTCGCATCCGGCTTGAAATCATGGTAGCAACATTTCCGGAAGAGTCGGGCACGGTCAACGTGTGAAAAGAAGAGGGGGCTCGTCAGGTCAGTCGCTAGTTGGGCGTTCGTCGCTTGCTAACTGTCACCGTTGCGAGGCCGCTCTCCAAGTCTGGATGGGGGGAGGGGCAAGAGGAGTAAGTGGTAAGAGAACTGAGCTGGGTGCGAGGGCCACTGTGCTGAATAGCTTTCTTTGCTAGGCAGGCACGCGGAGTTGTCACAAGGAGGTTTGATCTAACGAAATATGTTGACGTGTGCAACACAGTTGTCAGGTTGGAGGAGGCCGGGTGACCATCTGCCAGTCTGCCTACGCCAAAGGACCATGGGGTCTTATCTTATCGGGTACTATGACGATGACCCCCTGGGATGGCAGGCGGTAAGGATCGGCCGCAACCTGGTGTAGGTACTACAGTAAGTACTTAGGAGCCCCTGTCGCCCGGGCCCCAGGGGGGGGGGGTGGTCCCGTGTAGCTTCCGAATATGACACGGTTCAGGGCGCGCGTCTATGAATTTGTTCTCACCAAGTTTGAGGTATCTCATAAGTCTTGTATACTGTATGTGAGTTGAATTTATAGACATTCCCTTCCTATCCGCCCCCGGCACTCAGACTCTCCTCAAGTCCATCATAGAGACATGAAAATCTACGCACGTCCTTTTACAAACGAATCTAACAAGAGCGTCTCTTGCTGAAGCAAAACGTCCACTCCAAGCCTGCTCCAGCCTTGGTGTGATTCTATTTCTGTTAGCAGTCCGCTATTATCTGATCCATCGAGGCGAACAACTCACGCAAGGAGTATGCGGCGATGATGACTTCAGACACATCCCTTTCTCTGAGCCAGCTTCCCTTGCGCTCGCCACCGCCAGGCGACACCACCGTCTCTGGCAGTCCCTCAATCCCGCAAACGCCAACATCCTCATCATTCAGAGGCTCCAATCCTTTCTCATCCAAAGTCACTACCGTATTAGCTACATCCTACGCCGATTCTGAGTTTCGTGACGCTCTATCGCTCTTAGATGGGCGCGGGATCGCTAACTCTGCCGCCACAAGGCGGCAGCTGCGGCTGCATCTCCAGAAGGAGGTCATTGAAAGTAATGGAGACATCATTGCTGAGTTCGGCAAGGTTTCCGATGTGAGCACCACCCCATGATTAGCCCTTCCATGGAGCTCTTGTCTAACTGGGAGGTACTCTTAGCAACTCCGACGAATAGGTGCCACTATTACCAAGCTCAACAAGAGTTACGATGAGATGAAGATTCATATCTCTGCAGCTCATAACGCGACATCGTCCGTTATTGATGACGCCTCGACTCTCATGACACAGCGTCGTCAGGTTGAGACCAAGCAGCAGCTTCTTGTGGCTTTCAACAAGCATTTCTCCCTTTCCGAAGACGAATTAGCGGTGTTGACCTCAACTGCAGAGCCAGTCGATGACCAGTTCTTTGCTGTTCTCACCAAGGCCAAGAGGATACGCAAGGACTGCGAGACTCTGCTTGGCTTTGAGAATCAGGCTCTTGGGCTCGAGATCATGGAACAAACCTCCAAGAACCTCAACCTGGCCTTCCAAAAGCTGTACAGGTGGATCCAGCGTGCATTCAAGACCCTCAACCTCGAGAACCCTCAGATGGGGTCATCCATACGGCGGGCGCTTCGCGTGCTGGCTGAGCGTCCGTCCCTCTTCCAGAGCTGTCTGGATGTCTTTGCCGAGACCAGGGAACAAGTTCTATCGGATGCTTTCTTCACCGCATTGAAAGGCTCTTCCCCTTCTGGTGTTCAAGACCGATCAGTCAAACCAATCGAGCTCGCCGCTCACGACCCATTGCGATATGTGGGAGATATGCTTGCGTGGATACACTCCGCTGCTGTCAGTGAACGCGAGGCTCTGGAGATTCTCTTCGTCGCCGAAGGAGATGAGATCGCCAAGGGCATCCAGGCTGGACGAGAAAACGAAATATGGCATTTCGCCGAGGATGGCAATGAAGAGGTTGCTACTTTCGACCCTGTTACGGCTCTTAATGAGTTGGTTGACCGGGACATGTCCGGCGCTGCCAGGATTTTACGCCAACGCGTTGAACAAGTGATTCAGACGAACGAAGAGGTCATTCTAGCCTATAGGCTGTCCAATCTCCTCAACTTCTACCGGGTCACATTTTCTAGGTTACTCAGCCCAGACTCAGTACTGGTAGAGGCATTACAAGGTCTCGAATCCGAAGCCTTGCGCCAATTCCGATCGTTGATGAGAGACTACGTGGGCAATCTACAGACCGAATTCCAGCAGAGGCCGTCAAGCCTAGAGCCTCCAGAGTTCTTACGCGAAGCTTTCGACCAATTATCTGCAGTGATGAAGACGTACGACACATCTCTGGCGTCGAATGGTAGCCGGGAAGCGGATTTTCAGCCGATCGTGGCCGAGGCTTTGGATCCTTTCATGTCAGGTTGCGAAAGCATGGCGAAAACCTTGGAACACCCAGCAAGAGCCATCTTCTCGATCAACTGTGCAAATGCGGCCATTGCGGTGCTGTCGGGGTTTGATTTCACTCAAGGGCGCACAGATGAGCTCCGCAAAGAGGTAGACCAGCAGTCTCAGGAGTTGGTCAACAATCAATATCTGTTCTTCAGGAATGAGTCGGGTCTTGACGCGCTCTTCACGGCTCTGGACTCGCTCTCGGACCAAAAGAAGAACTTTGAAAAAATGCGGACACTGGAGCCTTTCCAACCAGCGGCGTTGGAGATCGCAAGTCGTACACTGGATAACTTCCTTGCCTCTGCTCTCATGGACGCTGTGGAGAATGTGCAAGAACTCCAGGACTCACGCCTGGGTCGAGAGATTACAGAGGAAGCAGCTGAGAGGTTCTGTATTGATTTCGGGCGTCTTGAGGATATGCTTATGTCCGCAGACGAATGGCTTGATCTGCAGGGTAGTTCAGACGACGGCGGGGATCAGAGCCTGCGCACTGCATTTCCCAGGACAGCTGATGAGATCCGAGTGTTGCTCTCGTGATCCACTTCCAAGACAAGTAGCTCTCAGTCAATTTGGTCATTTGAACCACTGTATCGAAACTACTACTCAAACAATCAACTGCGTAATATGCAAACAAGTACATCGTGCCCAAGGAGACACTATCCTCTGCTGCTTATTTTGAGATTGTAATATTGGGTGGCTGTCGTGGATTCTGCACCGCTAAGAATAGGAGCTGGCCGCATGCGAGGTCTGTTCCCAAATAGGTTGATGTTATCCTGTGCTGATGTGGGGGGGCTGGGTTGCAAAGCGGAGTAGACCCTGCAAAGTGGCAGCGGAGGAAATCGCTAAGCATAAGTACCGTAGTAAATGTACATATAGCACACAACAGCGACCCTACCTAAAACTACGTCACCTGGGACTGCCGCGCCGCCTGTGTCAAGCAACCATACCATAGGCGTACAAGGCGGCCTTTTTTCACTTTCGACTGTGCGTTCATGCTGAAGAGAGGCTACTCGACCCTCCACGCCAGCTAGCAACGAACGACTCGGCCCCACGCCGACCTCTCCCTCTCTGCCTCTCGAGTGCAGGTGGAACGACACCAAGTTGACGCCGTCACACTGCTCACCGGGCCAACAGTACAGAGGAAAAGAGCCTGCGTATGCCTAGCTCATGAGTTACAGTCCATTGTGGAGGGATGGTTTGGGGTGCGACACAATGCTTCGGAACAAGGCTGCCCTGCCTGCCCTGCAGAAGATATACGACGAGAGTTATCTAACGTGCAGTACTGCTGTGTACTATGAGGGTCAGGTATAGTCTCGTCGACGGTCCCATCGTGCAAGAGAATTCGCGTGTCCACTAACCCCTTCGTCACAGGGTAACGAGAAAGAAGCCATGCGCTGCTGGAAGACAGCGCTCGAGAATATCTCCGAACACAATGCACATAAAGTCACGTCCAGCTATGTCCCAAAATCCGAGACCGAGAAGGCCCTGATCGAAAGTCTGAAGAAGCTGGAGTTGCAATGCAAAGAGAGGATAGACTTGTTAGAAGCCCTCAGGATCTCCCGCGAGGACGACGCAGTGTACAGTCCCAAGACACCAACGGACGGCAAAATGGTCGAATACATTGTTCCGTCAGACCTCCAGGCACGGCGCACGCCTAGCGGCAACAAGGGCTGGATTGGCGACGGAACCATACCAGCAATCACATACCCTGAGCTGTCTCGGCCAGCCCTCCCACCTCGGCCCTCCCTCGCCACGAGAACGTCATCTGAGCAGGCTGTGGTGGGACCGAGGTGGGCTGGGGCCGAGGCTGGTCCCTCCTCGTCTTCCTCCAGGCTACCCTCATATTATACAAATTCTCCTCGCAAAATTTCGCGGTCCCCAAGCCCGGACAAGTACACCATGAGAACCACGCTCCGCTCGGGCAAGACAGGCGACAGGTCCGCAAAACGCCGTTCGATTCCCCAAAAGCTCTCAGACGAGCCTGGGGCAAGCAAAGCTGCGACCTTGGCATGGAGCGCCCTCGGTTCGAGAGACGTGGCATCGCAGCGAGGCTTTCCGGACGCCGCGGCGGCGGCGGCGGCAGATCGCACTCGGCCACTCCCGTATTACGACTCTGTCGAGTCCGGTATCAAGAGAGCTGATGCTTCTCCCGCTCGGCAATGGGACAGTCACACCCGTCGGCTGGTGAAGCATAGGGACGAAGAGGATGCTACGCCAGCAGAACCATCAGGGGCAAGGCATAGCTTCGACTCGGCGCGTCCAGATGAGCTATTCTCCCGACCGTCTGCGCTTTCTGTCAGCGCTGCATCGAGTGCTCTCACCGGTCTAGCATTAGAAGCCCGAGAGCCAGAGCGCACTTCACGACACCGCACAAACCCCGATCACAGCAGAGGGGCCTCGTCTAGACCCTACCGAAGAGAAGATCTTGCGCAGGGCCGGTATGACAACAAAACGACCAGCAGCACGAGCCTCCCAATCCATCGGAAGCCAAGCAGATCACATCGAGAGCACACATCGAGCCCGAACTTGGAGCACCGCCGGAAGTCAACCCCCCTTCGAAAAACCACATCCGACTCCAGTGGGGAGGGGAGTGATCCTGACCTCGTCCCTTCTCGTCCCCGTAGAAAGGTCTCACAGAAGGAGCGGTCCTTGGTCATGAACTCCAGAAGCAACTCGCGCTCAAACTCTCAGAATGTCTCAGAGGAATCAGCTTCGGAAGAATCCAGTCCAGAAGCGTCATGGAAGAAGAGGAAACACGCAGTCATGAAGAACCTTCCACCTGGGGTGGACAGGAGCGCAGCCAAACAAATTCTAAACGAAATCGTTGTTCAGGGCGATGAAGTGCACTGGAATGATATTGCTGGGCTTGAAGTAGCGAAGAATGCGCTGCGTGAGGCCGTTGTTTATCCCTTCCTAAGGCCTGACCTTTTCATGGGACTTCGAGAACCGGCAAGAGGCATGTTGTTGTTCGGGCCCCCTGGTACGGGTAAGACGATGTTGGCACGAGCTGTTGCTACGGAATCGAAGTCGACATTTTTCTCTATCTCGGCCAGTAGCCTGACAAGCAAGTATCTGGGGGAGTCAGAAAAACTGGTCCGGGCCTTGTTCGGTCTCGCCAAGGTTCTGGCACCCAGCATCATCTTCGTCGACGAAATCGACTCACTGTTGTCGCAACGGTCTGGATCTGGTGAACACGAGGCGACTAGGAGAATCAAGACAGAGTTCCTCATCCAGTGGAGTGACCTTCAGCGGGCAGCGGCTGGCCGAGAATCGGGAGAAAAAGACCGGGGCGATCCCAACCGTGTGCTTGTACTCGCGGCCACAAATCTTCCCTGGTCTATTGACGAGGCCGCCCGTCGGAGATTCGTCAGGAGGCAGTACATTCCCCTGCCTGAGGCCGAGACTAGGGCTGTTCAACTTCAGAACTTGCTCGGCCAACAAAACCACAGCTTGACAGACGACGATCTGGCTAAGCTCGTCGAGCTGACGGATGGTAAGCAATTGCTTTTGAGCCCTTTCATCACTAGAAACCACGATTCTAATCCAGAGTAGGCTTCTCAGGTTCTGACATGACGGCTCTCGCCAAAGACGCCGCCATGGGCCCTCTAAGATCTCTCGGTGAGGCACTACTGCACATGACAATGGAGGAAATCAGGCCTATCGAACTAGCAGACTTTGTTGCTAGTCTGGCCACGATCCGGCCCAGCGTGAGCCAGTCGGGTTTGAAGGAGCACGAGGACTGGGCGAAGGAGTTTGGGGAGCGTGGAGGTTGACCGTCCAAGATGGACCAACACAGTTACCTTCCACTTGCTATCGCTGTGATATCTGCTCGCGGCGCTGGAGGTGGTATTGGCGCCAACGCCGAGTCTGTTGGCCCTTATTTTGCATTTGCACAGTACAAGCAGGCCTGCTTCTACCATCCCATCGATACAGTACACGAGCCTCGTGAATATACACACTTCAATGATCCATCTGTTGTATGGGGTTACTACTCCACAAAATACCACAACCGTAAAACCTGCTACCACTTTGGCTCATCGGCCCAATCGAATGTCTATCGTAGAGGAACAGGACCCGTCAACTCCGCCCGGTTTATCAACCTCATCTTCCATGCTGCCCTTGTGATATCCTCGGTAAGTTTGGCCGCTCTTGCTACCTTCTTTTCCAACTGCGCTGCCTTCGCCCTCAGCTCCTTTCTCTCAAGCTTCTTTCCTCGCTTGACAGCATGCGCAGCCTCCCTCTCCTGCTGTGTCGGCACTGGTGGCCTCTCCTCGACGGGGGGGCCAAAGGGTGCTATTATTCGGTTGACCACGAAGCGCTTCCTCTTGGACGAGCGCCATCCAGACACGATCTCGACGACGTCGCCTGTCCGTACGGAGTTGTTGGGATCATGGACAAGGTGGGATTCTGGTTTTTTGAAGTACTAAAGGCGCAAGAAGATGAAAGTCAGCGAAAGAAACGAAGGAGGAAAAAAGAGACGAGAGAGCTCATAGACGGAGAGATTGAAAGAGAATTGGAGGGGGGGGGGGGTCGCCGTACCTTTTTCACTTTCTTATTCCACTCTTCCCCTCCAATCTGGACCTTGACGGTCTTGGCTGCCAGCCCTGCCGATATCACGACGCCGGTCGCTACCCGTGAGAACCTGCCCGGCGCGGTCTTGATGACCTCCCCGGAGGCAGTTGCGAGGGCCGCGGAGGCCATTGGAGACACAGCCTGATGTGAAAACGGTCCTGGCCTTGGCCCTTATTCTTGTCCTTTCTGCCTCGCGCAAAGGATGTGAGGAGGTGTGGAGTGGTCGGCTATTACTGGAAGTATCCGTCGCTCTCGCACAGGTGGTAGGTATGGTCGCGTGGTAGGTCGTCTGCAGCTCTAAACTCGATGCCGCAAATTTCCTGACATCTCGCGCCGGGTCGGCACCGGTGGGAGGAACCCTAACCCTGGACTAGCGACCAGATCCTTTAGAAGATGTGGTTCTTCCAACCTTGACTGCAAATACTTCAAAGTGATTTCGCATATTACATTTGTCCTAGAGTTCATATTTGTGTCGCTCTGTGTGTTTCCAAGAAATTCATTTATCTGTCATGAATAAGCAGGATTGCAATCTACGGCTTATGGCAATTGGCATGCACTGTCGGTCCGAGCTGGGCAACATACATTCCTGGTCCTCCGTACTTAGTACCTGAGTATGTACCGAACATGTGTAGCCATTCGCCATACTTGTCTCCTTGGTTCTCGATAATACACACTCTCCTGTACAATCATACAAATATACTTCATTATATATACCGTAATATTTATGTCTGTTCTGTGTTAGTCACAAAATATCCTATATGCCCCAACAAGATTATGTCTTGCTCGGCCAAAGTCAAAGGTGTGCATCACATCTACGCCGCCTTCCCATAACTTCAAGTCCCCAGTCTGTTAAATTTTTTCTTCAAAAGGAAAAGAACAAAGACATTTGAAACCAGACAAGAAAATGCGAGAAACCTATAATCAGATAAATGAGTGCCAGAGATATTGCACTGCAGGTGTTTGGCCAAGTTTTGTCAGAGAACCACTGGCAGTCCAGATTCTTGATCTTTCAGAAGCGTAATCATCTATTTAGATCAATCAGTTCGCATATACAGCGGCTGCAGGAATGGTCTCGCGGTCCCCCACTCAACGCTCTCTTCCTCCATACCCTGAAGTATCGGCTTGATTAATTATCTGACCTCGCATAGTCATTGGCTGATCAAGTACTGTTTGGACGATATGACAAGAAATAACGGGCATCAGACGGGTCTCGGACGGCGGATCATCCGAAGAATTTACTAGGTCGTTTCTCGTCTCAGGTTTCATATGTAGGCTTGGTGGCGGGAGCCGAAACTTCCAAGAGTTCGACCTGTAATTTGCTGTGCCTGGTTTCGCGTCTCTATAGAAATAGGCCCGACATGAGCGATACGCTGTCCAGGTGCGTGCAAATTTTGACGCGGAGACGAGTGAGCTGTAATTGTTATTTCCCTTTTTGTGTCGTTATTAGAAGAGGGGGGGTTGATTGAACCAAAATATGAGTTGAGGCGCACATATTGGCTTCCATGTCATTGTCAAAGTGTAATTACGTATTCAATGCTAAGTGAACCGAAATGTGAACAAGGCTTGGACCGGTTGCTAAAAGTTGAAAATTGAAAAGTGTTGAAATTGAAGAGAAAATTGGTATGATAAGTTTTGATTCAATAACAGGAAATTCGTGTAGAATATGCAGTCATCATAAGCCCGCAGTTGCTGCAATAATTACACCATGCCGGCTCTATACCCAGTGTTTCCCATCTCACCTGGCGTCCGAGCGCTCCCAACAACCACCATCTTCTTCTCAAGAAATCTCACACCTCAGCATGTTGGACCAAAGCCTGGTCTAACATACTGCCCCTCCCCACTCGACCCTCCTCGCACATCGGTTTCGATCTGAGACCACATCAGGCTATGAACTCACGAGCCTTGATGTTGGCGAGGCGGTCACGCTTGGTGTTTGTTGCGCTCCTGAAGCGGGCCTTGTTGTTGTTTTTTCCGTTGTTGCCGCCAGCGTTGTTGGCGTTACCACCAGCAGCCTGAACGGTGAACTTGGTGCAGTCATCCTGCGACCCGCGCTGGGCGACAGGCATGACGACAGGCTGGTGGTTGGAAGCCGAGGTCATCGTGCAGACGCGGAAGTTTCCTGCGGGGAGACCACCGGCGACGGCGGCAGAGAGGAGCCCATCTCCGTTTCCAGCATCGTTGATACCCTTGAAGAAGGCGAACTGGGTAGGATCTGGGGGGGTCGTCGGGTTCAAGGAGTTGCCGAGATCCTGAACGGTGATGTGAGTGTGCCCAATAACCTGGCCCTGACCGTTCAGCTGTTGAGGGGCGGCGTAGTAGGTCGCATCAGCGTTGGTGAAAGAACCGGCCTGCAAGTTCTGGGTCTGGACGCTGATATTAAAGTCCTGGTTCTCCTGGATGGTCTGGCCCTCCTGGGGGAACGTGATGATACTCGAGATCATGGTGGCCTTCGCAGGAATGTCACCCATGACTACAGCATGTTAGCTTTGTCCCCTATGCACAATGATGGAGAAGCTTAATGCTACATACCAATACCATTGCAAGAACCATCGGTGATCTGCAGACCATTGGTCAAGGTCTTGCCAGAGCAGAAGTTGATGAAGTTGTTCTGGGAGGTAGTCGAGGAGGCCTGGCCGGTCTCAGCGCCGAGGCCCTGGCTGCCATCGAGGAAAGAGCCGCTCTGGATAGCATTGTCCGAGAGGGTTGTGCTGTCGGCAGCGGCGGTGTTTCCGCCAGTGTTCCCGCCAGTGTTGCCCTTGGCGAAGGCCACAGCCACGAGGGCAGAGAAGCTGAGGATTGTCTTGGTGGAGATCATGGTGACTGATTTTTCAAGGAGTGTATGGGGGAGACCAGCAGCACAGGAAGCTTTAAAAAGGAAGAATAAAGTTGAGAGAAAGAACAAAAGACGGCACACAGAAGAGAGTGATAGAAGCCGTTGCTGTGTATGGCTTATTAAGAAGTACTAAGATAGTCCAGAAGCACGGTCAACGTGATCTTCCTCTTGGCTGGCAAGAACTTGAGGAGAGAGAACGAAAGGAAGGCACGGCGTCAGTGGTGGTGGAAACCAGAAGGGGATATCATGAGCAGAGGGGAGCGGATGGAGAAGGGGGATAGTTATATGAGTCGCACAATGTGTGGGAAACATTCTTGGCATGCCGGGGGGGCGAGGGGGAGGGTGGATGATGACCAGCAGCAAGTGTATCGTGGCTCTGGTTATGGGGAGGCATGATGGCAAGGAGGGGGAAGTTGGAATGAAGCAACGGCGCAGTGCATAGGAAATGGAGATCCCGCGGCGTTGAAACTACATGCGACGACGAGCTCGTCGCAGAGCCAAGCCCCATCAAGGGCTGTCATCCCAAAGCCAAGCGGTAGGGAAACGGCATGGGTCCTGGTCGACACGATGGGGGCAACCAGGACCCCCTCCCATGGAAGAGGGACTTTAGAGAAACCGAGCCAGGGTTTGGCATTGCACCCGTGCCTATCACACACGTCGACCGCAGACCCGCCTGGGTATGCTTCTTTACCTTGCAGTGCAGTGCTGGTGGAATCCTCTGGCCCAGCTTGACACCCAGAGCTAACCGCCAAAGAGAGGTCTAGGTCGTCATCGAGGCTGGATGCACGACCATCTCACAGGGGAGACATTCTCCCGGACAAAGCAGTAGCAGGGACAGCAGCAGCAGCAGCAGCAACAGCGGTAAGTTTATCAAGTTGAGTTGACAGCAGAAGATCAAGATCCCCGATCATCAGAAAGAGGGGTTCGTCGGATCCAGAGTGTCATCCAGTGATGCCAACAGCAAGCCATAGAGATGAAATTCAGGCTTGGACGACGAGAAGACGAGGCGAACAGATGCTGGGTTGACAGACACAGAGTTGGGACAAGAGTTGGGGCTGAAGCCAAGGGGAAAGAGGAAGGGGGGGGGGGGAGGGAACAGACGGATCAGGGATTTTGATACTGCCGAGGTGAGTAATAGTAAGTACATGGTAAATCATAGTAGAATTGTAACTATAGTAGACAGAAATGGCTGTAATTGTGACTGGAGAGATGAGTGGTTGGTAGTGACGACGTCGAGAAGAGAGAGCCGCAAACCCACTAGCTACCAGTGCATGTCTGATATCTTACCCCTGTTCCCCACGCCTCGGACAGGGGAACCCACCTGCGCTTCTTTTTAAGCTTACCGTACTGCCTTCTCATATGCTGCCTACCTGATCTGTTGCAGGTGACAAAACTTTAAATGGTATTCATTGATGGAAACAGTCTTTTTCCTTCTTCCTTCTCTTTCTCTTTCTTTCTCCGCCTGTTTTCCGATCCAGAGGGGGAAAGGTGAATTTGTTATGTGTAGTCTGTGGGTTATTGTAGTACCTGCGGTTTGTTTTTCATCTGTTGAACCATCCCCCGAATGGCTAAAACGTCAAGCACAATCACTATATTTCTCAGGTACATATCATCATAGAACTAGGAGAACTAGCAAATACCATAGTAGCAGTAACCTGTACACCGGCAACGCTACCGAAGGAGCATGATTGGTAGCACAAGGAGGAAGGGGTGGGGACTGATGAAAGGTGGGTGCGCGGGCATCCCAGAGTTACACCATTACATGATCGGCCAGCGAAACAGCTTCCGTCACAGGAGTAGGCTCGGCAAAGACCAGCACTACATCGACACAGATCTTGAGCAGCGGGCCTAGCACAACCAGGATCACACGCTCAGCCTTTCCGGCCTGGATCTGGAACTCGGCGCTTTCACCGTCATCATGAAATTGGGTTGGTTGGCTGGTTCGCGATCCCCTCTCCAGCGGCAGATCAAGCGCGCTCGGAGTTGTCAGGTCCTGCAGCTGTTTCGTAAGGGCGCCGGCGACTAAACGTGCCAGATGACCGCCACCAACTCCTATCGGTCATGTTCCTGGTTCTAATTGATTTGCTTGTGATCTTCTGCCGCCTACCCGAGTGAACCCTGCACTTAGGAAAGAATGTCGAGTGCAGCAGACCCTCTCCGACGGTGCGGCGAGGTGGGATCAACCTCGCCAATGAAGATCAGGACTCCACGACCCGGTCTCGCCACCCTGGACCGCATCCAAGAAGTCAACATACAGTACCAGCATGATCTTCGTATTCTTGTTCTTCTTCATCATCACCCGGCATTGAACGGCTGACTGATCATCTCTGGATCATGTGGACCCGGCATCACCTCCTCTGGCAACTCGAATCATTGTTCATGGACGACTACTGAGCAGACGGAAACGCACACATCCTCGTGGTCCCTTCTTGGCAAAACAGCCAGGCGGGGACTCTCGTCGTTTTTTCTTCTTCTTCTCTGCTTAATTCCTGTCTCTTCTCTCTCTCCTGTACATATGTTTTTATAAGAACCCGCTGCCGTCTGGTTTCTTCCAAACGCGACCCAGCGCTTCGGGAATTTTCTCTCGTAGGCAGCCTTGGGCTGAGCCTTTCAAGAGAGACGAATGGGGCATCAAGAGTGATGACCAGTATTTGTTGTGGGGATGACTGTAGCCATCTGTCATAGGGTGTATAGTATATGGACAGTATTGTCTTGACATGGACGTCGAGCAGTGAATTTTACCTCTCCCATGTCAAAAATCCTTCATGATTGTTTTTTCTTTCTTTCTTGACGGCGCACTTGAGCATCATTGCTGTGGGCTTGTGAGATTGTGTGTGAGTACTGTAGGCTGAAGACGGCCGAGCACCACCCACGAGGCTATAGACCCTGAGGGTAGTACTCATCAATGGAAAGTGAAGTGATCGGGGGCGGGGCTCCACTGGTAGGGTGCGAGGGTGGTAGCCACACTGCGACGAGGCGAAACGTCGATCAAAATCGCGGAGAGCTTTCTTCCCCACCTTGGTAGAGTCAACGGGCATCAGAAAGGGCAAGTCCCGAGAACCGCTTCGGAATGTGAGATTTTTGGCATTTAGAGAAGAAAGTTGTGTCAGCAGAGGAGGAGAGAAAGAGGCGTTGATTGAAGGCACTTTACCTACTATGACCTATGCTGGTGATGCGATGAGATCCCAGCCTTTCACTGGAGAGGTTGTACTGCATCTTCACCTTCCTTTTGACCCAGGCTCATCTTCCCTCCTTTCCCTCCCTCCTTCTTTCCTCTCTTCTTTCCTTCTCTTCGTCTCACCTTCATCCTTGCGATCCCTTCCTCCGATCTTCCTCCCTACATTCGGTGCCAATCTAATATACTTATTCCGTACAGTCCAGACTCGTCATTGGTGCAAAGAGAAATACACGAACGCAGTTGGCTGATCGAAGGATCCCGAAGGATCCCCCCCCCCTTCCCCCCGAGCTCGGGGCAAACCGGTGGAAGCAGGTACTGGCCTTTAGGCTTAAGCCTAGGCCTAGACTTGCGCTGTGCGTGACTCTTTTAGTGCTAGGCTACTCTGTACAGAGAAGAAATACAGACGACCCGCATCTTCCGGCGGAGCTCCACCCATAAGCTATTCGTTCCCACTGCCCACTGGCGCTGCCCTTTCTGCCCCCCAGCGAGATTTTGTCGCCGATATTGTCTCCGTCAGGGTTTTCAACCTCGTTCGTCTTGGCCCGCCTGACTCTTTAACTATAACCCCAATCCCAATCCCACAACCACAACATTCACACCCTCAGTCGCAGAACCCGACAACGTCTCATCCCCTCGCAACGCAGAGATTGACCGCCACCCTCATTTTCCTACCCCTGGTTTTTCGGTGTTGTTTTCCCTGACCAACCACAGCAGACGTATCATCGCTTGCGCTATCCTCATCAGCCTGCTTTTCCTGCAGCCCGAGAAAAGCCATCGAGCTGAACCAAGGCAACGCCTCCAACAATCATGGCTACTTCCCCTATAGAACGTCGCACTGGCGTCAAGAGGCCTCGTATGTTATTTCCTCAATTCCCTGGATCCTGCTTGCATTCCACCGGGCCCTTTCCCCCCTGCCCTCCCAAACATCTTTCCTGAGTCCTGCTCTCTGCGGGTTGTACGATCTCAATTGCAGTTACTGGTACCTGAACCGGCAATAGCGGGCCTTGTCTATGCAGGACCATGGAGAAAAAATACAGAGAGAAGAAAAGAGGTGTGGGCGGGGAATAAACAAGCATGAAGATGGCTGGATTGGCTCGGAGTCGGACACGCTGTGCTGTCGGTTGTGGGTGCACAATTAAGTCACCGAGCGGACTGAGACATGATCACAGGCAGGCCTTGACTCTCTGTGTCTTTGCCTCTCTGTTCCGCCCTGGCTATGATGTTGCACCGATCATGTCAACAACCTCTTTGTGTCTGGCCTATCTCCCTGACCTCGATCTTCTCTGCCCCCCATCTATCTCCCTTCCTCCCTCCCACCGGCATCACTATTGAACATCTTATCCCCGCCAATCCCTTTCTCCTCTCTCACAGTCCTCATTTTATGATCTCCCTGGCCTAACTTTGAGTGTGCTTTTCTTCGATGATGACAGGAACTCAGTCGCTACCGCCCCCCGAGCTTCCTCAGCTCGTCGCCGAGCAGCATGCCTCCATTCCGGTCACCGACAAGGACTCGAAGCGCCTGATCGTTGTCCTGTCCCACGCCAGCCTCGAGACCTACAAGTCCTCTCACACCCGTACAGGTCACATGGGCGTCCAGCGTGAGGAGAAGTACTCACTGCTCAATAGCGACGAGCACATAGGGATCATGCGCAAGATGAATAGGGACATCAGCGAGGCGAGACCTGACATCACTCATCAGGTTCGGCCCCCCCTCAACCCCTTCTCCCCCCTCCCTTCTCCCCCCTTGCGCCACTATTCCGACGAACGCACACGAGAGCCTTAGCCCGTCTCAACACGAGTTTAATTCCCTCGCCCTTTGGTCTGGTCTGCATCCAACATGCTGATCATCGCTGACTGACCTGGTTGGCTTGTGTCCAGTGTCTCCTCACCCTCCTTGATTCGCCCATCAACAAGGCCGGTAGATTACAGATCTACATCTCCACCGCCAAGGGCGTTCTGATCGAGGTCTCCCCCTCCGTGCGCATTCCCCGCACCTTCAAGCGCTTTGCCGGTCTCATGGTCCAGCTTCTCCACCGTCTGTCCATCAAGTCAACAAACTCCCAGGAGAAGCTCCTCCGCGTCATCAACAACCCGATCACCGACCACCTTCCTCCAAAGTGTCGCAAGGTCACCCTCAGCTTCGAAGCCCCCCTCGTACGCGTACGTAGCTACATCGATCAGCTTGACAAGGACGAGAGCATATGTGTATTTGTGGGCGCAATGGCTAAGGGCCCTGACAACTTCGCCGACCCTTATGTCGACGAGAAGATTTCCATCAGCAACTTCAGCCTTTCGGCCAGCGTCGCATGCAGCAAGTTCTGTCATGCCGCCGAGGATGCTTGGGATGTCCTCTAGTCACCGCGCTATTCCCTTGACTACTTCCGATCATGGTCTTTCTCGGTGATATCCTGGGGAGGCGACCATGAGGGAAAGGGTTACGGCAGAGCGTGTGGAGGTTGGAGATGGCACGACCTTACACGACACTAATAAGAAGCGTCTTACAGAGAGGAGGGGAGGTGCGGTGGGGTGGAAGGGAAAGGGAACAGTTTTCGGTGCCGCTATGCTGTGATGGCTATACAACATGAGCCATGATCAGCGAGCCTGCACTTTCCGTTTGGGTCGTCTGTGTTTACACTGTCGCTGTTTTTCCAACTAAAACAATTGGGTGTTCAACAACGGATCCAAGAGCATATCCAAATGCTCGGTTCGACCACTTCAACTTGGTCAACCACTCCTCTCTTGTGCTTTGTCAAGCCTTGGCTTGATGAGGACCCCCTGTTCAGCTGAGCTCTTGACCTAATAGGCACACTAGCATGCAGGTTGGGCTTACACCCGTTGATGTGCTTTTCTCTCTCTCTCTCTCTCTCTCTCTTTGCTGCCGCAGGCAAGTGCTTGACGTGGCTCCTATCGCCGATACGAGGATCGGTTGGGGTGACCGGCCCTCGTGCTCAGTCCGGATGGATAGATCGTCATGAGTCCGTCCGTAGTGAATTAATTGCGGCCAAGTGGACCAGTGTGAGAGGAACAGCGCTGGACTCGGATGATTCAGGCAGCACGAGTAATATGGGTATTGCGACCAATCGAATTCAATGTCCACACACACTCACACACGCATACACGCACACACACGCATACATTCCAGTATACCTGTGAACAAAATTGGATTGGGCCTCCACTGACCAGCCTAACGGCCTCACAACAACAAAGAACAGAGTCAGCGGGGGGAGCTGAAGGTTCGATCGATACTTGGCGCGCAGTGCTACGAATTTTGGTTAGTGGTGTGAACTTGCCGCATTGGCGGATCCAGACTATCCGGCCGTTTCGCATCACTAGCAGTACAGGCAGACGTGACTATCATGAAAGGAGCAGGAGACTATCAGGTGTCAATTTACTAAGTACATTTCCAGAGCCTGATCCTGCGGTTGTGTGGCGCAGGGGCCTACTAACTTGGCTCGCTTGGTACCTTGGGCACGGTACACCTTGTCCAGTCAGGCAGCCAATGCTGCTCCGAAGGTACAGCACTAGCTCTCATGTAGGTCATCGAAACTTGAGGCTCCTGAAAGCCGTCACATCGGCCTTTTCGCACGCCCTGGAATGAAGATGTCCCATTTGCCAAGAACCTCCCGAACGACGACGGACTCATTAGGAAACGTTGAATGAGGAGCCTGAAAAATTTATGAGTGGCTGTTCTGAGCTCAGGCATCGGCAGGCTGGTTTGTTGCATTCTCTGATTATCACTTTCTATGCTTACTCCTGCATAATCATTTTTTGGCAACACTTCCCCCGTCTGCGCCGTCAATCAGTAGTATATGATTCCCTCGTCTGCTACGCCGTCGGATCGAAGCATGATGGTGCACTACTTGCTCTTGATACTGTACTTACTATGGCAAACTGCGATCCTTTGATCGTCACAGCCTCGACCAGCCCTTTTTAACCCCTTGCACCGCAGGTGGAGATCCCAGACGGGTCAGGCTGTCTTGATGCCCAGTAGGATGTCATTCGCGATCGTGACTGACTACCTGCTGCAGAGGTGGGCTGGCGAGCCACGTCAAAGCTGGCGATTGGACCAATGGGCCGGGGTGTTTGTGAACTCTCTCCCTCACCAGGAGCACCCCACAGACTACCATAGTACTGTGCAGGATGTACAGTAGGAATCGGTGGGTTACTATGGACCACAGGCGACCCCGCCACCGGAATGGTCGGTGCGAAAAGGTATCCTCTCTCTCTTTGTTCCAATTTGTCGGCATGCAGTTGACCCCTGATGTGCAGCACACCCGCTGGCGGCAAACCGCATACCAAGTCGTTTTGTGAGTGGATGTCACAGTTCCCTTCCCTACCCTCCTTTACCCCTCCCACCCTGCACCATAACTGTCGTGTCACGTCCTGGCATAGCGTTCCGTTGCCTTCCCCCAGGATAGTGTTACTTTGTTACGCTACCACATGCCCTCCATCTTTTTGAGTGCAAAGTCCAAGGCTGCGAAGTGCACAAGCACAGACACAAATCCACATTATTTTTCTTATACCGCGTGCCTGCATTTATAGCATCCCTTCCGCCGGGTTGTGTCACACGACTTCCCAATGTTGCCCTTTGTCGAAGTGAGCCATCTCCCTTCTTCTGCGTCCTTCTACTCGGCCATTACACAGCCGTTGGGCCTGCAATACATATCTGCAGTTGATCCTGTCTCATCAGCTGTCGTACCGGGGACACACTCCCTCACGTACGGCCTGAACACATCGCCCCCAACACCCGTGTTCGAGCTGCGCCACGTGAGGCCCACCGCCGAAAGACCGCTCAGGCTATCACGCCTTGTTTTTTCTGCAAGCTCGCCAAGCGTCGCCAGGCGATTCCAGGCTGCGGTACAAAGATTCCACGAAGCGGACGGCAGAGCATCACCACCCTACTCCTCCTCTCCTGATTGTGAGACGTCTTGGTTGACGGACGACTGGAGGCTGTCAGTCACGACCACGGGGTCGGATATGGACGGTAACACAATGGACGTTGTCTACATTCCCCCTCCACAGTATCCAGAGAGCTTCTCCGGGTCGACCTTTCGAAAAACGAACTCCACAGAGGGCGAGATCAATCGGATCATGAGCTGGAACTACGATGTAGCCAAGTCAGACATGTCACCTCGCACGCCTTTTGATCCGCCCAATGGTGCTGCCTCGCCACCGTCGCTGTCGGCACGTCTGAACCGTTACTCCGATGACGATATGTCTCCCGTCATCCGACGCACGGTCACGAGAACGACCGTGTACGGGCCGGTCGAGCCAGCGCCATCACCGCGGCAGAACTCCAGTGGATCCCTGACTGCTGGAGCCGTCGTTGGGCTGCTGGGTCTCACGGCGGCCAGCGCTGCCATCGGTGCCGGCGTCGCCTATGGTGTGATGAAGGACCGGACGAGGCAGGATCTTGAACCTCCCATGTTCCAGCGCAGGTCAACCGAGCCTCTTGGTGGCCCTCGCGGTCGAGACCTGGGGTACGAGCGAGGCGAGAGGCAATACCTGTCGTCGTCTGTTGCGGACCGTCGTCCCCCGCCGACCCTCTTATCGAGGCCTCCCAGGGATGCAGACAGCGGGTACGATGACGGCCGCAGCCGCCACTCGTCCTCACGCTTCAGGCCCTCGGGCGGCGCCAGTACTCGCACCCGCAGCGAGGTGTCCTCGGGCCGGAAGCCTCTCTTGTTGACAGACGTCGAGCACCGCAGCCCTACCGGCAGTTCCAGGCACAGCGCCAGGACCAGCGAGATGGAGGGGCTGGTTGCCGCTCCTGCCGACTACCGGAGCCATGCCGGCGGCTCGCGCCACACGTCCGCCAGGTCCATGCACGGCGCGGCTGCACCGTCGATTCGACGCAGCAGCACTTACGATGCAGCGGCCGATGCGGACAGGGACACCTATGTGTCGACCCGGAGCCACCGCACGACAAGCACCGTCCGAGGGCCCCCTCGGCCCACAGTACAGACGGAGCTGACCTCTCTCGTGTCAAGACCCAAGGCTGCGAGCCGGGTGTCAGGAGGGACCGGCCTGCGAAGGGGCGACAGCTACGTCTCTACGCGCGACGCCGCGGCGGCAGCGCCACTACCACCGCCGTCTGTCAGCCGCGCAGCGAGTTATGTCTCGGCAAAGAGGGTTCCGTTGCCGGCGAGTGGGGTAGGAAGCAGCAGAGGCGAGTATGAGGATGATGTGTGCAGTATTGCGCCTAGTGATAGTATCAGTTGTATTGGGAGTCGAAAGGGCTCGAGAGTTCATTGCTGATCCTCTTCCCTTGGGTCAGCCATGGGGTAGGCCTTTTCTCTCTTTGTGGCCTTGGGACTTGGGACGATCGTCTTATTTTTCCCATTCTTTTTCACTCCTCTTTCCTTTTCCCTTCATCTTTTTTTTTCTCCCTTTCCTTCTTCATGGTTGTTTCTTCCATCATTTGAGTCCCATTATTATCCGTAGAACAGCAGGAATGACTAACACGACAGTAACAACAACCTGGATGCACTTCTTTTGGAAGTAGCAGTTGTGTGGACTTGCCCGTGACAGAGCAATCTGAAACGGCGGGCAGCATTTTCCTTGTTTTTTTCTTCTCTTTACCTTTGGTTATCTTCGTCTTGTTCTTCGTGAGGGCCAGGACTGCACAAATGCATTGCAAGCGAGATCAGGAATGGCGCCCAGAGAATCTCATAACTGTTACCTCGCATAATGAATGAATTGATGATCACTCCAGTGCTGCATGCGCGTGTCTTGGGTGCGTGTCTTGGGTGAATGGACGGACCATTGTATGGGCGCAGGCATCCAACCTGCGACGACAGGTGACGAGTATGGAGGAATATTAGCTACCGTACTGTAGCTTCACCTAGCGCGGGTAGTGGTTGTTAACTCCAAGTGCCCCTCAAATGCCGTCATCTACACTGCAAATCTGGAGCTCCGATAGTCGGCCGAATCAGTACAGCAATTCGCCGTTAGTTCTTCACTACAACTAATTTCTCGCTCTGACGCTGGAGCCTGAGCTCGGCGCGGCGATGATCGCCTCTCGGATGTTTTTTCTTCTTCTTTTTTTTTATTTCTTATCCGAGCAGATTGAATCCACTATCTCTCTCTCTCTCTCTCACACACACTCAATCAAAATCAGACAGGGGGGAGCATCCGTGAGCATTTATAGTGTTAGTATACTGTTGTACATCCTCACTTATCTTCATTCATCCTTGCCCTGTTCTCGTCTACTACCCTCTTGCGACAAATACCAAAGTACACGACTTTTCACACACACACACACACACACACACACAGACCGTTGGACATCCTCGTCAAATTGCTGGCTGGCTTGGTCCTCGCCTCGTGGGTTCTAGTGTTCGTCCTCCTCTCCAACGGTTCGGCCTGCTTGGGCCACCGGTTCCAGGTCTGGTGTCAAAGTTTCGATATCGCTCTTTACTCTCTCAAGAGTTCCGTCGGCAACAAGTTAGTTAGAGGTCATTTCATTCATCGTAAACCTCTTGCGAGAATGCCACACATAAAATTAGGGGAATCTATTCCTCCAGACACAGCTCATGTAAGTCCGTTCCTCGAATGCCCGCTTTGGTGCCATACTATGTCGCCGACACACATATCTTAACCGTACTCTGTAGGCTGTGAGTGTCTCGTTACCGACATGGAGATCCAATGTCGCCTATGAGGAGGGAGAATCGTGGGTGTTGGACAGCATGGTCACTGGGTATCCTCGATTCTACATCCACAAGAGCATAGCAGCTCTTGCTCAGGTCATCGCCCAGGACTTTGGTCAGCCAGGACAGAAGGCCATGCTGTTCCCCAGCAGGACGGCTGCGCAGCGGTGCCAGGCTTTCATCAAGGCCAAGGCCCCAGCTTCTGCGCAGGACAATCTCGGCTCGGTCCACTTGGTCCTTGACAGCTCCAATCCGGCTGCCACGCCCCTGCGGCCCATTCACCCGACAGTGTCTGCAGTATTGTTCCTACCCGAGGCCTTCAGCTATGCGAAACAGTACTGGCAGCACAGCGGCGATGGCATCTCTAGCAGACGCGCCGAGTTCTGCCACGGTCTGCTCGCGCAGGGTCTGCTTGTGCCGGCTGGTTCACCTAAGGCAGCGCCCGTGCGACAGCTGCCGCCTTGCAAGGGCCCAAGACGCTACCAGAAACCTATGTCTGTCGACGATCTGGCCTCCACGGCGCCGGCGAGAAACAGCCAGCAGCCAGACGCCAGCGGGCCTGACTCCGAGGAGTCCTCTCGCTTCGTCGAGGAGCGGTTCGGCAGGAACCTGGATATCTCCCTCGTTGAGCGGGCCAAGACGGCTATCAGGAGGCGCATCGCCGGTACACTGACGAGCGATGTCGACGTCGGAGAAGAGCCCCTCCCCCAGGCCGAGCCCAGCAACAGGGGCGTCCAGGGCCTCACGGAGCACGACATCTACATCTACCCGATGGGCATGAATGCCATCTTCAACACCCACCGTCTCCTCCTGAGCGCCCGTGGCAGCATGAAGAGCGTTGAGTTCGGCTTCCCCTACGTCGATACGCTCAAGATCCTTCAAAAATTCGGCCCCGGCTGCGTCTTCTACGGTCATGCTTCCGAAGAGGACCTGGACGATCTCGAGCAAAGGCTGCGGTCGGGCGAGCGGTTCCTGTGCCTCTTTTGCGAGTTCCCTGGCAACCCAGTGCTCACCTGCCCCAACCTGCGGCGCATCCGCGCCCTGGCCGACGAGTACGACTTCGCCGTCGTCGTCGACGAGACCATCGGCACGTTTGCCAACATCAACGTCCTGCAGTACGCGGACGTCGTCGTGAGCAGCCTGACCAAGATCTTTTCGGGCGACTGCAACGTCATGGGCGGAGCGGCCGTCCTGAACCCCAAGAGTAGGTACTATGCCATGCTGAAGGAGGCAGCCGCCCATGAGTACGAGGATACATACTGGGCCGAGGACGCCATCTTCCTCGAGCGTAACAGCCGCGACTTTGCCACGAGGATCGACCGCATCAACACCAACGCAGAGGCCATCTGCGAGGTGCTCCTGTCGAATCCCATGGTCAAGAGGGTTCACTACCCCAAGCACAACGAAGAGTCCAGGGCACACTATGACGCGTGCAAGGTGCCCGGTGGCGGGTACGGCGGCCTGCTGTCCGTCGTGTTTCATCGCAAGGCGGATGCTATGGTCTTCTATGACAATATTGCCACGGCCAAGGGGCCGAGCCTGGGTACCAACTTCACCATCACCTCGCCCTACGTGGTGTTGGCACACTATGCGGAGCTGGACTGGGTTGCCAGCCTCGGGGTGGACCCGGATCTGCTCAGGATCAGTGTCGGTCTCGAGGAGACGGATGAGTTGGTGTCGGTTTTTAAGAGCGCCCTGCTGGCGGCTGAACAGGCCTCAGAGAAGTCTGGCCCCTAAAAAGGAGATTGTTGATTCGTCTTGCGGCGAATATTTCTTTGGCGACTAATATCTAGAACAAGACAAATAAAGTCACACCTAATTGGCATCTGGATCATTGTTGTGACAGTAGTTTACAGAACCAAATACGCAAGATGTGGTGATATGCTGCAGGAATTTCTTCGCATTAGGGAAACGAGACATCGGGCTGTTGGATTAATTAATTGATTGAAGAATAACGCAGCTGCATGCATGCTCTATACTGCATGCTTGGGTATCAACATATTTGAAAGGAGGAAGAAGAAGGGGAAAAAACAACAAAAAAGGTCGAGTTACATGACGAGGCAGGAGGAATGCTTGTACTGGTCACCAAAGATTTCCATGCCCCTCTCTATCTCGTTGGCCTTCTGCTTCTCGTCCGTCTCCTTGCGGAAGTACTGCCTCATAAATCTTTCCAAATTCTTGTCGATGTTTGCTGCGTCATCGTTAGCATAAGCCCATTTCTGAGAAAGAAGAAACAGAATATCTGCACGTTGTTGGGTGCTCACATAGGTCGGCGTCCATAACCACCTCTTCACGGCAGAGGGGACAGCTCTTCTTGTTCTCGCGCTGCATCTTGATGACACACCGGACACAGAAGAGGTGCGAGCACTTGAGGCGCACGGGATACCACGCTATCGAGAAGCAGATGGGACAGTCGTAGTCCTCAGCCCTGGGAACCACCGAGACCACCTCCTGCGAGAGCTGCGCGCACAGTTTCTTAGCCACGTTGCCAGCGAGGAACCTCTGCGACCGGACGGCGGAGCGGAACGAGACGGATGCCCCCAGGCTTGTCCGCTTGTCGAATTTCTTGAGGATCTTGGTGATGGCCGTCTTATTGAGCTCCTGAAACTTGAGGTTCTGGAGCAGCGTGGCGTTAAGCTGCAGGAACCTGGTGTAGGCCCGCCTACTGGAGGGCATCTTGAACTTGTCCAGCAGACCCCGCTCCTGCACCTCCTTCTGGAACCAGACCAGCTGCTGCACAGCCTTTGCGCTGGATCTAGAGCCGTGGTCCAGCTCGTGCGAGGAGAAGAACACCTGCGCGTTGACGTAGAGGTCGAAGATCTCGCGCCAGCGGTTCAGGTCGGATTTCGAAAGCGCCTTGGGTGGCCGGACCACGGTGGACACCTCATCGCCTAGGGACTTGATGTCCGTCTCCATAGACCTCTCTTCCTGCTGCAGAAGGGTATCTAGGCTATCTACATCGGTCTGGAGAATGTTGAAGAACTCGCCGTCGAATACCAGCGGCACCTCGATCCGCTCCAGCTCCTCGGGGGAGAAGGGTCCAGGATCAGGCCTTGTCGCACTGAGGGCGGGCGAGCAGGGCTGTCTGCCAGAGAGCCGCTGCAGGAAAGCGCGGGAGGCGGGTGATAAGGCAGCATCGATCACCTGGCCATGTTGCAGGTGAACGAAGACAGAGAGACGCGGTCTCAGCGACTGGGAGGAGGCGTGGTCCAGATTGTAGCGGGCAAGAGGGATGGGCTCGCCGTCGGGGCTGAGAGTCTGCTCGGCCAGTAATTGCTGGAGGGTGTCCCTGTCGAGACCGAGGCCCTCGAGCTCTCGCTGCACCTTCTTGAGACATTTCTTGAGCTGGGAGTAAGGAATGGCGGCGGCGAGCCAGTGGTCGGGGAAGCCCTCTCGGTCGAGGACCTCCTTGAACTCGTGGGCGAACTTCATGGCGGCAGACCATGCGATCCAGAAATCGTGCGGCGTGGGCGTTCAGCAGTTGTGTGAGCGTCTACGGATGCTCGCCCCCTTTTGGGGGGGGGGGGTGGGTCGAGACCTGTAGCCTTGAGAGCCTGGGTCCAGGCGAGAACGATGGCGGCTCACCAGCACGGAAAGAAAGTAGAGACGAGATGATCTGGCTGCTGGAAATACATGTCGGCCAGAGAGAGGCGGCGACAGAGTCGTGCACTGCGGCTGCTTAGGGCAAAACCGAGAGCGGAGGAAGAGAGTTCATCAGTCGTCAGTGGCACGTGAGCAGGGCAAAGACAAAAAGAACAGCTGCCCAAGGTGAACGTTCTCGTAGTCCAGATATAGCGAAGCGAAGGTGAGGAGTTTCCAAACAGACAGACCACGTGGGCGCTATATTATGATCTATTGCTGGGAGATGGTTGACTGGATTAAGGACTGAGTCAGTCCGGTTTCGCCTGTTTCGCCGCCAACTTCACGATGATGGGGGACGGCAAAGACGGCCAGAGAAGGCAAGGACCAACTACTAAAGACAAGTCGAGAAGCGCCTCGAATTTTTGTGAGCCACTTAAGTGCACCATACTGAGTAGCGCCTAGGACGATGTACTAGTCCGGTGGTAGAGAGAAGAGGCTGGGGCTAGTCCGGAAGCGTGCAAGCAGCCGAGAAGAGATGGGTACTCCAGATGTACCACTCCCTGCATGTTACATAACGCATGAGGTGTGCTGCTGTGAGTGGTAGTGAAAAATGCTATAGTACATAGCATACAACATGTATAGTAATACTATGCAACCATGATACTACTGCGGTTACTTGAAGGCGCACACGCACGCACACACACACACACACACACACACACACACACACACACACACACAGATATATAAATATAATATAATCATAAACAAGGAACAAAAATTACAGAGAAAGTCATGATCCTAATGAGAAAGCCAAAACATGTATCTTCTCACTTTTGCTTGGTGCTTCCCACTCCGCCTTCCAGAGCCTAGCCTCTTAAGTCTCGTACATTACCTAGTACTCAACACCCTGTCACAAGCTCAGCGGGAGATCTTGCCGCTTGTCGCGTGCCCCACACGTTCCCCAATTCTTGAGTTCATCTTTCTTCCTTTCCCAGAAACTACGCCCTGGAGGGGCCCTTTAGAGACAACACGCCGATAGCCTACGGGGTACACAGACTCCTACATACCAGAGCGAACCTCTTGAGGGTTTGTGTCTGACGATGGGTGCCCAGCAATCTTCTCAAGAAGGTGCTGGCACCACCGCCGACGACCCCGCCCTCTTGACCCGGAAGACTTGCTACTACGAGGTGCTGGGTGTCGATCGTGATGCCGAGGACGCAGAGATCCGGAAGGCCTACAAGAAGAAGGCCCTCGAGTTACATCCTGACCGCAACTACAATGATGAGGACAACGCCACCAGGAAGTTTGCCGAAGTCCAGACCGCCTACGAGGTCCTCGCCGACCCCCAGGAGCGCGCCTGGTACGACTCCCACCGCGATGCCATCCTCCGCGGCGACGCCGACCATGACGACGATGGCGGGCCCCAGACGCACTACAACGTCCGCCTCACCACCACGGACGAGATTATGAACCTTATCGGCCGCTTTAACTCCCGCGTCTCCTTCAATGACAGCCCCACGGGCTTCTTCGGCATCCTCGACATCACCTTCGGCCAGCTCGCCACCGAGGAGACCGCAGCCTGCGAATGGGATGGCCAGGATCCCGTCGAGTACCCGCCCTTCGGCTCTGCCGGCGACGACCACGATTCCGTCGCCAGGCCCTTCTATGCCGCATGGTCCAACTTTTCTACCAAAAAATCCTTTAGCTGGAAGGACAAGTGGCGGCTGTCCGACGCCCCGGACCGCCGCGTGCGGAGGGCCATGGAGAAAGAGAACAAGAAGATGCGAGATGACGCGGTCCGCGACTTCAACGACGCCGTGCGGTCCCTGGTCGCCTTCGTCAAGAAGCGGGATCCGAGATACATCCCCAACACACAGTCCGAAGCCGAGCGCCAGAAAATCCTGCGCGACAGCGCCGCCACACAGGCCGCCCGCGCGCGTGCTGCCAACCAGGAGAAGATGCGGGACAAGGAGTTCGTGGTGGCAGACTGGGCGCAGTCGAGGGGCGAGGAGGCAGAGTATAATGATGAGTTCGCGACGAGCAGCGAAGAGAGCGAGGTCGAGCAGTTCGAGTGTGTCGTCTGTAGTAAAGTCTTCAAGAGCGAGAAGCAGTACGAGGTGCATGAGAAGAGCAAGAAGCACGTCAAGGCCGTCCAACAGCTGCGCAGACAAATGAAAAAGGAGGGTCACGATCTGGATCTAGATATAGAGGAGCCTACCGAAGGTGCACATCAGCCAGCGGCTGGCGCAGAGTTCCCGGAAACCATGGACGAGATCCGAGAAAACGAGACGAACCCAGCCCCACGACCTTCACCACCACCGAGGGAATCCAACCAACCCTCCGACGAGGAAGACGACACCGCAGGGACATCCTCAGAGGACACTTTAGATGACGAATACGCGCCGAGAGATATCGTCGAGGGCCGCCTCACCTCTGATCTCGGAGCGGATTCCTTGCAAGATGACGGGGAGGAGGATGCGGGGGAGAGCCGGCTGGTGTCAAAATTGACAGAAGCGACGCTAGAAGACGATGGACAGACTGCGTCAAAGAAGGTTGGCAAGGCAAAAGCGAAGAGAGCCAAAAAGGCGGCCACTCAGGCCCAGGAGGACACAGTACGTACTAGCATTTATGGAATCGACCCGAGGCGGCTAGAGACTGACGTGGCGCCGCAGAACAAGTGCAACGTCTGCGATGAGGTGTTTGGTTCCCGAACACAGCTTTTCAAGCACATCAAGGACGAGGACCATGCGCAGCTGAAGTCACAGCCGGCAAGGCAGACTGGCAAAAAGGGTAAGAAGTCCAAGAGATGATTTCCAATTACTTGGTACCGGCGGCCTTTACAGACAGCCATCGTCAACGACATCTTCAAGAGCGGAGGGTGCCACTCTCAATGTGAGATAACCACCGTCATCCCTCGCAGTGCCCACCGGACAAGTAAGGCTGCGTCTCTGCTAGCAGTATTGTACTCAAGCTATTTGCACCACCTTTGCCGCCAGGAACGCCTCGCCTCACCACGCCTCAAGACCCAGATTGACTTACACAAAACTTTACCAAACGCCTATGCATTGATGTGCGCCACCAGAACATGACATCCCAACAAATCGAAGGGCCAGAATTCCAGCATCTCAATCGTCCAGCACCGTATCTTCATCATCGCTCAGCGTCTCAACCTCATCAATAGCCGCTTCCCTCTCGGCGGGCATGCCGCGTGCCGGATCATGGTCGGCGACGTTGATGATGGTCTTGCCTTGCACATATTTGACAGAGTCCTTCCACATGTCCCAGTCATCCTCGTCTTTTATGAGAAACCCGATCAACATGCTGGGGTCCATGTCACGCACGTGTAGTCGGCGCAGCCGTCGCGTGTGGCACGTGTTGATGTCATCACTCGTGTACTGATCAACGTCCTCATGGAACGGTAGCGCCGGCCGTGTGCAGTGTGGGTCGAGGTAAAAGAGGTAGGACCCAGGCTCGTAGGCATCGCCGGAACGTTGCGCGCCGATGAAATAATGTGAGGCTGACGGGCGGCCACTGCGTCAATATCGATGTTAGTAAAAGGATACGTTAAGAGCTGGAGGGAGGGTGAAGACAAAGGATAGATAGGTGCCCACCCAGCTATTCCCACAGACTGTGGCATCTGCAAGGTAGCAGTCAGAGCCTCCCAATAGACCTGATTAATCTTATCAATGCCCAGTCGTGTGCCCACAAGTATCAGTGTTGGATGGAATGTCTCGCCGTCCGGTTTAGCGACGGCCATGAAGCTGTCTTCGTACACATCAGGAAGATCTCCGGTCGAATAGACACGCAGTGATGACTCGTTCGAATTGGCTAGAGCTCTGCACAAAGTATCAGTATCGTGTGGCCAATCCTTGGTGTGGTAACGGGACTCACTGTATACACCGAGCTGTCGCCGAAGGACCAAACCACTCTCCTGGAAACTTCCCGCAAGCCACCGCGCCGTGCCTCACAAAATTGTGCAAGGAATAGGGAGCTCGAGGATCGTCTGCGAAACGGGCAAGAATCTCACGTTCTTGTCGAGCGGCCTTGCCTCGGCGCCAGTCTAACAGCATGCATGTCAGTAACTGCCAAACAAGCATGTCTAGGAAGGGGTAGTACGGAGAGACACATACCACGACCCAGCTGGCATATTACAAGAGTGTTGGCCAAGAGACTCTGACCAGACCGTATCATGCACCCCCAGCCAGTGTCGGAGGAGAAACCTCCTTGGTCGGCAAGGGTCCTGAGGCGCATCGCAAACGAGAGAGCGGCAGACGCTCGCGGATCATTGGACTTGGAAATAGGCTCGAATTCGGAACGGTAGGTCATCCAGACGCGGGATTCAAAATCATCAAGGAAAGCTATGGGCCAGCCAGCATCCTCTAAAAGCTCGTCATATGCCAAGGACGACGAGAAGCTGCTTGATGAGGACTCGGGAGGAGTAGTAGGGACGGCTTTCAAAGGGTACGGTAGGGTTGTGGTGGAGGGGGTGGTCGGCAGGGTTGCACGGACAGTAGATGAAGCGTCCTGGTCGGGACGGTCCACGGTAGTAGGTTCGTTGGTGTACGAGCAGCCCAGACACCATACGGGCCTGTTAAGAGAGCGGTCGTTGGTAGGCTCCGGGTCCCAGAGCATGTTGAGGAGGCGGCGGCCGTAACGGCTCATCTCGGCGGCACCGGCCATGGCCGTGTCGACGGCCTGCTGCGTTCTCTGGGACACGTCGGCCATGTTGTAGCCGAGATGGAAAGATGAAGAGGAGCAGGAGAGAGTGAAAGGACGTCAGACGGCGACGAGCGTCCAAGGTCCGCCAGAGGCCCCGTCTGCTGCACGCCAGGCTGAGCTCGTGCTGGTCAGGTTGGCTGAGCAGGCGTCAACAGGGCGACAGTCTTGAGCATCGAGCAAGCAAATTGTCGATGGAGTCAGAGCTGACGGCACGAACTGAGAAGCTGGCGACCGCTGGGAGGTAGGGCAGAGAGGAAGAAGAGGGGGAGGGCTGGAGGAAGAAGAGGGGGAGGGCTGGAGGGGGAAGCGCCAGCCTAGATCACAAGCTACATGCCCTCGAGGCACAAGCATGGATCAGCAGAGAGCGAGGGCAGCCCGCACATTCGAGGCTATGTAGCCTTGAGACTGGACTATAAGTTGGAAATACGGAAAGAGCAGCCTTTCTTGGATGGGCTAGGAAATAATAAACACGTAGAACAACTTATGGCTAGAGGAAAGATGCGATGGGAAGACAGACGGATAGGCGGCGTGGTGAATACCGAGGAGGATGACGGTGACGGACCATATCGTTATCTATCAGGAGGACGGCCCCATACCAATGTACTCTTACTACTGCAGTAGTATTACTTATGTACTAAAGTACGATAAGTAGTAGGTAGCGGTACACCCTTTGAATACCAGCATATGTCACCCGGCGGGTCCAGGCGCCACCCAGAACACAACCCCTCAGGCTCAGCTGGCTCCTGCCCGCCGCCTGTTAGTGACCAACCCCTGCTCTGCAAGGGCCCCCTAACATGGTTGCCATTGTACAGTACCTATTCAGAGCACTATGGTACGGACAGCCATCAAGCACCTGGCATGTCACAAGTCCCAAAGTACTCAGGGAATCAACAATCAGAATATTCAAGGAATGGAAGCAACAAGGTAGTTTCCTTCTCTAGCCTTGTAGGGGAAGAGCAGCACCACCTACATAGTATCAATTCTCCAGAATGACAGCATGTTCATCAATATAAGGCGTAGTGAACATTTGCTATGTATAAAAAGGGAAAGGTTGAGGGAACCGAAGACTTAGCATGAAAATCTGTTGTTCATGAACAGGTAAATGATCTGTATGCAACACCTACTTTACAGTCACAGGAAGCGATGGTTACCATGTCTTCCATTTGTACCTCGTGTCTTCTCTTTTGACCAGTTCTCAGTTGCCTGCCACCTTCACAACAAGGAAGGCGCTAAACTATTACAGACATAGCGTGTACTATGTAGAAACACTCCAGGCAACACGTTGGAGGAAAGATCCGGTGCGAGGGACCCTCCCTTATGTACCAAGCCCGCCGTTGTATCCCGGACCCTGCAGGGGCGAGAGAGCGACATCATCGACGCCTACCATTTTCACTACAGAGAGTTAGTCAGTGATCAAAACAGTCACCCTGATGCAGGCTTCGCATACAGCCAATAAAAGAAGAGTTCACTTTTGCCCAAAGACTCTTGATACAGGGTTCTGACGGACGGCCATCGCCTGATGGAGTCGTGATCATGGCAAAGAACAAACAAGGCCGGGCAGCCAAGGCTGCTCGCTATCGTTCTGCCGCCAATGGCACCCCCTCTTCAAGAGGAAACCAGAATATCGCATCGCAATTCCTACCCCGGGGCGCTGCGAACCATGGTCAGCTCACCGATGGGAATATGACTTGGTGCGAGAACGCGCTGACTTTGGACCTCAGGCTTTTCCATGGCTGACGAGGCTCGCAACACATCCCACAACCACACTGGTCTGGACCCGATCGGAAAGCTGCGGAGCTTGCCCGTCACTTTTGTGAGCGCCGGCGTTGTCGAGCCTCTCAAGGATCTGGAGGGCCTCTGTGCCAGCCTGAATGACCAAGACCATGCCAGTGGTCTGGATGGCGCTGTCGAAAATCATACTGACCAGGCGGAGGATGCCCCCTTCTTCATTGACACGACTGGCGACCACAGCCTTGCCCGCCGTGACCGTCACCAAGTCGACGTCCGAAGCCCTAGCCCTGACCCGCCCGGTGCAGCCAGTGACTCAAGTGAGGAAGTCGTTCTTTTCAGGGGAAGGAAGGGCGCCCAACAGCGCGAGCCTCAACCAGCCGTGGTCGACCAGATGACCATTCAGGTTCAAACTGTCGAAAAGAATATGCAGCGCATCTCCCTGGAATCCACTGACCAGGGCGGTCCACGCAGGCCGTCCCCACCGTCTCCGCAGCCCTGGCAGCTACGTGGGCATGACGATGACGATGATTTGGTTGCAGATTACATCGCCAACATGGCTCAGGATGATGACGATGACGATGATGAGGAAGATAACCAGGACGGCATGCGTGGCAATCGGTTCACGTACCAGACTTTCTCCAGCACCCGTGATCTTGGCGGATCTCATGGTGATTTCATGATTGCAGAAGATGAGCCTGATAGTGATGGTTCCACTGCACTTGAGGACAAGGATGAAGGGCAAGACGAGGGAGAGGGTGGTACTTCTGGGAGCCCCGAGCTGCCCAACATGGACGGGGATGTGTATTCCGATGCAGAGTTCATGGACGACGAAACCTTTGCTCGGTTGCTGACCAAGCAGGAGGAGCTCGGCCTGGACGACGACGACCTCGTCCTTTTCTCCGGTGAGGGCCTTGATTTCCTACCATCATCGAGTAAGCGAGGAGCTACACGCAATCGGGGTTTGTCCGCTGCAAAAGCAGCAGTTAAGGGCAAGGAGACCGCTCGCAACTACATACCCAGCGCGAGCGCTGTCGCCGACGTCTTCGACGAGTTGGACCTGACCGACTGGAGTCGGCACAATCTGCCGCGCATGCCCAAGAGTAAGCGCGGTCAGCCTAACTTTGATCATCTCGACCCCGAGATGGCGGCGACGCTAGAGGCGACGTGGCAGAAAGACCGACTCCGCAAGAAGGAGCGGAAGCAGGCGCGCGAGGATTTACGTGCGCAGGGTCTCCTGGGCAAGAATGTCGATCCAGATGACCTGCGTCTGAAGTATCCCACTGGCATGACAATCGACCAAATCAAGGAGGAGATGAGGACCTTCCTCCTCGGAGACCAACCTCTGTGAGTCTAGTCCCGCCATCCTCCCCTTTCCCTTTCCCTTCAGTGGGGCTTCTTTCCCATTGACGCCAGAAGCTGACACCACGCTCATTCAGCCTCACCTTAACTCCCATGGACTCCAACGCGCGCAAGACTGTGCACACGCTGGCTCTCAAGTTCAACATCAAGTCCAAGTCCATTGGTCAAGGTGACCAGCGGCGACCAGTCTTGCACCGCACGGGTCGGACAGTCAGGTACCAGCATGTATCCTTTGAAGAGGTCTTTGCCCGGCGCGGGCGTTCCTATTTCCACCGCATGGACGTACAGCGCACACAGGAGCCTCCGAGGGGTGGAGGTGCTGGCGGTCGCCGTGGCATCAATCACGCGGCTTTCTCCTACCGAGATGGAGAGGTGGTGGGAGGGTCCGCGCCGGAGCTGGGTCAGAGCAACAAGGGCCGCAACATGCTGGAGAAGATGGGCTGGTCTACGGGAATGGCTCTTGGAGCCACAGATAACAAGGGGATCCTGCAGCCAGTAGCTCACGTCGTCAAGCGGAGCAAGGCAGGCTTGGGATAGACCAGGTCTTATAGTTGGAGCACAAAGGGGGGGAGAGGGTTCATCTATGTTGTTGTCGTTGTGATCGGCGTTAAGTAGCTCATGGAGATTACTCTCGTTGGCTTCGTGCCTGTGCCCAAGACATCATGCATTCCGGTCATCCCAGTAGAGATTCAGGAGCGGCGTTCAGTCGTGGCCGCGCTGGTGGCAGTCATAGCGCGCCGCACCACCTTTGTGTATTCGTTACAATACAGCAAAAAACAATCACCTGGGTACAAGACAAGTAACAAAAGTTTGATGATTGATCATATGCACGATGTCATTGCTTCCGAAACCCTATTCTGAAGTCAAATATTGTACACCCGCCAAACCCCGGAAACCCTAAAAGCATTGCCCGAAAAGCAAACCATCCGTGACGCATTAAGACACCCGAGAATCATTGGGCCTTGGTATCTCATCATGGACCAAGTGCCAAGGCTCGCCCCGTGCCTAAAGACAGAAAAAAGGAAAGACTCAACCCAGCACCACTTATTTTGTGGAGGATGAGTACTTGGTGACAGCCTTGGTGCCTTCAGACACAGCATGCTTGGCCAGCTCGCCAGGCAGGATGAGACGGACCCTGGGGGGGTGACGTTAGTCGATTGGTGTGGGGTAGAGGCGATGCAAGGGCAGTCAGAAGAGGGGAATGATGACTCACGAGGTCTGGATCTCCCGAGAGGAGATGGTAGACTTCTTGTTGTAGGCAGCCAGCTTGCTGGCCTCGGTGGCGACACGCTCGAAGATGTCGTTGACGAAGGAGTTCAGGATGGACATGGCCCGGTTGGAGATACCAGTGTCGGGGTGGACCTGCTTGAGGACTGTTTTGATGCATGTCAGCGACCGAATGTGGTTGTTGATGCTTGAGTCGCGTGGTGTGCTGCGCGAGGGCCCGCCATCCATGACGCGCTGGGGTAGGCCATCACGGGGCAAGAAAGCACAGCGCGAAGACGCGTCGCGCAATGCAACCATGAGGCTGGGTTGGATAATGGAAAAAGAGATCTTACCCTTGTAAATGTATGAGGAGTAGGTCTCCTTGCGAGCCTTGGTGCGCTTCTTCTTGTCGCCAGAGGCAGCAGTCTTCTTACCAGCATCCTTCTTCTCAGGAGCCTTGGAGGCAGTGGCGGGGGCCTTGGAGGCAGAGGGCTTCTTGTCAGCAGTCTTGGGAGGCATTTTGAATGTTGTGGAAGAGATGAGGTGTGAAGTTGTTGAAAGATGAAATGGTGGCTGGCTGCTGTTGCGAAAAGAAGCGGTTGACGTTGGTTGTGGTTGGGTTGGATAGACTGTGGATAGGAAAGGTGGGAGAGAATGGGGGAAGGCCAAGTTTTTGTAGCTGAACGCGATTGGAGTTGAGTGCCGCTACTGATTGCAGGTGCGGGTGTGATTAGTGGAAGGAGCTATGGGGTAATAGAACAGGAGTTTTTGCTATCTGCACTGGCCCAACGAAGTGGGCTCTTCGTATCGTTTGTTATCAGCCATGCGAAACCTCCTCATAATCCTTACAAACTCTACTTGTGTGAAAAGTGGGTACTAAAATGTTTTGGTTAGCGTCACACCTGCTCAGTATTTGAACTTAATACCTTATTCAGACTAGCTCGTAAGCCGCCGCTCGGTGATCTGTGATACGCTATCGAGGCGCGAAACTACTTAACTTGCAGTCTCCCCCACCAACTAACAGGCTTGCCCTTTGACTGACCCCATCCAACACTTACAACAACAAACTTTCTTCGCCACCACCAAGCTACCTTCTGCATTCTTGCATCAACAGTAAAGACGTTTACGTCTGATCATCTATATTTTTTCACTTTCCAACCCCACAAACATCCAAAATGACTGGTGGCAAGTCCGGCGGCAAGGCTAGCGGCTCCAAGAGCGCGCAATCGTGAGTGCTCCACCTTTCATCGGCTACCTTTTCTCCTGCGGCGCGTCCCTTCTCGCGTCTGCGTCCTCCATCTACAACAACCATCATCAAGTTCCATGATCACGATTCACTAATACTTAAACTCTTACAGTCGTTCCTCCAAGGCCGGTCTGGCATTCCCCGTCGGTCGTGTCCACCGTCTCCTCCGCAAGGGCAACTACGCCCAGCGTGTTGGTGCCGGTGCTCCCGTCTACCTGGCTGCCGTCCTCGAGTACCTTGCTGCTGAGATTCTCGAGCTGGCTGGCAACGCCGCTCGCGACAACAAGAAGACCCGTATCATCCCCCGTCACCTGCAGCTCGCCATCCGCAACGATGAGGAGCTGAACAAGCTCCTGGGTCACGTCACCATCGCCCAGGGTGGTGTGCTCCCCAACATCCACCAGAGTATGTCCCACCCCTCCCCTTTTAGCACTACACCATAAAACATTGCGTACTGACATGTATGCCAGACCTCCTTCCCAAGAAGACTGGCAAGGGTACCAAGAACGCGAGCCAGGAGCTGTAAATTACCTTACATGCGGGGTGTTTGCGGGGTTGCTTTTGTTTTTCGGCCGGCACGTTTGGGTTGTTCATGACATCGGGGTCACGGTTACAGGGTCACTTTAGGGTTGTGTTTTTCGCACGTTTGGGTTGTACATTAATTCCCAAGGTCATGGTCATGAAATGAATACCATTTGAACACCATTTGGGCGTTTTCTTATGCAATTGCTGTGTGCATTATCCATACCAATATCTGGAATGTCCGGCAAGTTCTCGGACTCGAAATCACAGTTCACGACGCGTCGCATCACAACGCAGGGCTGTTGGCTATCAGCTGCGGCTGCGGCAACACGTTCTCAGTCACTTGGTCTGATTCGCGATCCCTCCTGGTAAACCTGGGACGACCGTGGTACCAGACCGTAGACTGTCCTTCGAGCATTTCCGCCTGTCGCATTCAAAGCAAAGGGGTCGTGTATATAACGCAAGGAATCCACCCCTCAATGGGAGCATGACCCAGTTGAGTCTGCACGCTCATAGCTTTTGTGTGGGGCAAAGGCCCATTGCATCGACAAGGGGTGCAACCAGAACTTAGTGTCGGGGAGGTGGATGGCAGGAAGGCGTTCGTAGGCCATTGCGGCGCTTCTGTTCGTGACAAATATCTCTCATCATAGTAGTTGTGGAGGGAGGGGGGGGGGGGGCGACAGGACAGCTTGTGATGTAGTGTCTTTTTGATTTTGTTTTTCGTCCCATTCTAGTTTTCCTCACATTCCACCCACCCATCTCCATCTCTATGTACAAGTCTTTCGCCCAATTATCATGCTCGTGTCTAGAATTTGAGACGCGGAGGTTCTGCACAGTGGTCAGTCTTGGGAAAATGTGTGCAAACAGACAAACGAAAAGTTTAGGCCGGACATACCATCAAGGACTGGAGATGGTAGGTTTCTCTCGTATTTAGAACCTGCACAGTAGAAGGTGTTAAGCTAGTGCTCAGCGGTCCCAAGCGCGTCGACACCGAGATCAAGCATACCTCCTGGCGCCGTGGGGTGGCAATAAGGATCGGGATGTTTCCAAGTGTCCAGCAGCTTCTCGGTCTCCTTGAGTAACGCCTGCAGTAGCCAGTAGTCAGTTTCCAGCCGCGACGTATTCCGTCCAGCGCAGAATCCGGGACCATCTTCAGAGGAGGATGCATACCCTCTGTTGCCTGGGGTCGGTGATGCCCCGGTTGGCCTCGAAGAGCGATCTTATGTAGATGGCTTGTCCGCGCCAGAGATGCCGGTGCACGGCCCAGTCGAGGGCCAGCTTCAGCGAGCGCCGGTATAGTGACCTAGACCAAGAGATCAGTCGACCATTGGTCAGCGATAAAGGGGGAGAACGGGCAGAACTGCTCACAGGGCAGCTTGCTGAGACGACATGACGGGCAACGGCTGTGATGGTTGTTATAGAGACCCCAAGGCAAGCTCGCAAAGTATTGAGCCCGGGCCGGGAAGGTCGCGGCGCTCTTGGGATACGTCTAGCCTGTGGGGCAATCGATTCAACTCGGCATGGGCTGGGAGTATCGAGGGGCGTCGGTGTCGGCGGTGAGGACGCGGTGCAGTACGTGTCGATGGAGGAGGGCGGCGGGTGGTTGTGGTGGGTTCTCGATGGCGGCTCCAGAAGAGCTCCCGGGCGAGACGTCAATTGAGGTTCTGATGCCGTAGGGATGAAGATCGGTGCCTCAAATGCAAGGCCCCAGGCCTACATGGCTTGGTAATTGGAGACGGATCAATCTCTGATTGGGTGGTGACCTTCAGCGGGGCCGGGGGCGGGGAGTGCGGGAAGCCGTGACCTACTTCCCCTTGCTACTAACAGCTGGCTGCAGTCTCAGTTGTGAGGTCAGAGGGCCAACGGGTCGCAGGGGAGGTACCATAAGGTAGATCTCACAGAGGCTCGCCTTCTAAAACCCTGCCTGTTGCTTCCGGCAGCAGATCTAGGGGCCACACTCCCGCCGCAGCACCTTGGACTAAGCAAGACCTCGGGACTCAGACTCAGACCTGCACGACATCTGCAGCGCGCTGACAGGATTTGGTACATTGCGTCGCCGACCAGACAAGGATTGGCTGCAGCTTTCTATTTATTTCTCCTTCACCAATCCGGTAGAGCACCACGATACCTTGGGGCAAAAGAGACATTTTTCTGCCTCAGACCCAGTTTTGCATTTTGCTGTGCCTACCCTTACCCATCCTCACCCTCCTAAGTTCATACTGTATACGGTAATTTCCTCCCATCCCGTCCATCCGACCCTGACGTCTACCTCTCCGTTCTTTTCCGTCCGACATCGTATCGTCTGGAGCTACCCTCGTGCAACAACTGCCTCACCTCGCAGCTATCCCCTCCGCCCTCCCTTCTTGCGGGCCTAGGACTCGAATCAACGCCGTCTTTGTCGTCGCGTACGACCCGCCTCCTTCACACTTCCAACCTTCTGCGCCGTCGTCATCATATCGAGCCCCACCGGAGCGTTGCCGTCCACAATGTTGAGAACTCTGCGAACCACAGCCCGCGCTGTCCACCTGCGCCCGCTGCAGTCTCTCCAGCACCAGGCCACAACACTGCCTCTGCCCCTGCTCATGCGACATGTCCGCACCTATGCAGACAAGGTTGTCCAGGTCCCTCAGATGGCTGAGTCCATCTCAGAAGGCACACTAAAGCAGTGGAGCAAGCAGGTGGGCGACTTTGTCGAGCAGGATGAGGAGATTGCTACCATCGAGACGGACAAGGTACGCCAGATCAGCTCGCTCCGCAGGCTTGCCAATTTCTCTCATCGGACTGGCGGCCCTCCGGGCCCTGCTGACTCCTCTCTGTTAGATCGACGTCGCTGTCAACGCCCCCGAGGCCGGTACGATCAAGGAGTTCCTCGTCAATGAGGAGGACACCGTCACCGTGGGCCAGGACATTGTCAGGCTAGAACTGGGTGGCGCCCCCTCTGGTGGTGCCGAGAAGTCGGAAGGCAAGGAGCCAGCCAAGGAAGAGTCTAAGGAGGAGTCCAAGCCTGAGTCCAAGTCCGAGCCCGAGTCGAAACCAGAGCCCAAGAAAGAAGAGAGCAAACCCGCGCCGCCACCCCCTGCGCCTGAGAAGAAGGGGCCGTCGCCACCACCTCAGAAACCCACCAAGGAGTCGAGTGATGGCTCCGCGAGCATGGGCAACCGTGAGGAGCGACGCGTCAAGATGAACCGTATGCGTCTCCGGATCGCCGAGCGTCTCAAGCAGTCACAAAATACCGCCGCCTCCCTCACCACCTTCAACGAGGTCGACATGTCTTCGATCATGGAGTTCCGCAAGCTGTACAAGGATGAGGTTCTGAAGAAGACGGGCGTCAAGCTCGGCTTCATGAGCGCCTTTACGCGCGCCGCTGTCCTGGCCATGAGGGATCTCCCCGTTGTCAACGCATCTATCGAGGGCCCTGACGGCGGAGACACGATCGTCTTCAGGGACTACGTTGACGTCAGCGTGGCTGTCGCTACCGAGAAAGGACTGGTTACGCCGGTCGTGCGCAATGTGCAGACCCTGGATATGGTCGGCATCGAGAAGTCTATCGCAGACCTGGGCAAGAAGGTAGGTTCAATCAGTCTGTTGGCTGTTTAGGGGGGGCCCCCGTGCCTCTCTGTATGGAATTTTGCTGACTTTGTCTCTCCCAGGCGCGTGACGGCAAGCTCACGCTGGAGGATATGGCTGGCGGTACCTTCACCATCAGCAATGGTGGTGTCTTCGGCTCTCTCATGGGTACGCCCATCATCAATCTGCCCCAAACCGCCGTCCTAGGTCTACATGCCATCAAAGACCGCGCTGTTGTTGTGAACGGCAAGGTCGAGAGCCGGCCGATGATGTACCTCGCTCTGACGTATGATCACCGTCTGCTCGATGGCAAGGAGGCTGTCCAATTCCTGGTGAAGATCAAGGAGTACATTGAAGATCCCAGGCGCATGTTGCTCTGAGTCTAAGTATATGATATGCTTGGCCCTTGGGGACGAGGCATTCTTTGCTTCGTGGTCATGGTGTTTTTACATAAGATGGTAGCATGCGGGGTCGTGTGTGTCAAATAGTGTAAAATAGACGACACTGAGAAGACGGATGTTTCTGAGCCCCACACATACAAACTCGTGACTACCTATTTGAGGATTTGTCGACTTATACAATTACATAGATGGTGAGAGGTGTAAATGGTAAGATGCGTGGGCTTGTGTTCCGGGCGTTTCTAACGCGCGAAGATTTGCTGCTGTTTTGTGCGAACACTGCCATAGCTAGAAATGCATCGAGACTGGCTGACATTACAACCCTCTGACTATCGGCATAAATCTTGAGGACAGTGCTCATCAGCCTATCCACCTATGTTTTATTGAGATGGGATCTGATGATGCAGTGAGTACTATCTTGTCGGGACTTAGAAACATCACAATTGCCTGTGGCCACCTATACCATAGTAAGTATTGATGATTGCTTAGGGGCTCCAAGTCTGTTAATTGGAGTCAAGGAGCTTTTGGAAGCTATAGCATACCAATGTAGAGCGGGAAGTCAACACCTTGAAATGAGAGGAAACGAAGAAGCACAAATAGTGACTGCTCACTCTTAGGCAGCGGTCTATTGTCTAGCAAGTGCTTCTGCTGGAAGCAGGCTGACAGCCTTTTCTAGCTAGCATTCTATAGTTGCTTAGCTGCTATTACTCTCTGTCTTTTTCTCATCATGCTGCCTGATTAGGAAGCAGTGAAACCAAGCACATATTTGAGGTGGCGTGGTAATGAGCATCATAATGGGTGTGATGCTTTGTTCCTCTTCTTGATACTTATTGACATTCAATCATTCGTTATCTAGGTCTCAGCAGGCCCTTACCTCACCATTGTAAAATAGTACTTATACCATTCATTTGACTATGCAATGAGAGGAACTTAATAATCAGCTTATAATCAGCAATATCCTGGACCTTGATGTTGTTGAGGCACATTACACAGGATCAATGAAAATCAAGCAAGACTATATGTACACCGAGTTGCGTGGTTTAGTTTGAGATCCAGTGAAGTGTTCACAGCGACCCGAACACTCAATTTCGTGGTCATGGCTGTAGGTATCACTCCCTGCCAACAAACAAAAATTCCTACATTGAAGCCTCATAAATAAATCCATATTTCTACAGTGTGACTGGCAGAGAACATGGGTGTCATTTTCCCCGGAGACCTCCCAGGGACCCTGTGAAGGCATATATGACTCTCGGTGATCTGTCCGTATTGTTATGAGTGTAAGGCTCTAGATCATATTATTGGTGGACACCCAGTAAAGACATACAGAGCGAGATGATGGTTTCGTAGGGCAGGCAACGGCGGCAGTAATGGACAATCACAAGGTCTGAATATCTTGGCGCAATATCAGCATGTGCGCCTTGGCCATCATTCTGGGACCACAGCGCCGAGACTCTGCCACAACCTGCATCGCTCGCCTCTGCCTCCTTCCCAGGAGTTTGCATTAACCATACGAAATCTGGCCTCCAGCCCAGGGTTAACCATTTGTGTCACGTTGATTGTTGTCCCATCGACAGGCGTCCAGCTGATGACCTCGGGCACACCACCAGTCATGTTGACATTCAACATATGATTCCCACCCGATGAGACGTCCACGGACCATCTGGACCAGTTTGCGCTGGAAATGGCTGAGATATTTTCACCCGTTGATGTGCCATTAGCCGACGTCGTTAGTGATCGGATAATATCTTCAGGGAGGGTAGGGTCATCTGCTCGGAATTTGTGTGTTAATTCAACAGTTGCCAGAGAAAACATTACAAAAGGCGGTGTACAGAAACATCGGGCGTAAATGCTATACTTCCCTCACTCCAAGCCTCGGGGGTGGGTTTTCCTTTCTCTTAGGAAAGGAGGGGGGAAAGGCAGTGATATTCACGGACAGGAGGGGCGGAGGCTGCGATTCTGGGATGAAATTACCATGAATAATGAATCTTCCCCAGGCTAGCTGTACTGCTTGCCTCGCAGCTGCGGTCATCGTGCCTTTTCCCAGGGTTTCTCGGTTGAAAGCCTGGTAAGCATCGAGATCCGCACCATGCTCAGAGGGGGGCACCGAAAACTGATACTTCCATGCGCCCTTCGTTGAGTTACTTCCATGAACGCCCGAGGCTGACTTCGAGTAAGCATTCGCTAGCCAGTAGCTGGGACAGACAAAGGTCGTCTCGGCGTAGAGATTATTTGCCCGTTGTTGTTGTCCAGTAGCGAATTCGGATTGATTGAGCGACGTTGGACCCGTGTCCCCAAGCGTGCTAAACAGAGGCCCCTGGATCACCGGTGCAATTGAGTACGCTTCTAGCAGACGATCGATGTCTGTGCTCGACATGAGCGGAAACAGGCCCGTGACAAATTCCTCAAAATTGGTTGCCGAGGTGATGTTTTGCGGCACAAAGCCCTGGCCCTCGTCCGCGTTATTCTGTATAGCTCGTCAGTGATTATTTTAGGGTTGAGCTCAGAAGAATATAAATAGTGTCTGGTGGCATAGCTTGATCATTTGAAAGAAATTCGTATGAACCCTACGCAGGTGAAATGCATCGACTTACACTTGTCAGCATCCTAAGACCATTAACTCTGCCTGCATTGAGCTGGGTAGATGGGCGCTCTGTGAGAAGGTCCGTATCGGTGACAGGAACAAATACCCACTGGCCATACTTGTAGCCACCACTAACATGGGCACTTGTGTTTTGTAGAGTGATGGTATCTGCTGCGACGAGGCAGTCAAGTGCCGAATGGTTTTTCAAGGAATCTGCACAACCAGCCCCAGCCGCAAACCTCTTGTATGCTTGTGTGGGCTCGAGTCCATTGTAGTCCCACTGCGTGGGAAGATATGGTGATGCAGTGATGGCGTTGCTGAAAAGAGAAGTACCCTCGCCTCCGCCGTTGGTCATAGCCAAAAGCATCACTGCGCCTGCACCTGCGCTCTCGCCAGAGATCGTCACCCTGTCTGGATCCCCTCCGAATTTCGAAATGTGGCTTTGCACCCACTGCAGGGAGAAGCGCATATCGTGGAGGCCGGCATTCGGAATACCACCACTCTTGACAAGGTCTTCGGACGAGAGCCAGCCGAAGGCGCCCAGACGATATTGGATGAGGACGAGTATGAATCCGTTGTCGTTCGTACTCAATAATTCCCAGAACTCGGTGTTGCCTTGTCCTGTGCCATAACCTCCTCCATCTGCAAGAAATAAATCAGCCAAAGGCTGCAAGAGCTGCATGATCTTGGATGAATATATGAATGTTGGCCAGCTCCAGCAACAGAACTGGGGACATTGGCACAAACCAATGAGACGGTGAGCCACCGTGCTGAGGAGGATGTCACAGAACCCGGGCCGTGAAGCGTGAAATTGCGATAATTAAAGTGACTACTCACGAATCCAGACCATAACTGGAAGATCACGAGCACTGCAATCTGGCCGATCAGCGTCTGGCACTCGAGCCCTCTAAATAGCATAGTGACAATTTCGGGTTGTTGGATCATTCTAAGCAAATTATACTTCCCGCTTTGAAATATTAGGAAGATAATAAATACTCACCTCGATGGTGCAAAGACACTCACAAACAAGCAATCCTCATTGCCCAGGCCAGACTCATCAAAGTCGAAGTCCGCCACTCTATGGTCCACTTCAGTGTTCCTGGCCATACCCAGCCTGGTCGCCTTTTGGAAAGAAGCTATGCTAACTTACAGAGGCGAATCTGGAGCTTGGGGACAGCGTGGAGGGTAAGATGTTGCTTTGAGTATCTCACTTCGATTCAGAGCAGGAGTTTGAGGCTCTTGCCACCGCAAACTACCCGTTGGGGGTGCGGCATATCGTAAACTATAGATGAGGACATGATAAGTCATATTATATTACCTCCTAGAGAATGCCGCAATAAAGTATACCCTTTGAAGATGTTCAAGTCTGCGCTAGCGTTGTAGTAACCTTGGTAGATCTGAGTGTGTAGAGTTTCAGCAATATAGACAGTTCTCATAGAGACCAGGGGGCGTCGTCTCATGGAGCGTATCATACTTAACCACTTACCTCATATCCCAAATCAATAGTCAGGCTACTGCTATTGATGCTGCTAGCCCAGGCTGTATGGGCAGCGCATAACAGAAAGAGTATATCCCATGCGAAGCGCATCTTTAATCTATACTTGATTTGCTATAAGAACACGCATGCTTTGCTGTCGTGCTGCTAGTCTTCTCATTATATATTAACTCCCCTCCCCCATAGTAATCCAGGATATACATAAACTATTTACATCGAAGCTGCCGCCACGGTATCACATAAACCCGAGATCGCAATTTTGGCTTCAGCACCATGCGATGATGCAGGCATCTGTAAGCCATCCGGAGCCATTATGCCGTCACACTCTGCGGAGATCGGATACGAACTGCAGCTTGAAGTTGGCTCGGGATAATTGCAGGCGATATGCTTCGGAAAAAAAGGGTGCCCGCCATGGCTACCACTATAGGAGTTAAGCGCAGTAGTTCTTTTACATTTGGAGAAACTCTAATACAATTACTAAGTTATCTTCGGATAACTGCAGTGCTTATTACACCGTGAAAGGCACTGTTCGGAGTCCAAGTTGGACAAAGTACACAAGGGGTTTATGCTAACAAGAGCGGTGCCAAGTACAGGCCTCGAATACGGAAACATAACTGAAGCCTGAATGCAAGTATTCACTGCTTTTGGAGCTACCAGAGTATGTATGTAATCTGATGCTTAGATTGATGACTGAAGAGCTATAGACAATGATCTATCTACTGATAATGAATGTAAGATTATATATCTAGCTCTCCAGTATGGATCGCTGGGATTGCTAGCAAGCTCAGCTATTCATGGTATAAGGCTCGCTGGAATAGCTGGCAAGCCCAGCTATTCTCTTATCCTTCATAACCCTAACCCCGGGTTACGTAAGCCTTCCTGTAACTCAGTGGTTGGATCTGAAAACTAGCTTCTCAGGCTCACTTGTTTCCGTGGCTCGTCCTGTAACCTGCATGTTAAATGAGTTATAATACATGGCTTTCTGACTTCCTGTAATGAGCACTGCAGTAATCCAAAGATTTCTAAGTACTGATGGAGTTTATGCTAACAAGAGCAGTGCTAAGTATAAGGCCTTGAATACGGAAATGTAGCTGTAATGAATGCACTGCAATATCCGAAGATCTGAAGTATACAAAAGATTTATGCTAACAAAAGCAGTATCAAAGTAGAATCCACTGAATACGGAATATAACTATAATCCATACAAGTGCTGATTATTCGCCTTTAGAGCTATTCAAGTATATAACAAATGAATACTTAGATTAATAACTAAAGAGCTATATTCTGATAATCTATCTAGTAGTAATAAATATATTCTTATATATTCAGCTCTTCAGTATAGCTTGTTTTGAATTATTAGCAATTTAAATAATCTAAGCTTATTAAATCATTTCAATAATTCAATAATTCATTTCTATTATAATTCTTATTCCAGATTATATAATTATTATTAGTTATTCAATATTGAATTATAATATTTAATTTTCTGTTTAGCAGAGCTTGTTCTATAATCTGTATATTAAATAAGTTATAATATTATCTTCTTTCTATTAGTTGTTATTCTTAATAATTTTTCTATAAATTTCCTAGCAAGCTATTTCTGTGCAGGATTATGCTTTTCTAATTTATTATATTGAATAGAATCAACAAATCTTGCATTTCCAAATCTCGTTCTCAAAAAATTATAGAATATAAAAGTTTCCTTTCTGCTATTCTTTAAAATTTTTTTACTATGCCTTTCTGTTCATCTTATAAGAATCAGGAAATTCCTTTCTATTAGATTTCTTCTCTTAATTCTTCCTGTTGTACTAAATTGTTATAACTCATCCAACATGCAAGTCACGAAACAGGTCACGAGTAACAAGGATCAGATATCAAGAACCCAATATTCTAACAAAGCATTAGTTACATAATCCAGGATTAGGGTTGTAAAGAAGAGAGAATCGCTAAACTCGCTAGCGATTCCAGCAAGCCTTATACCTCGGATCGCTAGACTTGCTAGCGATCTCAGCAAGCTTTACATCTCGGATCGCTAGACTTGCTAGCAATCCTAGCAATCCATACTGAAGAGTTGAATATATAACTATACAATTATTATCATTAAATAGCTTTAGTATATAGCTCTTCAGTTATTAATCTAAGTATTCAGTCTTATATACTGAGTAGCTCCAAAAGCAGTGAATACTTGTATTGCTTATCAGAACTTGTATAGTTCCGTATTTAAGAACTTAATACTTTGATACTGCTCTTATTAGCATAAACTCTTTATATACTTTAGAATCTTCAGATTGCTGCAATATTCATTACATTTTGATAATTCTTGTTCAAGAATAGTTCAATATTACTCTCTTGAGCAATACAGAATATAATAGCTTCTTAAGGAATCTCTTTATTCTTATATTGTTGTGGTGGCCAGGGTGGTAGTCCGTGGAACGTGGAGTACAGTGGATCAAGGGTCCTCATACATATAAAGGGTACCACCCACTTTTCAAATTCTTTAGCTATAAGCAACAATCAAGCATCCTTTCTCTTCCTTTCAATTTTGAACCCTTTGGACAGGTCTAAGACAGGTTTTTCACCCTGTTCTTGCACCCGTATAGCCTTAGTTTGCTGTCCTCATCTGTACAGGCACGCTTGGATTGCATAAGCCCTTGCCCATTGCTTCAGCAGCTGTTTATCCCTTTTTCTTTCAAGAGCAACAGCGCTCTAGTTCTGATTCAATAGTGCGGTAAGTGTAGACTTAGCTGTTCAGGCTGGTAGCTCAGAGCTGTTTGCATTACAGTTCGTAAGAATCAGTAAGAGTAGCAAGTTTATCCTATGAACAGATGCACTCTTTTTCCCTGCTAAGCTCTTTTATTTCCTTTATCTATTATGCTTATACAACAGGCTATACATTATATCTGGATTCTGGATTATGCCTGAGATTTCTTGTAGAGAGGAGATGGATGAACAGAGGAGGAGTGATATGAGTTCTGATTATAGGCTGGTGAACGATGCATTAAGCCTGCAGGCTAATATTACAAAGAAATGAATTCCTTTTTCCAACATTTCTTATATTAATCAACAATTCTATACAGAAGCTGATATAGCTCAGATCTGTACAAGCTGCAGCGGAAAGTTTAATTATATTGAATATAGATTTATGATTAAATTACAGAATGGAATGCTTTTGGTAAATAGTATTCTGTAGAGAAAAGTAGTATAATTAATAAGATCTATGCTTCTTGCAATGATTCAATCAGTATGCTCTATCTAAACATATTTAGCTATATTAATTCTTTGAATCAAAAGCTTGCTAATTGCATTATTTCAAAAGCGAAGAATATAGAAAGATGAAGATAAGGAATTATCAGTGCATATAAGGAATAAAGATCAAGAATTATAATAATATCATTCAATATTAAACTTTAATTAATATCTTATATCTAATCAGAAATGCTTCTATTAATTAGCAGAATTATTAATAAAGAAAATCTTAGTATAGTACAGAATAGCTAATTCAATTCCTTATTATTCATTACAAAACAGATCTTATATATGCTCTACTTACAAACTGAATCTTCCTCAAGCATCTAAATCCTCTTAATCTTTACAGTATTATCTTCTGCAGAATACAGAAGGCATTCCAGCTATAGCGCTCTTAACTCAAGAATCTCAAATCAGAAAGGCAAAGAAATATCGGAGGAAGCAATAACCAAGAGAGAAGATAGCTTTTACATCTGAGAGCTCTTTCAATCAGATACTCAGTTCAGCTAACTACCTAGCTAACAATTACTATAATTAGAACTTTAGATTCCCCTCTTACAGTGAGCTTGCTGATAGTAAGTTAATATTGTTTACTTGTGTGAAAGTCTTCTTGTAGCTGAAGCAATTCAACTGATAGCATTAGATCAAAGGGATTAATAATACTTAAGTACTCAACTTCATGAAAAGCTTCTATACAGATATAATCATTACTAGAGAAGTAAAAAGATTTACTATAAGCGCTAAAACTTGGAATGAATAGAAGGAGTAATTATTAGTTGCTTATTATCCTTGAAACTATCTTCAAACATATACTTCTAAGCAGAAGTACTTAAATATTATTAATAATCATTTTATTACTAATGCTGCTAGCTTTTAATTATTCATTATAGATTATAATAATGCTTTTACTTATCTTAAGATTAGAAATAATTAATCTATAGCAGAAGCATGAATAAAGCTTTCTTCAATCTGAATCAAGCGCTTCTAAGCTAATCATAGTATTACTGCTAAAAGCATTAGCAATAAGAAGTAGCCTTATCTTATGAAAAAGCTGTTGAAGATTCATTATAAAGTACTCCAGAAGGAAACTCAAAACCAACTTGCTTCTA